CTACTTCAAGCCTGCTTCCTCTTCACTCTGTGTTAGCAAAGCATGCTTGGATGGTCAGAGGGCATACAGCATGTGCCCAGGGCCATCTTTTAGTAGAGATCAGCATCTGAGGGTTGATATCTCTGTTTGATGCACATCTCAAGGAGAATGCAAAGCAGGGAGAAAGCATTTTCAGTAGTGATGCTCCCTTTTGCTGTTTAACAGTGGAATGGATCTCAGGAGGTTGTGGACTCTCCTTCCTTGGAAGTTATTAAGCAGAGGTTGGATGACCACCTAGTTGTTGTTGTTGTTTAGTCGTGTCCAACTCTTTGTGACCCCTGGACCAGAGCACGCCAGGCACTCCTGTCTTCCACTGCCTCCCGCAGTTTGGTCAAACTCATGCTGGTAGCTTCGAGAACACTGTCCAACCATCTCGTCCTCTGTCATCCCCTTCTCCTTGTGCTCTCAGTCTTTCCCAACATCAGGGTCTTTTCCAGGGAGTCTTCTCTTCTCATGAGGTGGCCAAAGTATTGGAGCCTCAGCTTCACGATCTGTCCTTCCAGTGAGCACTCAGGGCTGATTTCCTTAAGAATGGATAGGTTTGATCTTCTTGCAGTCCATGGGACTCTCAAGAGTCTCCTCCAGCACCATCATTCAAAAGCATCAATTCTTTGGCGATCAGCCTTCTTTATGGTCCAGTTCTCACTTCCATATACATCACTACTGGGAAAACCATAGCTTTTACTATACGGACCTTTGTTGGCAAGGTGATGTCTCTGCTTTTTAAGATGCTGTCTAGGTTTGTCATCGCTTTTCTCCCAAGAAGCAGGCGTCTTTTAATTTCATGACTGCTGTCACCATCTGCAGTGATCATGGAGCCCAAGAAAGTAAATTCTCTCACTGTCTCCATTTCTTCCCCTTCTATTTGCCAGGAGGTGATGGGACCAGTGGCTGGGTTCTTAGTTTTTTTGATGTTGAGCTTCAGGCCATATTTTGCACTCTCCTCTTTCACCCTGAATTACAGGGGGTTGGACTAAGTGACCCTTGGGATCCCTTCCAGGTAAGATTCTATGATTCTATGATGCAGCCTAGAATTAGAGACTGTGCCTGTGTGATGCTAATTTCTCCTCCGTCCTTTCAAGCCTCTTCTGGTTCTGGGGAACAAGGTAGGAGAGGAGATTGTCACAGCAGGAAGGGGAGGCATTTGTGCCTCTTCACCGGCCAGACTCAACTCTGCCTCTTGGCCTCTCTCTCCCCTCCTGCTTCAGCTTCTGCCTCTGATTCTGGACTGCTCTCTGCTACACACTCTCCCTTCTCACTAAACCCTGTTACCTCTTCTGCTTCCAACAACTCTTCCCATCTTCTCCTTCTGACCACTCATTGTCATTACACCCCACTCCCATGGCTCTTCCCTGGGGGTTTCCACAGCTGGTTCCTCCCACCATACCTCTGTTTCCATTCAGTCCATGACAATGACAGGATTGACTCATGTTAAGCTTGTGTTCCACAAAGACCCACATGTCCTCCTAGCAAGCCGGGTGCCTCCCCATCTTAGATTTGTGCTGTTTCTTTTGAAATTCATTTTGTTAAGTTTTTTATAATTGTTATTAAAGACTTCTTAGTTTACAAAAATAAGTGTGCTGTCTTTTTCCCCCAGCTTGTGTTTTCTACAGATCAGTTTCATTTGCTGTGAGACATTGATGCTGCCTGCAGTATTAGGTTGAGAGGGGGAGGGGGAGGGGTCAGGTGGTTATGCTTCTATTCTTCCACTGAGTGTATGTGTGGGGTTTTGTGTCAGTGTCACGTGTGGGTTATTCATTTTGTTAGTTTCATCCAGGGAGGCTCACCTGGCACCCCCTTTTACAAGGAAAACAGGAAGCTGCTTTCTGCAGAATCAGAGCAGCAGTGAGAAGAGAAGGGATGGTAGTAGCAGAGCCCAAAGAGCTTTTGAGCTACATCTCAGAAAAAGGAACAGTGCTGATGAAGGCCATGGCCTTGGAAAGGATCTTGCTGGGCAGATAAAGAGGTTTGGAGGGGTGCTTTCAGCTCAAGGCCCTCTATCCCTGTTAAAAGAAAAACAGTGACGCATATCAAGGACTTAGAATGCTCTGACGTGCTCCATGAAGGATCAGAATAAACAGTTTGTCTATTCAGTGCTCTAACACCAGACAGGCCCCCCAGACTGAAATATGGGTACCTCTGCAACCCTCAGTCTTTTTTGGGGTGTGTGGAGGTTCATGGTGGCACAGTGCCACAGAGATGTTGGATAGCTGCTGGGGCATGACAGGAATTCCCGACTTCCTTTGGTCCAGGGCACAAACTGAGCCATTGTTTTCGCATCAGAGCTGAAAGATCTGATGGAGTGGGGAGGAAATGTGAGCAGATTGGGCCCAGCCTGAAAGGAAGCCAGTTGGTTAGGCGACTAGCAGAGCAGAGCACCGGTCTGTCCAAGGGTCAAGAAGTCGGCAAGCAGCCTGAACCACCCCAGGGAAGGGCCAGCGATTCCAGGATTGGCCATGTGTGTTGCTCTAAATGGAAATTCCCCCTTGCTCCGCCAGGGAATATGTTTATTCAGGGGCAGTGCCTTTCACCATTTAGCCTTCTGCCCCAACTCCACAAAATTAATAGATGGGCAATTAAGAGCTCGACAACAACAAATCTTCACGAACTACCGTATTTTTCGCTCTATAAGACGCACCAGACTACAAGACGCACCTAGTTTTTGGAGGAGGAAAACAAGAAAAAAAATATTCTGAATCTCAGAAGCCAGAACAGCAAGAGGGATGGCTGCGCAGTGAAAGCAGCAATCCCTCTTGCTGTTCTGGCTTCTGGGATAGCTGTGCAGCCTGCATTTGCTCCATAAGACGCACACACATTTCCCCTTACTTTTTAGGAGAGAAAAAGTGAGTCTTATAGAGCAAAAAATACGGTACCTGTTTTGACCAACAACTCCCCTCAACCCAATTCAAGCCTCCTTTGGTGTGATTTCAACTTACGCTGCATTTGTCTTGCAGTGGCTGTTCATAACAACACTGCATAGTTTTATGTTTTTCTCACCTTGGTTCTTTTAATATAATAATAATAATAATAATAATAATAATAATAATAATAATAAATTGTACCCCGTCCACCTGGCTGGGTTTCCCCAGCCACTCTGGGCAGCTTCCAACAAAGATTAAAAATACATTAAAATGTCACACATTAAAAACTTCCCCGAACAGGGTTGCCTTCAGATGTCTTCTAAATGTCAGGTAGTTGTTTATCTCTTTCACACCTGATGGGAGGGCGTTTCACAAGGTGGGTGCCACTACTGAGAAGGCCCTCTGCCTGGTTCCCTGTAGCTTTGCTTCTCGCAGTGAGGGAACCACCAGAAGGCCCTCGGCGCTGGACCTCAGTGTCCAGGCAGAATGATGGCAGGTGGAGACACTCCTTCAGGTATACTGGGCCGAGGCCATTTAGGGCTTTAAAGGTCAGCACCAACACTTTGAATTGTGCTTGCAAACGTACTGGGAGCCAATATAGGTCTTTCAAGATTGGTGGTCTCAGTGGCTGCCCCCAGTCACCAGTCTAGCTGCTGCATTCTGGATTAGTTTTTTTTTGTTTTGCCCCCAATCTGGATTAGTTGTAGTTTCCGGGTCACCTTCAAAGGTAGCCCCACATAGAGCACATTGCAGTAGTCCAAGCAGGAGATAACTAGAGCATGCACCACTCTGGCGAGACAGTCTACAGGCAGGTAGGGTCTCAGCCTGCGTACCAGATGGAGCTGATAAACAGCTGCCCTGGACACAGAATTGACCTGTGCCTCCATGGACAGCTGTGAGTTCAGAATGACTCCCAGGCTGCGCAACTGGTCCTTCAAGGGCACAGTAGCTCCATTCAGGGCCAGGGAGTCTGTTATGTACTGAGTTGAATAGGATCCAAACTGCAGCAGTCTGATTGGTCCTAGAACAATAGGATCCAAAAGGCAGCAGTCTGATTGGTCCTAGAACAATAGGATTCAGAATGCAGCAGTCTGATTGGTCCTAGAACAATGCAGCACTATGATTGGTTGGCAGGAACCACCCAATCATGCTCCAGATAGAAGTGAATCCACAACCTGATTGGCTTACAGTAGAATTCCAGAAATTAGCCAATCATGTGCAGCCCATTGTGGAAATAATGTATATAAAGCAGATACTTTGAGGGGACATTCATTCATTCCTCCTCACCACTATGAGCTGAACAAAGAGCATGAAATCACTTTGCGACTCTGAGTATATTTCAGAGTCCTCCACACCAGCCCGCCCCCTGTCCCCAAGAACCGTACTTCTGTCTTGTCAGGATTCAACCTCAATCCATTACTGCTTCACTGCCCAGTACAACTGCTGCCTTCCAAGGCCAATGGCTGAGGGCTCTGGCTTTTGTTTGGCCAGCAGGGACAGCTAACATGTTGCCCTCCAGGTGTGATTGAACTGCAGTTCCCATCCGTGGTTGGCTACAGCAGGGGGATGACTCACTCATTGCTCCTCCCACGTCTACCTCTGGCCACACCCACTTTTGCCTCTGGCCCTGATCACCATGGATGACAGTTGCCCACAGAGAAATGCAGCCCTCGGGCTAAACAAATAACAACAACAAAACAAAACACAACTCATTTTATTTAGCCCATCAAAATGTCACAAATAGCTTTTGGCATTCTCAGAAACTCTGGATCAAGGCTGGATGGTAAACAGGTTGGGAGATGGAAATAAGAGTTGCCTGATGGATTGATGAACCTGCCTTTTGAGGGTACAGCACCTGTAAATTATGCAAAAGGGGGGGGGGGGGGAAACCCGAGTTAAAATAGAAGCAGAAATTTACCAGGGTCAGCTCCCCCTATTCCACCCCATCTCATCTGTTGAACCCCCACCTTTCCTGATAAAAAGCGGCGGTTTGGCTCCCTCTTGAGGCCTGCGCGCTGCACTGCAGGTTCCCCGGCGGGGCGGGGCTTTCCCTGGGACTTGCCCCGCCCCGCCCCGCCCCGCCCGCCCGCCCGCCCGCCTACAAAGCCCGGCGCGCCTCGCGGCAGCGAGTCCCCGTATCCCGGAAGTGGCGTTGGTGGCGGCGGGACGAGTGGAACTGCAAAGAAATGGAGCGGCCGGGCGGAAGCGTTCCCGGAAACGTGCCGCTGCGCCCCTCGGACGGCGGCCGGCGGCAGCCAGAAGAGATCAGGGGCGCCGGCTCCGCCATGGCCAAGCAGTACGACGCGGTGGAGTGTCCCTACTGCGACGAGGTCTCCAAGTACGAGAAGCTGGCCAAGATCGGGCAAGGCACCTTCGGGTGAGGCTCTGCCGGGCGCCCGTCGCCCCCCTGCGGGGAGCCCCCCGCCCCGCCCTGCGCCCCCCACCTCCCCAGGGACCCCCCCACCCCCAGCAGGGTCCCCCACGTCCGAAAAAGCTCCCCGATCCCTGCGCCACGGGCCCCACAGGCTCCCCCACTGCTCCAGCCCCATGGGCTCCTAGCACAGGCTCCCAACAGACGTCCTTCATGCAGGCTTCCCTGGGGGGCCGCCCCCTTTCCTCTCCCCTCGGCTCTCCCATTGCCTCGCGTTCATTCTGGCCTCCTGTATGGTTGGCTTCCTCTGTTCTTCCTGTTGTAGCCCCACCCCTCCTGATTAGTTGCCTCCCCAAGATGCCCTCCAGTCAAGCTCCCACCGCGGCGGCGCGAGGTGCCCCCTCCTTTCCCCCTTAAGCTCCTTGCTGCCCTCCCCAAAAGTCGTCTTCTTCGCTCGTGTCTCTTAAATAACTCCCCTGCTTCACACACTGAATTGCTTCCACTGCATCAGCTCCCTTCGCTGATTGCAGACAGCCTTTATTAATTACTGTTATGATATTATTTGTCCCTTGGAAAAGACCAAGGCATCATAGGTGGTTCAGATCCACCCCCGTTTTATCACCTCAATAACCCCAGGAAGTAAATTAGCTGGAGAGAAAGTCTTGCCTCTGGAAGCATTTTGCTATGCCTCCACTCTGATTAAGATCATAAAAAGAGGCAGAATGTGGCCTGAGGGGACCCAGGTTCAAATTGCATGAGAGAGGGACAACAACCATCTAATCCAGAGGTTTTCAACCTTTTTGAGTCCACAGCTCCCTTGACCAACTGCATTCTTTCTGCGGCACCCTTGTGGGGCTCAGGAGCCCAGTTAGTCCCCCCTTGCCTGCAGAGCTAGCAGCCCCTGAACCCTTTTTGAACACCCTCCCTTGTGGAGTGTTCCCTCAGCCTCCTCTCCTCTCCCCTCTCCTTGGGTGTCCTCTGGACAGCTGCTGCTGCTGCCCCTGGCCTCTGAGCTGCCCACCCTGCCCCAAAGAAAGGTGCCTCCTCACACTGCCCCATAGGGGTCTGGGAAGAGGATGCCTCCAGCCTTAGTGGCCCAATGGAGACTGGCCAAAAGTGAATGTGAGGCCAGCACCTTACCCTGGGAGGTAGCACCGGGCACTCAGCTCCCAGGCAGGCCTTGCATAAAGCAAGCACAAGAAAGGCCAGCCCAGCACCTACCTGCCTGCCTGGCCTCCCACTTGTCTGTCCATTTCCAAAAGCAAGGGCTGGTGGACTGGCAGGCTGGGCTCCTTCACCCACTTGCTTGCTTGCTTGCTTGCTTACTCCAAGGCCACCTCAGCTCCTGGCAACCAGCCTCCCCTGGCCAGCCCCAGAGGCACCATTCCCCTGGGGAGCTTGTAGCCAGGGCTGCTACAACAGCTGCACAAGCCTTTGGGAGGCAGAGACTTGAGAGGGCATCAGAGAAAGGAAGGAAGGAAAAAGGGACAGAGGACAGTGTTGCCCATGGCACCCCGACCATCATTAAAAGCACCCCAGGGTGCCACGGCACACTGGTTGAAAACCCCTGATCTTTGGATCCATCTAAATTAGGTGCCACAGCATTTTCCTAGTGACAAGGAATTCCAAAGCTGAGCTTTCCTCAGGCCAAATACATACATTTGTTCTGGGTGTATTGCAGTTCGCTCTCCCCATTTTAGGCAGAATTTGCTGATCTTTTAAGTGCAGAAGGCCTTTTCTTTCATTTTTCTCTCTTCTCAGTTACCTATCTCTTATAATTTTGTCTAACAGACTCCTTTCACACTTCTTGCACCTTATTCCCACCCACACTCAGACTGCCAGTTTTTAAAATCTCCTTTCTCTTATACTTTTCCATTTCACTTGCTCCTAAAGCAGCTTGCCTCTGATATCCCCTTCTTTTCTGTTCCCAGTTTGTTTGTTAAATTAGATATTATTATTAACCTTTCATCTTGCTTTCTAAATTCTTTCAACACTAAATTCTTTACTTTGCATACAAGAAGTTGCTGGTTTTCAGGCCTTTTTCCAAACCAAAAAGCTTCACCACAGCTAGTGGGTGGGACTGGTAAGTGAGGAGATAGGGGAGTGGCTGTACCACTGAGCCCCCCCCTAAAAGTTCAGCTGTGGGTCCTGGCCTGGCATCTGAGAAACCCTGTGGAAAACTAGTTAAATTTTAGACTAGAAGTGCCAATTGAGGCCGTGTTGGGACGGTACCTGCTTGATGGTGGTCTCCTGTTCTTTCGTCCAGTTGCTCTCAAATAACATGTGTGAGGTTGCTTGGATTCTTCATGTTGTTTTGTTTCCTTCTGCAAAGCCTTCCATGTGCCTGACACAGGATACCCTCTTAACACATCTGCCAGATTCAAGTCTTTCCTTCCTTCCTTTTCTTATCAGCAGGATACTGTAGGATTCAACTTCCCTCCCACATGTACTTTCTTACATCGGGCGCACATACTTTACAAAAAAGACAGAAGAAAACTTGAGCACTTTTTGAATAGTGCCTGTTTCTTCCAAGGGTACCTCATCAAGTGGCAGCTCCACTCCATGTACATGTGCCAAAAAAGCCATCCGTCGTGTGTATACCTTGGGTGAAGAAGACCCAAGACTCTGCCACTTGTGTGGGCTTTTTTATTTTTAAGAGGGTAGCTGCACTTTCCCTGTTCAATTACCTGAGGACTTCACAGGAAGATTAGGAAGGCGCTGCTGGATTAGGCCTGAAGCTGAGCACGTGAAGATAGCACTGTTGTTCGTCTCCCAGCAACTGGTGTTCTGAGAGATGTTGCTCTGGAACCCAGGCGTTCCAGTCAGCATTTATCCAGCAAGAGTTAGTCAGACGTCTCTGGGGAGTTTGCAGGTGGAAACACCTCCAGGTCCTTGGTGAATCTTAACACTTTCCATTTTCTCTACAGGGAGGTGTTCAAAGCAAAACATCGTCAAACAGGCAAAAAAGTTGCATTGAAGAAGGTGTTGATGGAGAATGAAAAAGAGGGGGTAAGTTTGTGCTGTGTTGGGGGATGAGGGGGGCAGTGTGTGCATGTGTAAGGGCGATTATGAGCATGGGAGGTAAAGTAGCTTTGAGGTGCATCTTTGGAGCAGAATGTGGGTGCAAAATTGGGTGCAGCAACCTGGATCAGGGGGAGGTGGGTCCATCTGTTGTAGTGTTGTGTTTCAAAGAGTGGTCAGGCAGATGTTTCCAGGAAGTCCTAATGCAACAACTCAGTAGTCTTCCTTTATTATCCTTGCGTTTACCATTCAGCAGTATGTTTCCTCTATAAAGACCTTTGGCTATGTACAATATAGGTGACTGCCTGCCTGGCCTCTGAAAGGGAAAGTTTTGTTGTGGCTCACAGAACTGATCCCACTTGAGAAACGCACACTGTGTGAACTTGTGGCATCAAATTTTTAAAGCCATCTATTTATTTATTTTTAATAATTTTTATTAACAGGCCAATCAGATCACATTAATTCCAAATCACATTAGTTCCAAATTACACAGCCAAATTTTTAAAATTTTGTTGGGGGTACCAATACTTCGTGCTCCGAAAGGGATCCAAACATCACTCTTGCTGCTGCTTTAATTACACAGTTCTGTCCAGATAGTCTCTTTGTTATTTTCCTCATCTTCTTGTTGTTATCATATATTCCTTTCTTTGTGATCTCTGATAGTCTTCACAAGCGGGTTGAAAACAAACATATCCTGTGTGGATTTTATGCTTCTCCAATAGCCATATCACATAAAGGACAGACGCCATTTCCACACCTCCGTACAAAACATTCCCACAGTCTGTCCGTTGATTTCCACAAGCCTGCCAGTCTGTCATCAATTTTCTCAGGGGGCCCTGCCAGGTCAAACTCACATTCCGATAACCATGGTCCTCCTCCCCCTCGTCCTCCTGTGGGCAGGCCTGCCGTAACGAATCTCTATTTGTAACTGCGTCACAAAGCTTTCCTTCCTTTCCTGATGTTCCCACAAGTCCTCTCTTTGATTAGTAATTTATTTCCACACAGTTCTTAATCTCCTGCTTGCGATAAATTTTTAAAGCCATCTAAGCCAATTGCTGTCTCACCATCTTGCAGCAATGGATTTATTCTGCTGTATCATAATTCCTTCTGTTTCTGGTGTTCATGCTGAGAGGAGTTGATGCTTGTGTTGACCAAATGGCATGTGGAAGAGAGGGCTGAGTCTTGGCAGGAACCCTAAGGCTTGCAGAAGTAGAAACAAATCTTTTGGCCAAAACCCCAAATAGGAGGCCCCTCAGTGCCTGCAAATTAGTTACTGGATAAAGTTCAGAGTACAGGCATTGGGATACAAAGTCCTATACATCTTTGGACCAGGGTACCTAGAGGATCGCCTTATTCCTTGCATACCCAACTTAACATTGCAGATGCTATTCTGCAAGGAGGTCCATTCCACACAGTGTCAGAATAGAGTCTTTAGGTTGGTGGTACCTACCCATTGAGACTCCCTCTTGTTTCATATCAGACAGGAGCCTCCTCTAATCTTTTCGGAGCCTGCTAAAGACATTAATCTTTCAACAAGCCTTTTAAAATCTTTGTCCCAGTTGGCATCTGTCTTGAATACAAATTGATTTTATTTACATGGTGTTTTTAAAAACTGTTTTTAATATTAATAATTGTTTTAATATATGCAGTTGTTTTTCTATGTATGTGATTGTTTTATGTACATAGTTGTACTATAAACTCCTTTGGAAGTCCTCAAGGGAAGAGATTCATAGATAAAGTAAATAAAACGAGAAGAAACTTTGTTAACCTTTGGGTCTTTTTCTGAAAAGAAACAAGCCAGGTTTTCTAGTTTGCATGTCGTGGTAAGTCAAAGCTTGTGGTTTGTTGCTCCTGGAAGGGCAGAGCAACATGTTACAAACTAGGAATGTGAACCAGTGCACTGCTGGTTTATAATAAGCTATGGTTTAGCATAGATCTCTAGCATTTATTAAAGTTTTCTAACTGACTATCTGGGTTATTTTTTAGTTCCCCATCACAGCCCTACGGGAGATCAAAATCCTCCAACTACTCAAGCATGAAAACGTCGTGAATCTCATTGAAATCTGCAGGACCAAAGGTAAGAATTGTGGCTGCAAAAAAGGCAGTTTTTATGATTTACAAGTTCTTATGAAAGCTGGAGATAAGAATCGCAATCCAAGGCATTGAGAAATCACTATCCCACAACTCATATGATACGATCGATTGGTTAGATTTAGGCATATGCCATCCTTCCACACTAAAAAAAAAAAGGCTGCTTATAATATATGAATGTAAAAACAGCAGCACTATAAAGATATTAATTTGGAGCGGGTCCTGGTGGTTTCTGCATGTGCTGTAGAGGGTAGTGAGGTGCAGATAAGGCTCATCAACCTGGAAAGGTAGCCCATCCAGGAGAAGGAAGACTCTGATCTTAAAACTGCGCTGCCTTGCAGGATATATTTGGGAGCAGAAAAGGCTCAGGAGCAAACCCGACACAAATTCAGAGTGGAATCCCTAAGGCGGTTGGATGGGGCATGTACACCTCCTTCCAGCAGCTCCTGCAGCCAAGCTCTGCGCATTGCTCTGCTTTCCTTTGGATCACATCAGCGGAGTGGGGTGATGGTGGTATCTTGTCATCTGGGCAGGCCAGGACCTCCAAACACACTGCCCAGTATCTGGGCAGCAAAACTATAAATTAAAAGCATTTGCGGATGACTTAGTATTATCTTTAGAACAACTGAGCAAGAGCGTACCAGGAGTGATAGAAGAGAGAGACAGATTTGGAAAACTAGCTGCTTTCAAATTAAATAAAGGAAAAACCAAGATGATGGTTAAAAATACGGACAACCAAGCAAAAATGATCTAGAACAGGCATAGGCAAACTGGGCCCTCCAGATGCTTTGGGACTACAACTCCCATGATCCCTAGCTAACAGGACCAGTAGTCAGGGATGATGGGAATTGTAGTCCCAGAACATCTGGAGGGCCCAGTTTGCCTATGCCTGATCTAGAAATCATGTATGGGTGGAAGGTAAACGGCGTTTCCATGCGCTGCTCTGGTTTCCCAGAAGCGGCTTAGTCATGCTGGCCACATGACCCGGAAGCTGTACGCCAGCCCCCTCGGCCAATAAAGTGAGATGAGCGCCACAATCCCAGAGTCGTCCGCGACTGGACCTAATGGTCAGGGGTCCCTTTACCTTTTCTTACAGGCATGCGCATCCCTCTCGATTGTTGGTAAGACTGGCAAGAGCTGATGTGTATTGTATTCCCAACAGCTTCTGGGGGCACCACATTGGCTACACCTGCCACCTGTGGGAGGTGGTTCTGTGAGAGAGGGCTGTGCAGAGTAGCAGCATGTGAAGGGACAGAAGCAGTTCTCATTTGGGGAGGTGGGAAGGATAGACATTTTGCTTTGCATTTTTGGGTGGATCCGTGAGTACTAAATATTTCCTTCTATGCCAGATGGTTTTTGATGCTGCATCTTTGTGCCTTAACCTGCCTTTAGCCTTTGAAGGCAAGACTGTGATTGCAGCTGCTTCCTTTTAATTCCTACAGCCTCCCCGTACAACCGCTGCAAGGGCAGCATCTACCTGGTATTTGACTTCTGCGAGCATGACCTGGCTGGACTCCTCAGCAATGCCCACGTCAAGTTTACACTTTCGGAGATCAAGAAAGTCATGCAAATGCTCCTGAACGGCCTGTACTACATCCACCGTAATAAGGTGAGGGGGGTCTTCTCTGGTTGAGACTTTCCCCTACTCCTAAGCTTCTTGACCTGAACGAAGTTGGGAACTGTAGCTTTGGAATTTTCTGCCTGCTTCTCAGGATGCACCTTTTTATAAATCTTCTTTCTACATCTACCCAATTGTTTTCCTTCTCCAGATCTTGCATCGGGACATGAAAGCAGCCAACGTGCTTATCACCCGCGATGGTGTTCTGAAGCTGGCTGACTTTGGCCTGGCTCGGGCCTTCAGCCTGGCAAAGAACAGCCAGCCCAATCGCTACACTAACAGGGTGGTGACTTTGTGGTATCGTCCTCCGGAGCTCCTTCTGGGTAGGCAGTAATTTGGTACGGGGGGAGAATTGCCTGTTTGTGCTTTCCCCCTCAACCTCTTAAAGGAGCTTTTTTTTGTGTGTGTGTGTGTGTGTGTCCAAAACCCGCATTCCCTTGTGGGCAGCCTTCCAGGGGCTGCATTCCAGTGATGGGCAGGGACAGAGGTGGGTGCGGGTAGAGCAACAGATATGATTTTAAGTAGGATACATTCCAGTCACACAGCCACTGGAGACATGTGTGTGTGTGTGTGTGTGTGTGTGTGTGTGTGTGTGTGCACTCCCCATACATACTGGCAAGCAAGAGGCAATATCACATTTCAGTGGCACATTCTAGTCAGGCAAAAGCACTTCAGGGGAGTCCATCACAGCAAGGCCTGTATGGGAATTGACCTGAAGAGAGGGAGCCTGCCCTGGGCAGAGTTCAAAGGGATGGAAAGAGAAAGGGCTGGAGGGTTTGATACCCCTGAGATTATGGACCTGCTGGGAGGGAGGAGGGAGCCGGGTTTGATGGGGTTTACAAGTTCCTTTTTGCGTATTCATAGGACATTGCATTTTTAAAAAGATAATCAACTTTACTCCTGCATTTAGCATTGTGTGGGTAAGGCCTGAAAAAAAATATAAAGATGAACATGCCTGTTTGCCACCTTTCTCCTCGGCGTGGAGGTCTTCACAACCACATGAAGCAATGTAGTGCAGACAAGCACTTACTGTTTCTGGCAGAAGGCATCTAAATTGTGCTCGTTACTACTAGCCTCTTAATTGACTAGTGAAAGATTTGCCTTCTGCATAGGAAGCTGCCTTCTACTGAGAGACCAATGGCCCCACCTAGCCCAGAACTGGCAACACTGACTGGCAGGCATCTCTCTGGGGCTTCAGGCAGGGCTCTGCTATTTGGAGATGCTGCCGGGGATAGAACCTGGGACCTTCTACATGCAAAGCAGGGGTCCTGCCGCTGAGCTATAGCCTTTCTGCAAAGCAAGTCTGGGGAAAAGGGTCCATCACTCCATTCTCTGCTGGCCTTTTGCATTTCCATGCTTCTCCTTCCCCCTCCTCTTGATCTTCTGCATGGAATTCCTCATCACAAAGCATGATTAGACAATCTGTAAAAAGAGAAGACTGTTATCTTGATTCTTTTAAAATTTGCATTGTAAATTGCTGATATATTGTAAAAGATAGCCTCCTTGTGCTTTTTGTTTACCTGAGGAATCTATGCCCCGCCTGCTAACCAAAGTTCTTGGCACAGTTTAACAACCGTATTTAAAATGCAATACAACAGACAGTTTTCTAGGGCTTTAAAGATCCACACAATGGGTTGTTAATCCTACTTAGAGTAGACCCACTGGCTAACTTGGGCACCTTAGTTGGATGCAACCCTAGGATTTCCAGTTGAGACTAGAAGCAAATTGCTAATGTGTTTTTGAAGCCGTGTTGTCCAGCCCTGGTTTCTTTGAGATTAATTAATGAGTTTCCTTGTGTTTAGGGGAACGAGATTATGGACCACCCATTGATCTCTGGGGCGCAGGATGCATAATGGCAGAGATGTGGACCCGAAGCCCCATCATGCAGGGAAACACAGAACAGCACCAGCTCACTCTCATCAGCCAGCTTTGTGGATGCATCACCCCGGAGGTAGGTTCTCTAATCTTTCAGGTTAGAAAATGAGCCCACCCCCCAACCTGTGATGAAATCCTGCCCATCCATGATGGTATATTGCTTCCCACATGCTTGAGCAAGAGCTGGATTTAGTAGGTATGGCATTTGAATCTCTGGATCATATTTAAACTGCTGGCATGATCTTTGCTGTTTTTAGAAACATGGGAAGCGGCCTTATTTAGGGTTCATCTACTTCACTGCACTGAGTCTCTCCAGCTGGTTATGCCCCTGTTGGCGGGGAGTGAGCATGGTGCCTTTTCCATGCAAAGCACAGCAGAGGCCCTCACATACTTCCCACTCTTTGATTATTTTAATTCTGAGATTTATACACTCTTTCCGTTTTTTAAAAAAGTTTTTCCCAGCCTAGGATAATTCATAGCATTTAAGGCTGCCCTCCTGGTCTCGCTTTCCTAGAAGAAGCTCCACCAAGGAAAGTGGAACGTACACTGAGAAAACCGTGTTCAGATTCTGCTGTGGGATAAAGCACTTTGTTGTACAGTACAGCAAAGCGACATCCAAGCTAATTATGCTTTGTGTACTGTTTTTAAAATTAAATCCGAAGGAGGGTAAAATATAGAGGCCTGGGGAAGCGATACAGCATATCATGTGAACTTCTCTGGAGTGATCATGGTTAAGGTTTCATGACTGAGGGCCTCTTCTTGTGCTTTGCCATCTGCCTCCCCTTTGCTGGTGGGGCATTTGGAAGAGGGTCTGCAAAGAAGGTTTTAACTTCACAGGCAAGCTAATAATGGGGATGGGTCATCCTTGGGACCAGGCATGTGACATAGGCATCTCCACCTTGAAATGTGCTCAGAAGCTTGCCTTGTGACCAGTGTAGCTGTTCAGGTTAGGAGTGGGCAATGAGGTATCCTCCAGATGTGATGGACTTCCAGCTGTTATCAACCACAGCTGGTGATAAGGAACGGTGGTGATTATAGTCCTGGAGGGAGGCAGCATCCTCAACACCCTGGGTTTTGGCACTAGCAAGGCGTGATTCCCATTTCCCTTTAGCAGTCCAGCAACGCCTTTTGAAGCTCTTGAAGACTGCAGTTTCTGAACAGTCTTCAAGGGAAGCCCCATGGATTGCTAGGACAATAATCTTAAGTGATCACTTTCAGTGTTTCGGTTAGTTTCTTTACAACTAATAGGTTATACCCAATGTAGCACTAAGCTGAAGTCACTTTGTGGTATAAACTCACAACTTTTGTTGGGGCCACATTTGGGGGGATTGTGTATAAAGCTGAAATCCTGTATAGTCTGAACAACTGCCGTGCAACCATCCCTACCTTTTTGAAGGTGGTGCACTTAGCAGGCCTTGTCCGCCATGCAAGGTGGAGAGCTTAGTGGCTGTTTCTGCATCAGAAAAACCTGGCACAGATAAAGCTCTCTGCCTTGCATCCAGTTTGGTGGCCATTGCTGCATCATGTGGGAACAAACCATAGTTTGGTTGTTCGAAGGAGTGCTTCCTTTTGCCTGACCTGATGGGGCTTTTTGACACTTGGAAACTGAAATGGGTTATCAGTCTCCTTCCTCTGGATTTAATCCTTGTCCGGTTACTCCTTAGGTGTGGCCAAACATGGATAAGTACGAACTGTATGAGAAGCTGGACCTGCCGAAAGGGCAGAAGCGCAAGGTGAAGGAGCGGCTCAAGGCGTACGTCAAAGACCCATATGCTCTGGATCTCATAGACAAGCTGCTGGTCCTGGATCCTGCCCAAAGGATAGATAGCGATGACGCCCTGAATCACGACTTCTTCTGGTCCGACCCTATGCCCTCTGATCTCAAGAACATGCTCTCCACCCATAACCAATCCATGTTTGAGTACCTGGCTCCTCCCAGGAGGAGGGGTGGACATATGCCACAGCAGCCTGCCAATCAGGGCAGGAATCCTGTGGCGACCAATCAGACAGAGTTCGACAGAGTGTTCTGATGGCTGTGGACCAAGAACAAGAATGGAGTACTGGTTTCCAATGGAATAACGAAAATGATTTGTTTCAGCTGGTTTTTTTTTTTTTTTTACTGTTGCAAAGCAAAGCAAAACGAACAAAACAAAAACTGGTAGGAAGAGAACAAGACAGCTGTAGGTCTGTGTTTTAAGAGCTACAGGGCTAAACACTGGAAAGGTGTGTAGAGTTCTGCCTAGCTGGGCTATCACAGACTGAATTGCAGCTTTTCTGTGCTTGTTGATTTCTAAAGTACTGAAACAATCTCGATGAACTTTTTTTTTAAAATTCATTGTTTCTATGAATTTGCACTGCTATGAAAGTGTGTATCTGGTGTGCAGGAGGATGGAGCAGACTGGGTAGGGTCTTGTGTCCAAGAACGGCTGCTGACTTTGAATCATACCGTGGGGCCTGTCCACTTCTGCCACACATGTGTTGTGGCAGTGGGTTGGTTAGGGTGGCCAGGAAGGAAGCTGCAGATCTCCCAGGCTTTGGTAACAGAGGTAGCCTTCCCATGGTAGCAGAGAAGAACGTGGACCCATCCTTGAGCCACTGTAGGATGGCCATCTAACCATTGTTTCTTAAATAAAACAGCTGTTGGACTACAAGCCCCATCATGCCTGGCCACTGGTCCTGCTATGGTTGATGGGAGTCGTAGTCTAACAGGTGGTGAACCAAGTTTGAGAAACAAACAAACAAATTCTGATCTTTTTGCTGCACCACTACGTAGCTCTGCCATGGATTTTGTAGGCTTCAAGCTTTTTTTATTATTATTTAAAAATCCCAACAGCAGGCAGTAAATGCTTACTTACTTGGACCTAACAAGGCAAGAGGTCTGATGACTTTTCACCCTGGGTATGGGTGGGATACTTATCTGTATTATACTTTTATCATGTTCTGGTCTTTTTTCTAAATAGCTCAACTGTAATAAAAGGTACTTGCATAGATATCTGGCACTGTGTAAGAGCTGCTTTATTTTTTAGATTGCAGAGTTAGCCAGCAGTGTGGTAGTTAAAAGTCTCAGATTAAGTGTGGAGAGAGTGGAGTACAAATTCTCCCTTTTGGACCTGTCTGTCTGTCTCTCTCTCTCTCTCATATGTCTGCGTGCGCACGCACACACACACACACACATTATCTCTTGGCTTACTTCACTTGTAGGGTGGATGTAAAGATAAAATGGAACAACTATGTATGTCATCTTGAACTCCTCTGAGGGAATGTGGGATAAAAGAAATCAATAATAAATAAATACCATTCTGATCAGGAGGTCTGGAACGAAGAGGGCTGATTGTTTGATCTCCTCTTGGAAGTTACAACTGCGATCGTTCTGTCCAGTGGAACATCCAAGGAGAGGGCATATTGGGGCAGGGAGGGGGCCTGCTGGGAAGGGATACACAACCTCCCCTCTGTATCACATCCAACCACCTGCCAGCCCTCAGATGATGGCTTTCAGACAGTCAGATCCTACCTCCACACAGCTCTAAGGGAATTACAACTAGAATAATTTAAAAGGAGTTAACCCACATTAACAGTATGGTTATATTGCTAGACTTTATTTGGTATTGTAAAATGTGTATTAACTCTCCCAAAAAATAATTCTTTGGCCTGAAATTAGTTTAAAGGGGCATGAATTTCTGCCTTTGTTTCTACCTTTGGTTTTTGGGTGGATACTGCCAGATTACACTGCCGCACTAAAATATACTGGGAATCTGGTTTTATTCTATGTGGCAACAAACGCTTCGTCACTAGTGACCCAGCCAGATGGGAGGGGTATAAATAATAAAGTTGTTGTTGTTAATCTATATAAAAATGAACCACCATCGGCAGACAAATGCTTCTCATTTGCTTATTTTCTCTGTGGCTTGTACTTCTCCCTGAAACGTCAAATCATAGATTGGATGAGAACATGAAACTAGTTACCAGGGTATTTTCTTGCACAGCTCTGACAGAATAGTGCCTCAACATTTTACTCAAATCCCTGCTGCTGTCATCTCCAGAGATGGAAAAAAATGTGGCCACTAGATGGTCTAAATGGACTTCGGGTGGTAGGGTTAAAATGTGCAGAAGCCATCCAAAGCCAATGGGAAATTTAAGGATTTCAAATAGGTTTGCTTTGCAAGGTTGAGCAGGGTGGAGAGAAATGTGGGACAGCGCTCACCTTGTGCAGGGGAGGAAGACTGTCTTGGTATGTCAGAGGGTATCAGAACACAGCAGTAGAGAAGTGCAGTGTAGTGTAGTGGTTAGAGCAGGCTTCCTTAACCTCAGCCCTCCAGATGTTTTTGTCCTACAACTCCCATGATCCCTAGCTAGCAGGACCAGTGGTCAGGGATGATGGGAACTGTAGTCTCAAAACATCTGGAGGGCCAAGTTTGAGGAAGCCTGGTTAGAGTGTTGGACAGGGACCAGGGTTCCAATCCCTGTTGACCAATCACTCACTCTCAGCCTGCTCCCCCCCAAAGAAACGGAAGCCTCGGAGAAAGGCTGATTGGCCTGGCCAATCACTCGCTCTCAGCCTAAGCTTTCTCATAGGGTTGTTGTGAGGATAAAATGGGGAGCAGGAAAACTATGCTGCTTGAAAGAAAAGTGGTACACAAATGTAATTAATCAGTGCTTTTTTCTGGGGGGGATGCAGGGGTATACATACCCCTAAATATTTTGTGAATCTAACGGGAGAAGAAACTTTTTAAGTTTCTTCGCTAGCACAGTGAATTGTCAGTTCCATCCCTACTCCCAATGGCAGCTTCATTTCCTGTCACGGTGTTTCCTGAGTCTCAGATGGAATCGAGCATTTAATGTGTAAAGTGAGAGTTGGACTCTAGCACAGTGATTGGTCAGTTTCATTGTTGCCACATCCGATGGCAGCTTCATTTCCTTTCCAGGTGATTTTCTTGAGTCAAAGTGAGAGTACCCCTAAACATTTTTTAAAGAAAAAAAAGCACTGTAATTAATAAAATAAATAGATAAGGAACATGCCTGTTTACTGATGAGTACTGACTCAGTCATGCTCACTTCTTGGCCATTCAATGTGAGGGATTCAGATATGCCTTAAAAAATTTCAATAGCCATATATGCTCTTATATTAAATGCTTGCTTGAAGCTTTCTATTTTTATTAGGTATTCTGTAGTTTTATATCTTGATTTTATTTTGTGAACCACCCTGAGACCCCTGGGTATAGGGTGGTATATAAATTCAATAAATAAATAAATATAACAACAACAACAACAACAAATTTTGAAATATATCTCAACCATTAAGTTCCAAAGGTTTTATGTCTGGGTCATATTGGTTAACAGTTTCCTGTAAGATGAAAAAGGGAAGTTGAACTAGACACTGAAACAGCTTGCGGTTTTTAACTGCAGCGTTTTGAAGTCAGAAATAAAGGGTCATCTCTCTCTCTCTCTCTCTCTCTCTCTCTCACTCACACACACACACACACACACACACACACACACAATCTTAGTGGGTACTGTGAATTTCGCAGTAGTTTCCTGCAGTTGTGATAGGAATTTTATGGTCTTGGATATATGGTAGTGTACCAACCAAGCACATACATAGATCAGCACAGGAAGACCAACCTGGAACCATTTTGATTCCTAAACTGACCAAATGTTTTCTCTGCAAGGCCAAAGTGGGAAACCTCCCACATTGTCTCTTTCCTCACAAATCCTGTCTTAAGGGCACATTTAAGATATGAATAGGGTGTGAGCCTGCGACCTGGCCCAGGAACTAAGTATTTATCATTACAAAAGAATGGCCAGGCTCCCCAGGCAATCCAATCAAGTAACCTGCCAGACAGGAGATAAACAACAATATTCTCTGGTTGGCCTCTGTTATTTTTTCCTACCAATAGGGAACCTATTGTAAGGACTCTATATGGATACCCCATAAGGGAAAAGAGCAATTTTTGTTTACAACACAGTGTTTGTGCTAGTGGGGAAACTTGGTTCCTATGACCATGACTGTCCAATCTGAGCATCTCATTCATTCATCATTTATAAACTGCTTAATATTTTTTTTAAAAATCTATTTAAGTGGTATACAGCTAAAAACAACATCTATGGTTCTATGACTATGACAAAAAACAAAATCAAAACCAGTAAGATAGCAATACACACACACACACATATGAGAGAAAAGCTAAAAAATGAAAGCATATGAAAGTGATTAAAATAAAAGTTGAGGGGAGTCAAACCTGTAAAACAGGGTCCAAGCCTGAACAAAAAGGTTAAGTTTTCTCAAGAAATCTGAAGGGCATGATGGTTGCTGCTTCACATACAGCAGAAGGTTTCCGTAGCTCAGGGGAAACAGCAGAAAAATGCCTGTTTCCCAGGTCAATGCTCTATGATATTTTGCAGCGCCACAAGTAAAATTTCCCAGGAGGATCAAAGTGAACTTACAGGTCTATACAGAGGGAGGTGATCTTTCTGGTAACCTGGACCCCAGTTGTTCAGGGTTATGTGCATAAACAACAGGACCTTGAAACATGGTCCTGTGTGCAGTTCCCTCAGCACTGGTGTAATATGTACCTGTCCAGGTGATCCACTCAACAACCTGGCTGCAGTTTTTGGCTTTTGTGACATTGTTAACGGAGAAATCTGAGGGCTCCCTTGGACAAAAAACAAGGACATCAGCCAGGAATACCAGAGCAAAACAGCAGCCAGTAGGCTTGGTCTTTATTGAAGACTGTCGTGACAGGACTCCCACCTGCCACAAGGTGGAACAAGATGGAAGCCCCGAGCAAAAGAGCCCCCAAACTTTTATTAGCTGCTAATCCCCATGTTACCTCCCCCCCCCCAAACTACATCACTAATATATCATGGTTACATCATGAAAGGGGAGGTCTGGTGGCAGTAATCTGAGCATCCTGGACCCTGCCCCATGGTTCCCCTTGCCCTCCACCAAACACCCATCAAGTGTAACAAAAGAGATATTTACATTTCCCTGTTTCCCAGCCAAGTTAATCACACCCTTTTGTCTTCATCTGGGTTTGTTATTTCTAGAATCCTTACCTGTCTGGCACTCAGGTATCAGGATGCCAGGAATTATCACTCAGGCAAAGGGGCTGCTGAATAGCTGAGCTCATATGTCTATATGAATTTCTGAAGTTTTCCCTGTGAGCCAGTACATAGATACATTGATCAGTGAATTCTTACATTTGGTATCGTGCAGCAAAGGCCCTTTGAATAGATAGGAAGTGTGATAGGAATTTTATGGTTTTAGATATATGGCAACGTTCATAACCACACGTACATAGATCAGCACAGGAAAGCCAACCTGGAACCATTTTGATTCCTAAACTGAGCAAATGTTTCTCTGCATGGTAAAAATGGAAAAGCCTCTCCATTGTCTCTTTCCTCACAAATCCTGTCTCAAGGATATGTCTGTTTGAATAAGGTGTGAGCCTGTGACCTGGCCCAGGAAATAAGTATTTTACCACTACAAAAGAATGGCCAGGCTCCCCAGGCAATCCAATCAAGTAACTTGCCAGACAGGAGATAAACTGTGACAGGAGAAAAACAACATTTAAATTTCTGTGATGTAGGTGGGATGTATCTGAGGGGTGGTCTTAGGTTACACCCCTTCTGTGATGAATGCATAATGTTTCTGGGGGTGGTCTTGATCTAGAGGATGGGAATTTCAAAAGTCTTTATAAGCCCTTGCACAGCATTTTTTGGGGGTCCTCTTCCTCTCCTGCATGTGAGGGGAGTACCCTGTTGCAACAGATTAATAAAGATCAAGCTTACTAGCTGCTTTGCTTCTCAATATTCTCTGGTTGGCCTCTGTTATTTTCTCCTACCAATAGGGAACCTATGTAAGGACTCTATATGGGCTCTTGGATACCCCATAAGGGAAAAGGGCATATTTTTATTTACAACAGAAGAAACCGTGATGAAGTGTTTTGTGGGGACAAATCACAAAAGTCACAAAAGTGATTGTGCTGATTTTGGTAGTGGGCTGCATGTGCATGATATCTGCTGGAGGGGCAACCCCCCCCCCAACCTATACATAAATTCCTGCAACAACCTGGACAGTCACAACAGTCCTGTAAGGTAGGTCAATGTTATTACTTAGTAGATGGGGGTGGAGCAGCTGAGAGAAGAGTGACTTGCCTAGCGTGGTAGGAATTTTGAGGTCTTAGATATATGGTAATGTTCATAAGCGTACCAACCAAGCATGTACATAGATCAGCACAGGAAGACCAACCTGGAAACATTTTGATTCCTAAACTGAGCAAATGTTTACTCTGCAAGGTCAAAGTGGGAAACCTCCCCATTGTCTCTTTCCTCACAAATCCTGTCTTAAGGCCACATTTAAGATAAGAATAGGGTGTGAGCCTGTGACATGACCCAGGAACTAAGTATTTATCATTACAAAAGACTGGCCAGGCTCCCCAGGCAATCCAATCAAGTAAGCAGAGTATCCAATCAAGTAATCTGCCAGACAGGAGATAAACAAGGACAGGAGAAAAACAACATTCAAATTTCTGTTTTAGACCGCCTTTTCTGTGATGTAGGTATTATGTATCTGAGGGGTGGTCTTAGGTTACACCCCTTCTGTGATGTATGTATGATGTTTCTGGGGTTGATCTTGATCTACAGGGTGGCATTTTCAAAAGTCTTGATAAGGTCTTGCATGCCATTGTTCGGGGTCCCCCTCCTTTCCTGCGGGTGAGGGGAGCACCCTGTTGCAACAGATCAATAAAGATCAAGCTTACGAGCTGCTTTGCTTCTCAATATTCTCTGATTGGCCTCTGTTATTCTTTCCTACCAATAGGGCACCCATGTAAGGACTCTATATGGGCTCTTGGATACCCCATAAGGGAAAAGGGCAATTTTTGTTTACAACACCAGGTCTTCTCACAAGACTGTGGCTGAGGTGAGATGATCTGAATGGCTTCTCCCAAAAGAGTCCTGGGAACTGCCGCTCACTAAGGGTGCTGGAAGTTGGAACTCTGGAAGAGGTAGACAGCAGCTCTCAGAGTTCTTTAAATGCATGGTGTGGATGTGACTGACTGTCTTTAAAAAGCACAACTGAGTAGCATTGTAGTAGGACATGGCTCAAGCATATCTGAGTCATAGGCTAACCAAACAAAAACAAACAAACCCAGAGTGAGACTCTGTACCGAATGCAGCCTCGAGTGACCTCTGTTTAGTTGTAGTTTAACTAGTTTTGGGAACTGTTAGGCTGCCCGGCATGCGTTCTGCCACAGGGCAGAAGGAATGATCAGACCTTCCTTCTGGAGAGTCATAATGGAAAGAAGAAAGTTCAAAGAAACATACAAGGTAAATTTGCCTTCGTCCTACCTAGGTGGAGGTCTGAACAATGTGAAATCTATTTTTAGGAAGCTTCACTAATGTGAAATCTGCCCCTAGAGATTGTGGTCATAATAAATAGTTACTGGTGGGCTTTCTGACAAATGGCTCTTGCTCAGAAAGGTCTTCCTAATGCTTAGTCAGAATCTCCTTTCTTGCAATTTCAATCATTTGGTTCCGGTCCTGAACTCTGGAGCAGCAAGAACAAGCATGTTGTCTTCCATGTGACAGCTCTTCATATATCTGGTCATGTTAGATATACAGTACTGTATCAGTGTAAACTGCAGAAACGTCTACCTCAGAAGGTGGAGTGGACTCTTCTCCACTGGAGAGTGAGTTTTTTGGGGGGTAAAGCATTATTATTACTATTTCATTTTATAAAGTGTATAAAACAGAGAGAACAATTATAACAACAGACAAAAATTAAAAGATGAAAAACAATCAAAAGGCATGTAGAGTGAGTTGTTGCACATGAGTTTAAAAAACAAAGCCCAAGAGAAGACTATCAATTTGTATCAGGTCATGAAGTCAAATTTCAGATTTGCCAGGATTTTGTGATGAAGGTTGTATTGAAAGTGGTGGTTCCAGTGTATATGTCATAAAAGAATGCCAGATCATCTAAAATGTGTCTGGAGCTTCTAGTCCTTGTAAAAATTTCAAATTATGTCAGATTTTCTCCATTATAACTATTTTCCAGAGTGAGCGGTACTAAGCATCCGGTGTAAGATTTTGGGCTGTTTTCCACTGAGTTGCAACCACTCATCATGCTGCCAAGATCATATATAAGACCAATTCTTTTGACAATATATCATCAAAAATATCTGGCAACATTAATTTTGGGCAGCAAACAATGGTTTAATTTCTGTCAGAATTAAATCCCAAAAATCTCACACCAACCGACATTCCTGTAAATGATAATATGCACCAATATTATCACCCTCCAAGAATTAGGTGATATAAAACATTTCTGACATTTGCAAAGGGGTATAATACCATCTGTGTAATAATTTTAATGAGTTTTCCCTAAGGATTTTAAGGGTTGCGATTCCCAAATTTTATTTCAGTCCCTGGGAATAATTTGTGTGCCAATATCCAGCTCCCATATCTTTTTAAGGAGTTCCATAATTATACTGAGAAATGTTATGTACATCCTATCCCTTCTTCCCCCAACCAGCACCGTGCTTAAATAAATTTTCAAATTGTGTTACGGGTCTGAGAGGACCTTGTGTTTCTATATGTTCTTTTAGAACGAAACCGTGAATTTGATTGAAACAAATCCAGTTTGTGTTAAATGCATAGCTGTCAACGTTTCCCTTTTTAAGGGAAATTCCCTTATTCCGAATAGGATACCTCGCAAGAAAAGGGAACAGTTGACAGTCCCTTTCACGGAGAAACAGCCCTGCGCCCGTGCGCGCACCTCTCTGCCACTTCCTACCTCTACCTGTGGTTTGATCTAAAGTGGCAAGTGAGGGACGAGGGAGGGAGCGGGGCAAGAAAGGGAATCGCCCTTCCCAAAGATGGCCGGGTTGGTTCTACTGGTTGCTTCTGCGCAAAACGGCCTGGGGCCCCTCTGCTACCACCCGCAAAGATGGCCGCTCCGGCTTCAGGGCCGCTTCCGCGCCTGCGCGCAGCCCGGACGGTTTCGCGGCGTGGTGCGGTCGAGGCTTACGATCCGCTTGGGGAAGTTGTGCTTGGGGGGGAGGCGCTTACGATGGGCTCGCGCCGGGTCCGCGCTCTGCACCTGGCCTTCCTCCAGCAGCGGGTGCTGGCGCCTCCGCCGCCTCGCGAGCAGGCTCCCCGTCTGGGCGCCCGGAGGTGGCTCAGCGCCCGCCCGGCCCACGCGCCCAGGATGGAGTACCAGGTGAGGCACCGCCGGGGCGCCGGAGACCCCCTTGCAAGCCCGGCGGGGGTTGCGTCAGCCGGCGGGCAGGCAGGGATCCTCTTCCCACTCTCGCACCTGCTGCAGCTATTGGTCGGTGGGCTGGTTCCGTGAAGGGGGAGTGCAAGCAAACGGAAGCCTCGGAGAAAGGCAGTAAAACACACACATGCAATTCCCCCCGACCCCGCTTTTGAAAGTTGAAGATATTAAACAAGCAAACAAAAAGACCAGTTTTAAAATTCGCACCAGCATTTCTAAGCGTCCGGGCAGCCACGAGTAAGCAGGAATGCTTTTTGCACGCGCCAAAAAGATTGCGGCGTGGGCGCCTGCTTGATCCGCTTCCTTGTTTTATATTTCATTGGTATGCGTATGGTTAGTGACTTCTAACGCTGGCACCGAATTTTAATGCGATTTCTTTCCGTTGCATTAGCTTTCTAGGCTGCAGTCCTGTTTTGTTTTGTTTTGTTGGTGTGTTCATGTGTGTGGGGGGATTCTAGTGCTGGATATTAATTCGATTTCTTTACGTTAGTTTTATAGGCTGTCGCCCTACCTTTTATTTTTCAAGTTCAGCCCTGGCGACTTGCAGACGCGAGGAATGAATTGCATTCCAAGCTGACCCGAATTTATACTGTACTTTCTTGTGTAGTAGATTCCGAGCCATAAAGGGAAGGAACAAAACTATAGTGGCGAATCTACTACTATTACTACTACTACTACTACTACTACTACTACTACTACTATTTTGAAATAGGTAGTTGTATTAGTTTTTCCACAGATAAAACAGTAACCGCAAACAAAAGAAAGCAAAATTGGAGTACACGTTTGTCAATTAGAGGCAAATCACTTTTAAAACAAGGGAGGGAGATATAGCCAGGTGATCGGAAGACCTGGCTCTCTTGAGGCATGTGCTTCCACATGTTTTTGGACTCCAAATCCCATCATCCTTTGCTGCTGGCTTTTCTGGCAAGGCATGAAGGGAGTCCAGCAGCGCCTGGAGAGTTGCACGTTCCCTGCTCTTAAGACCTCAGCAACAGATGTCTGTGGTCCGGTTTTTTTAGGTGGCAATTCTAGGGACTGAACTTGGGGAGGGGGCTTTTCTATGCAAAATTGTGTGCTCTTTTGTTGATCTGGCTGGCCCCACAACCCAGCCTTCACTGACTGGTGCCCTCCAGATGTTTTGAATTGTTTCCACCAGCCCCTAGCAAGCACATTTTGGACTCAGGTGGCAATAGTAGTGCTCTAAGGAGGCATTCCCTGTTCTCAGTTGTTGTGATTTTATGCTTCCCACTCCACAATTGGCCCCATAGGAGTTTTTTTGTAGCCACCTAACTTGTTTCAGGTTCACATTCAATGCCTTTTTGTGTGTGTGTCCGTCCATCCATTTTAAACCCTGTATCCCAAAGGACAGCCAGTCTGGTGTCCTCAATATGTTGTTAAACCGCATCTTCCATCATTCCCGACCTTTGCCCAAGCTGACTGGGGCAGATGAGAGCCGGAGTCCATCAATATCTGGTGAGCCACTGATTAGCCACCCTTGTGTCAGTTGAATTTTTTAGGCATTGTCCACAGCGCTGGGCAATATTTGGTTTTCAACATTGCGATAAATCACTACCTAAACATTGCGATATTCCAATGTATCACAATGTCTGAAACAAGGAGACTAAACATGGTAATGTCCTGACAACTGCTACTACTGCTACTAAAGCAGATACATTTTTACTAACCTTTAATCATAGTGGATACATATAATCCGGGAAAATATTGAGGGGGGGATTAAGTTTGATGCATAAATGAAAATAAACTCAATGATTTCATGCTTCAGCTAAACCATTAAAGATTTCTGGAGAATATATTAATGTTCTATGTAGTTTTAAGGGCAATTAGATTTAGTAAAATAATGTTAATTACTCGCATATGATAAAAAAATTATTTTCAGCTAATTTAAGAGTTATTTAAGTACAGTGGTACCTCAGGTTACATACGCTTCAGGTTACATATGCTTCAGGTTACAGACTCCGCTAACCCAGAAATAGTGCTCCAGGTTAAGAACTTTGCTTCAGGATGAGAACAGAAATCTCACGGCGGCAGCGGGAGGCCCCATTAGCTAAAATGGTGCTTCAGGTTAAGAACAGTTTCAGGTTAAGAACGGAGCTCCAGAACGAATTAAGTACTTAACCTGAGGTACCACTATAATTTACACAAACCACAGCCCCCACACCCCCATGACACACCCCACATCTCACATACCCCCACCCCACCCCGACTTTTTCTTCCAAAACCACCACCTCACGTGCGGCTTCCTAAGCTTGGGTGGGTAGTTCTGGTGGAAGCGATTCTGCATCTTACTTAGGCAAACATTCGCCATGCAACCTGGTTTGTGAAGCAGGAGCTGGCAGCAAATCTGTGGTTTTTTATTTGTTTTTAAGCCTAACCGGCTTCTCCACTCCCTTCACAAAGTTGTCGGAGGCAGGGTGGGAAGGTGGAATGAGGGTGAAAGGAATTTCCTAATCGATTTCATCAGAGCAGCTCAATGCGGACGATTCTTTACTGACGATTGCCAAGGGGAGAGGCGCGTTAATAGGAAGAGGAAGCCAGCTACGACAAGGGTGCCACAGGCGGGCGCATGCATTCTCACACACAGAGAGAGGAGGGAGGGAAAGAGGCTTAAACAACATAACCTACCAGCCTGGTGCTCCTAGCCTAGTTCTAAAACAAAAAAATTATGGTGTCTGCTCTAAGGATACTGTAGTTCCCAGTCATTCTGCCTTCATTTGTGAGTGCCTGCTCTTGTGGTTTGCTGCCCCCTGCAGGAGAGAGCTAAGCCAGCAAAGCTATACAATTTGCAGGAATTATGAGCAAAGTGACAATCAGCTTCACGGTTTTCCCCACATGATTAGCAATATATCTCCAGGTAGAATGTTATGCAAAAGCTTTCATGATGTGGACTTTTTTTTTTTTTTTAATTGGGTTTTATAAACAAGAATAATGTTATGCAAACAAGTATACCAAGTTTTCTCATGCCATTTGTATACAGTCATATCTCATGTTACGTTTGCTTCATGATATGTTTTTTCAGGTTGCGTCCTGCGGCGACCTGGAAGTACCGGAAAGGGTTACTTCCGGGTTTCGCCGCTCGCGCATCCACAGACGTGCAAAATGACATCATGTGCAGAAGTGGCAAATTGCAACCTGCATGTGCACAGACGCACCACTGTAGGTTGCGTTCTATTCATGTTGCGAACGGGCCTCTTGAACGGATCCCGTTCGAAACCAGATGTACCACTGTATCACAAAAATAGCATGATAAATGTGGAAAAGTATCTACAACATATGTTTCATTATTAGTGGTCCGTGTGCAGGTTCTTGGTTCATGAATTGGCTTAAACCAGTGGTGGCCAACCTTGGCCCTCCAGCTGTTTTGGGACTACAATTCCCATCATCCCTGACCACTGGTCCTGTAAGCTAGAGACGATGGGAGTTGTAGTCCCAAAACAGCTGGAGGGGCAAATTTGGCCATCACTGGTTTAAACAATTAAGAAAGAAAGAAAGAGGGGAGGGGGGAATGGTGAGTGGGGTGGGGTCGGGTGGTTATGCTTCTATTCTTCTACTTAGTGGCGGGGTCAGCGTTACTTATATGGGCTCTCTTACTATTCACTTGTTGTATTTCCTTGGTGGTGAGAGAGGGTGGACTTTAAATAATATATAGAAAAATTGTCCAGGCCTAATTGTCTTATCTCCCCACAGATAGAAACTACACACATCAGTAAGAGAGCATCGAGTAAAAATCTATACAGTGGTACCTCGGGTTACATACGCTTCAGGTTACGTATGCTTCAGGTTACAGACTATTCTAATCTAGAAATAGTGCTTCAGGTTAACAACTTTGCTTCAGGATGAGAACAGAATTCATGCTCCCGGCGGCGCGGTGGCAGCGGGAGGCCCCATTAGCTAAAGTGGTGCTTCAGGTTAAGAACAGTTTCAGGTTAAGAACGGACCTCCGGAACGAATTAAGTACTTAACCCGAGGTACCACTGTACTGATTTTAATTTTAATTTACTACATTTATATCCTACCTTTCCTGTCTGCTTCCGGGGAACTATTTTCTGCTTCTTTTTAACATTGAGTGTTTTTCCAAATGTGCAGTCTTAAGCAGTATAGTCAGTGCATTGTCTCATGGCCCTGCATGTGAGTTGGGTGAGGTGGAGGAGAAGCGAGAAAGTGATGAATGTGGCCAAAACTAGAAGCGAAAGTGCTTTTAGCACATTGCCTGCTCCTGGCCTATTGCCACCCGAGGCATCTTTGTCAACTTGCCTTTACAAGCATGTCACTCCCTGCTGGGATATTCATGGTAACTACTCAATAGAAGTTACCGTATTTTTCGCACCATAGGACGCACCGGTCCATAGGACGCATCAAGTTTTTTGGGGGGGAAATAAAGGAAAAAAAATTATTTCCCCCCCAGGCGCTTGTGGGGCCGGCAGCGGGGAGAAGAGCGCTTCTCCCCGCTGTCCGCCTTCAGATCAGGTCCGGGGACAGCGGGAAGACGCGCTGCGTCTCCCAGCTGTCCCCGGAGCTTGGGGGCTGGCCGCGGGGCGAAGCGCTCTTCGCCCCGCCCCCCGCCTTGGATCAGGTCCGGGGACTGCGGGAAGACGTGCGGCGTCGCCCAGGGGTCCCCGGAGCTTGGGGGCAGGCAGCGGGGAGAGCGCTCTTCTCCCTGCCGCCCGCCTTGAGATCAGGTCCGGGGACAGCGGGGAGACGCGCTGCGTCTCCGTGCCGCCCCCGGTGCTTGGGGGCAGGCAGCAGGGAGAAGCGCTCTTCTCCCGGCCGCCCGCCTTGCGTTCCGGTCCGGGGACCGCGGGATGACGGGCTGCGTCACCCAGCTGTCCCCGGAGCTTGGGGCAGGCAGCGGGGAGAAGCGCTCTTCTCCCTGCCGCCCGCCGTGCGATCAGGTCTGGGGCCAGCGGGGAGATGCGCTGCGTCTCCCCGCTGTCCCCGGAGCTGGGGGGCAGGCAGCGGGGGAAGCGCTCTTCTCCCCGCCGCCCGCCTTCACATCAGGTCCGGGGACAGCGGGAAGACGCGCTGCGTCTCCCAGCTGTCCCCGGAGCTTGGGGGCAGGCAGCGGGGAGAAGCGCTCTTCTCCCCGCCGCCCGCCTTCACATCAGGTCCGGGGACAGCGGGAAGACGCGCTGCGTCTCCCTGCTGTCCCCGGAGCTTGGGGCAGGCAGCGGGAGAAGCGCTGCTCTCCCCGCCGCCCGCCTTGATATCAAGTCCGGGGACAGCGGGAAGACGCGCTGCGTCTCCCTGCTGTCCCCGGAGCTGGGGCAGGCAGCGGGGAGAGCGCTGCTCTCCCCGCCGCCTGCCTTGATATCAAGTCCGGGGACAGCGGGAAGACGCGCTGCGTCTCCCTGCTGTCCCCGGAGCTGGGGGCAGGCAGCGGGGAGAAGCGCTCTTCTCCCCGCCGCCCGCCTTCAGATCAGGTCCGGGGACAGCAGGAAGACGCGCTGCGTCTCCCAGCTGACCCGGAGCTTGCGGGGCCGGCGGCGGGGTCTCCCCGCCGTCAGCCTCCAAACCACTTCGGGAGACAGCGGGATGGCGGCGTTCCGCCTCCCTCTGTCCCCCGACCTTGTGGGGCTGGCGCTGGGGCTCTCCTGAAGCCTGGAGAGCGAGAGGGTCGGTGCGCACCGACCCCTCCCGCTCTCCAGGCTTCAGTGAAAGCCTGCATTCGCACCATAGGACGCACACACATTTCCCCTTCATTTTTGGAGGGGAAAAAGTGCGTCCTATAGTGCGAAAAATACGGTATATTGGCCCTACTCAGTAGATATGTCAAACTAGGGTATAGGGATGTGGGTGGCGCTATGGTCTAAACCACTGAGCCTCTTGGGCTTGCTGATTAGAAGGTCGGCGGTTCAGATCCCCGCGACGGGGTGAGTTCCTGTTGCTCTGTCCCAGCTCCTGCCAACCTAGCAGTCTGAAAGCACACCAAAAAGTGCAAGTAGGTACTGCTCCAGCGGGAAGGTAAACAGTGTTTCCATGCGCTGTTCTGGTTTCGGTGTTCCGTTGTGCCAGAAGCGGCTTAGTCATGCTGGCCACATGGCCCAGAAAAACTGTCTGCAGAGAAACGCCAGCTCCCTTGGCCTGTAAAGCGAGATGAGTGTCGTTCGTGACTGGACTTAACTGTCAGGGGTCTGTTACCTTTACCTTTTTAACTAGGGTATATCAATTTCAGTGTGTCTGCTGTCAAGAAAACTTAGTTGAGTGAAATCTAATGTTTTTAATTGTTTTTAGAAGTCTTAAAAAAGTCTTTAAAATTATTAATGCTCTGGTTGCCACCTGGGGCTCCTTCAGAAGGAGCAGGATATAAATTGAATAAATAATAATAAATACATAATGTGTGCTTGGGGCCTGAGATCTTTGTACCCATTTTACATAGCTGGCTGCGGTGCCTGATAAATTTCAAGTTTCACATAATTGGTTTTTGTTTTTGTTTTGTAAAGGACATGGGCGGTGGAGGAACAGACTCTAAAAGAGCCATTATCAGTCTGATACGATCTTGTGTACATTAAACATCGTCATATAAGCCAAGTAAGAAAGAATAAGGTAGATAGTTTGTTTAGTTTGATGGTTCGTTTTTAGTTCCATCCTCACCTGTGCATCAGTGCAAATGTAAATCAGTGTGTGTTATTCCGTGGGGCCTCTTAAACTTGACACAACAACACCCTGGCCCTCAGTATGCCCTCATCTGGCCAAAGGACTGCCTGCCTGAGGTGAAACTCAAAACCCAACGTCCGCTGTACTAAATCTAGCTGTTTCTTTATTAGGCCACGCCAGCTGATCATAACCTATAATTTGGAGGTGGGAGGAGAGATAAGAAGGAAAACAGGAGAACACTACACTAGTGACATGTTGTGAAGGAGCAGTTGGCTGCTGCTTGGTTGCGTAGGGCGTGTGGGGGGAGTAATAGCTTCCCCCAGAATTCAGGAAGTTACCTTATCCTGAGTCGGACCACTGACAGTCTAGCCTAGTGACTGGCAATGGCTCTCTGGAGTTTCAGGCAGGGACCCGCCGGGGCCTTCGGCCTGGAAGCAGATGCTCCACCACTGAGCTATGGTCCTTCACTTAAAGAGAAAATAAAATTCCAGCCCTCTTGCTTCTGTATGGGTTGAAGCTGCCATATTCAAAGCCAGGGCATTTGTTCCATCTAGCTCAGCATAGTCTACACCAGCCTTTCTCAACCTGTGGGTCCCCAGATGTTGTTGAACTACAACTCCCATCACTCCTAGCTAGCAAGGCCAGAGCTCAGGGATGATGGGAGTTGTAGTCCAACAACATCTGGGGACCCACAGGTTGAGAACCGCTGGTCTACACCATGGGTAGGCAAACTAGGGCCCGGGGGCAGGATCTGGCCCAATCGCCTTCTAAATCCGGCCTGCGGACAGTCCGGTAATCAGCGTGTTTTTACATGAATAGAATGTGTCCTTTTATTTAAAATGCATCTCTGGGTTATTTGTGGGGCATAGGAATTTGTTCATTTCCTCCCCAAAAATATAGTCTGCCCCCCCCCCAAGGTCTGACGGACAGTGGACTGGCCCCCTGCTGAAAACGTTTGCTGACTCCTGGTCTACACTGACCAGCAGCTCTCCAGAGCTTAAGGCAAGGGATTTCCACAGCCCTACCTTGAGAGTCCAGTAATTGGACATGGGTCCTTTTGCCTGCAATGCCTTTCTACTGAGCGCACAGTCCAACCACTTTCAAGTGCAGTACGGGAATAGCCGGATCTTCACCTCGCCTCGTGAGCTCAGCGTGCGTATAGTAATCCCACATCCCTGTGCCAGCAAGTACAGTATCTCACATAGAAGGCAAATGAGGAAGTCGCTTATTATAGCAGTGGACAGCCCGTTACTCACCAGCTTGTAGCAGAGATATGCAGCCTATTTTTGAACATGCTTCTATCCCTGTCCACTTAAATTGCTTTTCTGCAGAAAGTAGGTAAGGAGCTTGTTTCCCTCCAAGGTAAAAGGTAAAGGTAAAGGACGGTTAAGTCCAGTCAAAGGCGACTATGGGGTTAGGGAGCTCATCTCGCTTTCAGGACGAGGGAGCCAGCGTTTGTCCACAGACAGCTTTCCGGGTCGTGTGGCCAGCAGCACTAAACCACTTCTGGTGCAACGGAACACCGAAACCAGAGCAGGGGCACGGTTACCCCATTCAGGACCAGGGAGTCCTCCACACCAGCCCGCCCTCTGTCCCCCCAAAACAGTACTTCTGTCTTGTCGGGATTCAACCTCAATCTGTTAGCTGCCATCAATCTGCCAACTGCCTCCAGACACACAGGACTTCACCGCCTTCACTGGTTCTGATTTAAAGGCGAGGTAGAGCTGGGTATCATCCGCATACTGATGAACACCCGGCCCAAATCCCCTGATGATCTCTCCCAGCAGCTTCATGTAGATGTTAAAAAGCATGGGGGAGAGGACAAAACCTGAGGCACCCCACAAGTGAGGGCCCAGGGGTCTGAACACTCATCCCCCACCACCACTTTCTGAACACGGCCCAGGAGGAAGGAGCGGAACCACTGCAAAACACTGCTCCCTGCCCCGGTAGATGGTCCAGAAGGATGTTATGGTTGATGGTATCAAAACCCGCTGAGAGATCCAGCGGAATGAGGAAACAGCTTTCACCCTTGTCCATAGCCTGCTGGAGATCATCGACCAGCGTGACCAGTCTTATCTGGATCAAGCTTCAGTTTGTTGGCTCTCTTCCAGTCCATTACCATTTAACTTTTAAGATGGCAAATTTAGGATGATCTTGGCATTCATGTGGGAGGAGGCAGTTCTCTGGGGAAACTGACCTCCCAGCTGTTGTCAGACTACAACTCTCAGCATCTTAGGAATGCTGGCAGGGGCTGATGGGAATTGGAGTTGGGGCTGATTTTCTACCCCTGGTGTACATCATTTTGACAGAAAAGGAAGCTGTACTATGAACATTTTAAGTGATTTTCAGGCTTATTAAAAGGACAGAATGAATAGCTTAGCTGAGCTTTCCTTCTGGTCCACCTGGGGCCAATTATTCAACACCACCTTCTTCATGGAGTTTGTTCACCATAATTTCTCAGTCCCACTACAAATCTCAGTATCAGGCAAGATAAGAACAGACCTCCAGAACAAATTAAGTACTTAACCCGAGGTACCACTGTATTACAATAAAAAGCATACAAAAATCTGCAAATCGTGCCCTGTAAAACAGAAGAAAAACTTGGGTAGCAAAACAGCTTGGATCTGTTTACTCATGAGATTTCCTTACCCCACCTGTGCCCACTCGCTTTGTACAGTGGAATTGGTGCTGCTACAGGTGCCAAACCACACCCGTCTTTCAATCGCTTAGTGTGACAATGCCAACACTATGGAACTCCTGGCCTATTGAATTCAAGCAGGAGCCTTCACTGTACTCTTTTTTGTGCTTGCCAAGCCTATCCGGAGGCTTACAAAGTAGAAGTAATTTTAATCTGTTTTAGTATTTTAACTTCTGTATACTTTTTAAGGTTTGGTTGTGTTTTTTTCTTGATTTTACTTTTTTTTGTAAATGGCTTTGAGGGGTTTGGTTTTTTTTACAATCAAGTGGTGTACTGTGGAATCTCTGGTTACGTACTTAATTTGTTCTGGAGGTCCGTTCTTAACCTGAAACTGTTCTTAACCTGAAGCACCACTTTAGCTAATGGGGCCTCCCGCTGCTGCCACGCCGTGATTTCTGTTCTCATCCTGAAGCAAAGTTCTTAACCTGAGGTACTATTTCTGGGTTAGCGGAGTCTGTAACCTGAAGCGTATGTAACCTGAACCGTATGTAATCCGAGGTACCACTGTATAAATCTTATTAAATAAATACGTAATAAGTTAAGCACATCCTGCAAAAATCTTCATAACTCTTCCAAAGTACCTTGGAGGGAAGATAAAAGTTTTGTCTTTGGTCAGGATCTCCTCTCTAACGCTTCTCTTGATTTCCTCTTCCTCCCCGCAGTCATAAGATTACTTATCTGCCTTTTAAAATGTGCCCTCATTTTGAGCACACCAGCAGCTTTGCTAATAGCCACTGGGTTCGTATCTTTTTGCTGAGTCCCCAGCTCCTTGCTCTTCGACTGCTCTGTGGCCTGAGTTCATTGATGGCCGTGTTGACAATGTGCCAGCTTCCCTCAGTGCCCTTACAGTTTGCTTGGTGGAGGCAGGAAGAGCCTGTGCTTTTTCTGTTTCTGGGTTTTTAAAAAAATGTTCTTTCAGTTAACTGGTACTTTACGCCCCTAGACATGTGATTGAGCTGTTGAGGGAGAGGCACATGTGTCATAAGCTACAGGAAGGTCATTATATTGTTTGTTGGGAGGGGGGTAAACACTGACCACGTGCATGGAACTACTGGTGCGTTCAGAGGAGCAAGGAAGGCAGATTCCTTTCTCAAGAGGGATAGGGTGCAGATTCTCCAGCAGATCTGCTGCCTGTGGCAGAATTCAGACATGAAAAGGCAGAGGACCAGCTGGAAAGCGGGCGTTAAGAAAAGAGGTTCCGGTGCTCCTGTCCCCTGCTTTCTTGCAGCCACTGGAGTGTGCAGTGAGAACCTGGAACCGTGGACAGGGGCATCACAATTCGAGGTTTATTTTTGGAATGGGGCAGAGAGGAGATTGTTAGCATTGACCTGGAGTGGTTGATTTCTTGTTTTCCATAACAGAAGGCTGAAAAACAGGTCTTGCGTTCAGGCACTATCCTGGTTGCAATAGCCAACAAAGGAATTGTGTGCAGGCGAGTGAGTGGGTTGGTGGAGGAAAGATGGGGTGCTCTGATTCCCTTCTATGCCCAGCATAGAAAGCTGGTGGGCTATAGCTCAGTGGGTAGGGCATGTGCTTTGCTTGTAGTAGGTTCCCAAGTCCAGTCCTTGGGATCATTAGGTAGGTCTGGGAACAACCTAGGGAGCATCTGCCGGGCAGTGTAGACAACTCTGAGGTAAATGAACCCTGTGGTCTCTGTACAAGTCAGTTCCGTCTGTTCCCATGGAAGAAGGAGTAGTGCTTCCCCTTCCTCCTCAGCCAGCCAGTCAACTTTTTTTGCAGGCTAGTAACTGCTGTGTGGTTATTTACAAGGCTGACCAAAAGGGGGGAAGCAATTAACCACTGCCTCATATGCCTTCTAGGATGCCATTCGGACTCTGAATACGCTCCAGACGAACGCCAGCTACCTGGAACAAGTGAAACGGGAGCGAGGAGACCCCCAGGCACAACTGGAAGCCATGAAAGGTTTTTTGGAACGAAGTGGATTGAAGGTGAGGAGGTTGGGAAGCTTATGGGAGGCCCCTGGCCGTGATGCGATGCAGTCTTGATTTTTCTGGGGTTAGTGATGGGATGGGGGAGAGGGAGGGCTGTCTATTAGCAGCCATTGCTGCCTGCACTGATGAGGTGTAGCAGAACAGCTAAACTGAAAGGTTCATTCACTTTTTCTCCGGCAGGTCGAAGACCTGGATCAACTGAACATCATTCACGTCACTGGGACGAAGGGCAAGGTGAAAGGGGTTGCAGGGGGGAAGCAATACTTGGAATAGCTCCAAAGGCCTTGACACATGAGGGAAATGTGGGGCAGTTTGCTGTGGGGAATTGAGAGTGCTCAGTTCCAGAGTGTTTGAATGACGTATGGCTTGGCGATGTATCGGTATTGTCCAAAACCAGTCTGAAGTCCACCTCGTGGTAATGGTTTCATAGTATTTGATGTGGTGATATATCGTGAATCACAATGCATGCATGTGCTGCAAAAATCACAATGTGGGAAAAACCGTGGGTTTGGTCATTGCTCCTCTCCTCATTCCTGCTGCCCCTCAACTCTCCTCTGCCTCCTGCAGGTGCTGAAGAAAGCAGCCTACCTGGGAACTTTCCTCATGAGCTTCTTGTTTTAAGCGCAGGTGCCAGGCTGGTAGGCAGTTGAGGGAGACGCAGACCGAGCCAGCTCCAAGCTTCTTGCTGGGAGTCCCTTTCCTTCCTCTGAGAGTCAGCATGGTGTAGTGGTTAAGAGCGGTAGTCTCGTAATCTGGTGAACCAGGTTCGCATCTCTGCTCCTCCAGATGCAGCTTCTTGGTGACCTTGAGCCAGTCACACTTCTCTGAAGTTTCTCAGCCCCACTCGCCTCACAGAGTGTTTGTTGTGGGGGAGGAAGGGAGAGGAGAATGTTAGCCGCTTTGAGACTCCTTCGGGTAGTGATAAAGTGGGATATCAAATCTAAATTCTTCTTCTTCTCTTTCTTTCTTTCTTTCTTTCTTTCTTTCTTTCTTTCTTTCTTTCTTTGGGCTGTCTCTGCCTGCCCACAAGACCCTGACACCGGAGCCATACCGGGGTCCTCACAAGTGCAGGAAGCCCTTTCGGCCTCGCCTCCCCAGCCCCCCCCCCAGTTGTTGCCCAGCCCTGCCATTTGAACTGCTGCTGCCCTCAGCTGGGGCTCTCTTGGAAGCTGCTCCACATGGAGCATGTAGTGGTAATCCAAGTGGGAGATAACCAGAACATGTACCACTCTTGCAAGACAGTGCACAGGAAGTTAGGGTTGCAGCTGGTGTACCAAATGGAACTAGTAGACAACTGCCCTGGATACAAAATTGACCTGCATCTCCATGGACAGTTGTGCATCTAAAAAGACCCTCAGATCGTGCACCTGGTCCTTCAGAGGCACAGTTACCCCATTCATGACCAGGGCATTTCCCACACTGGCCCTCCTCCGTCCCCCAATACTTCTGTCTTGTCGGGATTCCACCTCATTATATTGACTGCCATCCATCGCCCAATTGTCTCCAGATACCCACACAGGATGTTCACTGCCTTCACTGGTTCTGATTTATATGAGAGGTAATAATAATAATAATAATAATAATTTTTATTTATACCCCCCCTCCCCAGCCAAGGCCAGGCTCAGGGCGGCTAACAAGCAATAAAAACAAGCTGAATGAATACAACTTAAAAACAAGATTAAAATACAACAATTAAAATATTGAAACATTAAAATATTAAAATGCAGCCTCATCACAGGAGGAGAAAGGAAAAGAAAAAGAAAGAGGGGGAGGGAATCAAATTGGCTCCAAGCCAAAGGCCAGGCGGAACAACTCTGTCTTACAGGCCCTGCGGAAAGAAATCAGATCCTGCAGGGCCCTGGTCTCACGAGACAGAGCGTTCCACCAGGCCGGAGCCAGTGTTGAAAAGGCCCTGGTTCTGGTTGAAGCTAATCTAACTTCCACTAGGGTGTTGCTATTTATGCACCTTGAGGCTCTCCGTGGGGCATACCGGGAGAGGTGGTCCTGTAGGTACGAGGGTCCTAGGCCGTGAAGGGCTTTAAAGGTCAAAAGCAGCACCTTAAATCTGACCCTGTACTCCACCGGGAGCCAGTGCAGCTGGAAAAGCGCTAGGTGAATATGCTCCCATGGCAGAGACCCAGTGAAGAGCTTCGCTGCTGCATTCTGCACCCGCCGGAGTTTCTGGGACAGCTTCAAGGGCAGCCCCGCGTAGAGTGAATTACAGTAGTCAAGCCTGGAGGTTACCGTTGCATGGATCACTGTGGCCAGGTCGGGGCGGGAAAGGTAAGGGACCAGCTGCTTGATGCGGCGAAGGTGGAAAAATGTCGCCTTGGCTGTTGCTGTAACTTGCGCCTCCATGGAAAGGGAGGCGTCAAGGATTACACCCAAACTCTTAACGGAAGGCAATGGCACTAATTGGGCCCCCGCAAGAGAAGGGAGTTGGTCCCTCATCCCTATGCCATCCCGACCCAGCCATAGGACCTCTGTCTTCGAAGGATTTAGTTTCAATCGGCTGCCATGAAACCATCCAGCCACAGCTTGCAAGCATCTGGTCAGTGTGTCCGGGGTCGAGTCGGTGTGGCCATCCATCAGCAGGTAGAGCTGAGTGTCATCAGCATATTGGTGACAGCCCAGCCCCAACCCCCAGATTATCTCTGTCCACGGCTTCCTATAAATACTAAGAAGCATGCAGGAGAGGACAGAGCCCTGTGGCACCCCACAAGTGAATGCCCAGGAGTCCAAACATTCACCCCCAACACAACTTTATGGACACAACCCAAGAGGAAGGAGTAGAACCACTGCATAACAGTGCCCTCAGCTCCCAACCTGCCTAGATGGTCCAGAAGGATGCCATGGTCATTGGTATCAAAGCCGCTGAGAGATCCAGCGGAACGAGGAAACAGCTTTCACCCTTGTCCGTAGCCCGCCGGAGATCATCGACCAGCATGACCAAGACGGTTTCCATCCTGTGATGGGGCCTGAATCCCGAATGGAAGGGATCCAAATGGTCCACATCCTCCAGACATACCTGGAGTTGTTCAGAGACCACACAATCATCTTGCCCAGGAATGAAAGATGGGATTGGGCAATAATTGGCTACAAACCACCTGAAAGAGTCTCCTAGTACTGTTTTCTGCAGATGCAGTAGAGGCGGTGAAGAAGGTCCTCTTCACCATCACTATCTCCACTTGGTAGGCTAGATATTGAGCTCTAACCTATGTTTGGTCCGATTTGGAATGTGTTTTTCTTCACTGGCCCTCTAGCCATCTCAATGATTGTTTCATTGCCTTCAGCTCCGGGGGAAACCACAGGGCCTTCCAGGCTCCATGCAATCAGAGGACACTTCAGAGCCAGACAGTTTGCATTCCAGTGTGCCACCAGGGAATCAACTAAAAGGCAATCAGCATGGGATAATACATCCCCTCCTACTCTCTGGGAGCCATTTGGGTCCATTAAGTAGCAGGGATGGACCATTTGAATTGGTCTCACCTCTCTGTGTAGGGGAAGGGTCGCGGAGAAGTCCAGTTGCACCAGGAAGTTCTCTGACCATGGCACTTGTTTTGTTCCACTGGAACTTAGTGTCAGATCACTCACGTCCACAGAGGTAAAAACACCTGATCTAAGGCATGTCCATGGCTATGAGTCAGGCCAAACTTATTCAGGGACATCCCCATGGAGGCCATGCTTTACACGAAGTCCTGAGAGTCCCCTTGTAAGGTTATGTCGGCATGGATGTTAAAATTCCCCAGGACAACCAAACTAGGCGTCTCCAGGAGAACATGTGTCATGACCCGAAGCAGCTCTGGCAGGGAATCCTTGGTGCAGCGAGGAGGTCGGTCCACAATAGGAATGCTGTACTGCTCCTATTGTCCAAGTTCTAGAACATGCACTCAGAAAACTGGGTCTCTCTCCCTAATAGGACACCTGATGATAACTAATAACTTCCTAAAAATCACTGCCACCCCCCTTCCCACTCACATGCCCTGGGTTGCTGTGCATAAGAGAAACCTGGTAGACAAGCAGGAGCAAGAACATCTGCTATGTCTAACCAAGTTTCTGTTATACATGCCAGGTCAACTCCTCCATCCATGTTCAAATTATGGATGGCAGTGGTCTTATGAATTTTGACCTGGCATTGCACAGCAGCACCTTAAGGTCATGTGGGACACCCTGGTTGATACCTGCATCCTTCTGGTCAGGACCAGACCTGGAGGCAATGACTAAACCTGCCTCCTTGGTAATGACATGGAGCAACTCCTCCTCCTGCCCCGATCACTGAGATTGGGTATCCCAATGCATCCCCCCCCCCCCATGGAACCTGCCCCAGACATGTTGGCTAGGACCCACTCCTGGGACAGCCCTGTCCCTCTCCCCTTAAATAACTTTTATAATTTAACTAACATAAATAACTAAGCTAAAAATACAAATGCAAACTAACATATGAGCATTTCACAATTACCCCCACCCCAAGAAATACACCCCCAATTAAAACTCTACATTAAAACAATTGAAACAATTAAAAACAGCTTAAAATATTTCACAGCCAATGGCTCCTTCCTTCCTTCTCCCCTTCTGTGTTTGTGTCTCCCTCGTGTATATTAGGGAACATTTTCTCATCTTGCCTTTGATATCTATGCTATTAATTAGTCCTACAGCTTTAATTTTTTTGAAAATGTGCTAATTTACAAATTACCTGTACTATAAAATAACAGTCGTAGCAATATGTTAAAGGGAAGTTAAATTTTGTAAGTTTTAGACCCCTAAGTAGTAGCAGTTGCCAGGGGATTACCCAGTTTGCCTCTACAGAGTTCCATCCTTATTTCAGACATCGTTCTGTATCGGTATATCGCAATGTTTAGCTGTTGATATATCACGATCCTGAAACCAGACATCGCCCAGCCCTCAAGCAGCCCTTTTCATTTCTGGCCAGATGTCAGATGCTCATTTCAGTCTGTCGCTCTCCACGCCGTTTCAAGTAGCAGAACCTTGTCTGTTATCTAGGAGAGTGCATACAAGCCCTGCTTTTCCTGCAGGTACTTCATGCTGTTTCCAGTCCACCATTCTGTTCTCATTTTTACACAGCGCTATGCTGTTTCATCCGCCCAAAAATCCTAGCTGCACCTCTAGTGGTGGAGCCCCAGAATTGTACAAAAAGGTACAATGGAACTACTGCGCTTTATTGTGGTTCTTCTAAAGATGGTTTCTGAGAAACGAAGGTGTCCTTCAGCTGTGGGCTTTTAGGGGCTTCCGTTTCGTTACCCCAGGGGAGCCATCCCTTATCTCACTTTAACCGACACCTGTCTCTCGTCGAAGGGCTTTGTGAAGACGGAACAATCCTTACTCCCTGGACAGAAGCAGCGGGAGGGGAGGGGGTGCATGCATTTCACGCTGCTATTTTGCTGCAAGTGTATTGCGTCTCCTAAGGACGGGCGGAGGGCTCTGGGACCCTGCAGCTTCCTTCCCAAAGCCAGGCGCCTTGCTTAGCCGCAGTGCGGGATTTGGAGGACTGGATGTTTCTCTGCACAGGGTGCTGACGTAAGGTGGTGTGAAGTTGAGACGCTCCAGTTGGGGGCGCCAAATATTGGCCTCCACAGGCGCCATTTTATGAAGATTACAAAGGCCCTTCCATTTTGTTTGGCCTTGGGAGGACAGCGCAAGGGCTCTGGGATGCTGTCAGAGCCCTGGCACCACCTTCCCAAAGCCGGAAGTGGTGTTGAGCTGCTGCAAAATTGAGAAGATCCACTTGGGGGCGCCAAATATTGGCCTCACAGGCACCATTTTATGAAGATTACAAAGGCCCTTCCATTTTGTTTGGCCTTGGGAGGACAGCGCAAGGGCTCTGGGATGCTGTCAGAGCCCTGGCACCACCTTCCTAAAGCCGGGGCACCAAAGATTGGCCTCCACAGGACGCCATTTTATGGAAGATTACAAAGGCCCTACCATTTTGTTTGGCCTTGGGAGGACAGCACAAGGGCTCTGGGATGCTGTCAGAGCCCTGGCACCACCTTCCCAAAGCTGGGGTGCCAAAGATTGGCCTCCACAGGACGCCATTTTATGGAAGATTACAAAGGCCCTTCCATTTTGTTTGGCCTTGGGAGGACACTCTAGGGCTCTGGGATGCTACCAGAGCCCTGGCACCGCCTCCCTCAAGCTGAAAGTGGTGCTGAGATGCCGCAAAATTGAGAAGATGCATAACTGTGAGGATCCACTTGGAGGCGCCAAATATTGGCCTCACAGGGTCAATTTTATGGAAAATTACAAAATCCCTTTTGTCTGGTTTTGGGAAGGCGTCACAAGGGCTCTTCACAGAGCCAGGCGGATTCGGCACTTTGGAACTTTTCCTATACAGGGGCTGTACAGGAAAGATTTATGAAAGATTATTTTGTCTGTGTCTCCCTCGTGTCTATGCCCCCCCTCGGTATGTTTCCCATTTTCTTCCCCTTACGCTTGAACTCTCCTCAGTTCTCCCCTAGCCCTTCTGCTTTCTCACACATTTGTTCCCGAACCCTATGCTGCTTTATGTGCTTCCCCCACTTCCCTCCCAACCACCCCCACTAGCGATTACACAGGGTTGGGGGGAGTGTTTTTTGTTTTTATTTTTCTTGTGTTTGTGTTGTTTGGTTTCCCCTGAATAGCTTCCCTTCATATTACAAAGCAAGCCTTTATTAAAAAGCAGGTTACCTCCTTGTTATAGAGTTCCATTCTTATTTCAGACATCGTGATATGTTGGTATATAACGATGTTTAGCTGGTTATATATCGCAATGTTGAAAACCAAACATCGCCCAGCCTTAGTCTGAAGAGCTGACTCAGTCTGGCTTTTCTGTGTGATTGGATGCAGACCTGGATTTATTCATTAGTGTGTATATACAAGGGGTAGCTAATGTGACACCACCGGACACTGCTAAACTACAACTCACCTCGGTCCCAACCAGCATGTCTAACCATCAACATCTGGAGGACACCATGTTGACTGTCTCTGATATACATGGACACAAAACATGCTCTTTTAATCCAGACACTGTTTTTAAAGAAATGCCGTTCTTAAGCAAAACGTTCTAAACATTTTTAGTGCTTCTAGTTTTTCCAGTTGTGTTTATGGTTTATGGTTAGGGTGCCAAAAGGGCAGGATATAATATTGTTGCTATGTATTGTATTTCTTGCCAGCCCTTCACCAGAATCACATTATTATTATTATTATTATTATTATTATTATTATTATTTCCTGGGCTGCCCATTGTTTGGTCCTGGGCAAAATCTTTATCTCGCTCAGTTCTCCAACTGTAAAAATGGGAATAATATCCTTTTTCTTGTGAAGAAAGAACAAAAGGAAGAGTTCATGAATGGAAAAGCACCAGATATAGAAAGGTGGGGTGGTTAGAAAACATCCAGACGGTGGTTGATTTGCAGGCTTTAACCTGGCCAGATGGTTCACAGCATTCTCACTCCCCCACCCTCCCACCCACAGTGTAAGTTAATGAGCAATTCTAAATGAACCCCCATTTGAATGAGTAGCTATGTATATGTATTACTTGGGCTCCTGTATCAAATCACCTGAGTTGTCTTGGGTAGCAGTTTTGTCCAGATTCCCCTTGCCAGACAGATGTGTCCCTGTCCCGATTTCTTTTTTAACCAGCAGCGTGTGGGTAGAACTTGAGCCTGCCTTCCTGCTAGAAGAAGGGATACCCTCCCTTCTTGCCTTTGTCCACTTGTTAATTTATTTCGTGCTTCTCCCCCACCTCAGGGTTCAGCATGTGCCTTCACAGAACGCATTCTTCGCAACTATGGCTTAAAGACTGGTTTCTACAGGTAGGTGCTGCTGAGTTGAGGGCTGGACTGGCTAGGCCCCTCTTGGTTCACATTCCCACCATACATTAAAAGCACGATGATACCAGTTTTAAACAGCCATTGCTTCCACCCCACAAAAAAAGAATGCAGGGGGCTGAAATTTGTCAAGGGCGATGAGAGTTGTTAGGAGGTCTCTATTCCCCCTCAAAGCTGCAATTCCAAGGATTCCCTGGGAAGAAGGGTTGATCATTAAACCACTCTGGGAATCATAGTTTTTTTAATTCTGTCAATTCTGTGACACAGGCCAGTTCTGTGTCCAGGGCAGCTGTTTATCAGCTCCATCTGATACTCAGGCTGAGACCCTACCTGCCCGCGGACTGTCTCGCCAGAGTGGTGCATGCTCTGGTTATCTCTCGCTTGGACTACTGCAATGCGCTCTATGTGGGGCTACCTTTGAAGGTGACCCGGAAACTACAATTAGTCCAGAATGGGGCAGCTAGACTGGTGACTGGGAGCGGCTGCCAAGACCATATAACACCGGTCTTGAAAGACCTACACTGGCTCCCAGTATGTTTCCGAGGACAATTCAAAGTGTTGGTGCTGACCTTTAAAGCCCTAAACGGCCTCGGTCCAGTATACCTGAAGGAGCGTCTCCACCTCCATCGTTCTGCCCGGACACTGAGGTCCATCTCCAAGGGCCTTCTGGCGGTTCCCTCCATGCGAGAAGCAAAGCTACAGGGAACCAGGCAGAGGGCCTTCTCGGTAGTGGCACCTGCCCTGTGGAACGCCCTCCCACCAGATGTCAAAGAGAAAAAAACTACCAAACTTTTAGAAGACATCTAAAGGCAGCCCTGTTTAGGGAAGCTTTTAATGTTTAATAGCTTATTGTATTTTAGTGTTTTGTTGGAAGCCGCCCAGAGTGGCTGGGGGGACCCAGCCAGATGAGCGGGGTATAAATAATAAATTATTATTATTATAATCATAGTTTTGTTAAGGGAGCAGGTGGGACAACATGTGTAGTGGCCGTGCTGAGACTGGGATGGGATAGGACAGCGGCAAGCGGAGTGGAGGGGAGCTTTGGGGCTGGCAGCAGCTACAGATGTGCATGCTTTCACACCCGTTACCAACTTGTTGCTGCTTTGCATCCTGGCGTGCGACAGCACTGCTGCAGCCACAAGGGTGCCCAACCTCGTGCCTCCGCTGCCCTTCACCAATGTTTGTAGGAGAGACAATGCAGCAGGGCATGCAGTGATATCTGGGCTCTACTTGGTGGGTTCACACAGAGTCTAGGGCTTAATCCTCTCTGTCTGTTTCTCTCCAAAGTTCTCCACATCTGGTTCAAGTACGCGAGAGGATCCGGATTAATGGGCAGCCCATCAGCAAGGAGCTGTTCAGCAAGTACTTCTGGCAGGTGTATAATCGGTTGGAGGAGAGCAAGGTGAGTGCGGCAGAACCTGTTTGCCACCAGTGTTGCAGTGCGCGGGGCTCCTGTTCACTGTCCCTGATGGCCAGCAATGGCCTTTCCCCAGAATCTCCCATTCCATTACCAGACTGCCAAGTCGGTTGTCATTCTCTGGCTGCTGATCATGCATAGTCTTTGTGGGCCTGTTTTGGGGTGGTTTCAAGAGAGTGTTGGGGGTTTCCTGTGGTACTGCTGCAAACCTTGGGGGTTCCCCAGGTCTGCTGATCCACTTTGTCTTGTGCATGGATGGTGGTGTTTAGGCTACATCTTCAACGGCACTCACAGCATGAACGTTAGAAATAGAAGGAATGATAAGGCAAAATGATGGTTTTCCATCAGTAGATTTCTGCCTAGAGTTGTGATTTTGTGGGTTCAGAGCTGTCACTTTTGCCATTTTGTATATACAGTGGTGCCCCGCAAGACGAATGCCTCGCAAGACGGAAAACTCGCTAGACGAAAGAGTTTTCCGTTTTGGAGGTGCTTCGCAAAACGAATCTGCTATGGGCTTGCTTCGCAAGACGAAAATGTCTTGCGAGTTCCTGCGTTTTTTTTTTCCTTTTCCCCCTCTTTTTCTAAGTCGCTAAGCCGCTTATCTGCTTATCCGATAAGCTGATAAGCCGCTAAAGCCGCTAAAAGCCGCTAATAGCGCTAATAGCGCTAATCCGCTAATCCGTCAATGGGCTTGCTTCGCAAGACGAAAAAACCGCTAGACGAAGAGACTCCCAGAACGGATTCTTTTCGTCTTGCGAGGCACCACTGTATTTTTAAAATTATCTTGGTTTATTTGTTTAAAACATTTCTCAGCCATTCCTCTTTTTAAAAATCAAATAAAAGTATTCAAAAGTTAACAAAAATGTTGCTATAAAGTATTTCTGGAACTGTGTTGCATAAAGTTTGAGTGAGAAAATAGTTCACATAATTCTGATGTGTGATTGTTTTTGCTGTAAAAGCATTTAAAATAGAAACTTTTGTTGTATGCTTTGATAGATTTGTGGTTGGTGGTTTTATATTGACATAGCTGTATGAAAATAAAAGACTACTGTCTGGGGGAAAAAATAATTCTAGCTTTGCTGTTGGACTAAGCACAACAGTTTGAAAGTCACCTGCACTATGGAGCCCAGAGTTCACATCTCAAGGAAACCCAGTTTGGTTGATTAATGGTGAACAAAGAGAGGCTTTGTTTTGGGGTATAGATTGCTCATTGGTGAATTGCAGTCCTCCTAACCCACAGCTTGCTTTCTCCAAAGGTTTCTGAACATCCAGCCATGCCTGCCTACTTCCGTTTCCTCACCATCATGGCTTTCCATGTCTTCTTGCAGGAAAAGGTACTCCTTGCAGACTCAATCATTAATGTTGACCAGAGTGAGACTAGGCTTAGACTTTGGGTCTAAGCCACATTGACACCAGACATTTAAAGTACTATGACTCTGCTTTGAACAGCCGTGGCTTCACCCAAGGAATTATGGGAGCTGTAGTCCGTTCAAGGTGAGAATTGTTAGGAGGCCTCTATTGCTCTCACAGAGCTGCAGTTGCCTGAGTCGTCCTTCTTCACAGGGAACTCTAGGAATTGTAGCTCCCATAATTCTTTGGTAGAAGCCATGTTTAAAGTAGTATCATAGTGCTTTAAATGCATGGTGTTTGGATACATTCCAGTTATGGCATCTTGGCCTTTAGGGTGCTGGGCCGGACATGGAGGAAGTGGTCGTGCTTTTGGTAGGCATGCAGAAGACCCCAGGTTGGGCTGAGAGAGAACTCTGCCAGAAATCATGGAGAACATTGCTGCCACTCACTGTAGACAATACTAAAATAGGTGGGACCAATAGTCTGACTTGGTATAAGGCAGCTTCCTATGTTCCTAAGGAGCTTGGTGGCATTGCTCGCATGGCCCTTTAAAGAAAAGGAGATCAGACAGATTAGTGCAGGCTTCCTCAGCCTTGGCCCCTCCAGATGTTTTTGGCCTACAACTCCCATGATCCCTAGCTAGTAGGACCAGTGGTCAGGGATGATGGGAATTGTAGTCTCAAAACATGGAGGGCTGAGGTTGAGAAAGCCTGGATTAGTGGAAGATAGAAGCCTGTCAATGGCTCCTGGTCGTGGTAAATGGGATTTACAGCAAAATATTGCCATTCCTCCCTGTTCCTCTCAGAAGAGTTCTTCTGCTTAGGGCTTGCACAGCCTGGAACAGGAGCCTTGTTTTTATGTTTTGTCACCACAAAAGAGGGCACAGATGCATACATATTAGCAGATGCAAATATATGAGTCAGTGCAATTTTAGAGATAATGGCTGTAATTTCAATGGAAAACTCACCTTAGTGTGGAAGACTGTGAATGTGTGATTGGTTGCTTACTCTGCTGTCCAGGTGCTAACTATAGATGAACAACTTCAAGGCCCCATCCTGTTCTACCTTTGTTATCAGATTTGACTGGACAACCTTCCAACAGATGACACTTTATTTGAAAGTGTCCTCTGTAGAGAAGGACATGTGGCCACCCTCCTTATTGTGTTGTTCAGGTCTATCCAGTTTTCAGAGCGAGAGAGGGATAAAGGATGCCCCGCCCCTTGAGATTCCATGCTGCACTTTATGGTGCAGGGGTAACCAATATGTCACCCTCCAGAAGTTGCTGGAGACCGACTCTCACTAGTCCCGGAAGGTGTCTTTAAGGCCAACCTTCCCCCAGCTTGGAGGATTTCCATAACTCTTGAACCGCCATCAGCTCCAGCCAGCATGACCCAGTGGTCAGAGACAATGAAAGCTGTAGCCCAACTTCCCCTGGAGTGTGCCTGCTCTGTGTACATGCTCTGTGTACGTACTTTGCTGATACGCACCTTTCTTCTTCCCAGGTAGACCTAGCAGTCATGGAAGTTGGCATTGGTGGTGCATATGACTGCACCAATATTATCAGGTAGGGCATCTGTGCGCGGTTCGAAATGGCCGTCATCTTCTTGGTGGGAAATGCTTTGAATGCCATCTCATAAAAAAGAACATTAAGCAGTTTCTTGCTTCCCTAATGAGTGGGCACAGTTCACCAAGCAGTTTCCCACTGGTGTGTACGCTCCGTTTCTTAATTTATATTATTACTATTATTTATTTCCTTTCCCACTTTTTCTCCAAGGGGCTAATGATGAATGCACATAGCCCTCCCACTCCGCATTATACCGGTGAGGTAGGTTAAGCATAGAGGCCATTCCTGCCTCAGGTCCACCCAACTGAGGTTCATGACTGAGTGGAGATACGGCCCCAGGTCTCTCAGTCTTTCGCCCACTGCATCACACTGGCTTTCAGCATATCAGCTAGTAGTTGTCGTTATATATAATTGCTTACAGTCTTAAGGGACATGGTACAAAAGGCAAAACAAATGTGAAGAGAAAGACAGGCAAGTTCAGTCACCAGAGTGTGACAAGATTACGTAACTTAAGATGGAGAATGACTGCTGATGCTGGCAGTTTTGGGAAGGGAGGAACCAAACTGGACAGTTGGTCCCATGCTAGCTGGTACACCTTTCCTCTGGTGCAACTGGGATAAATGCAGGCAGTTCTAGAGTCGGGTCGCCTGCCCCATATAGCACAATAGCACCAACTTGCAGGAATTGTGGGCTAGCTTACAGCAGTCCTATTCTCGTTGTACGGGCCTGTCATCGTGCGAGCTACCTCAGCGAGGCCTGGCGAGTAAAGGGGAGGTGGAACACTGACCTCTGGTTTGCTCAAAAGAGGTGTGTGAGTGTGAGCACTTGGACCCCATTGCCATTCACTGAGACCTGTGGTTTGAATACAGTAGAGTCCCCAAGCCCAAGGAGAAGGGATGTCTTTCTCACACCTTCTCTTCCTTGTAGGAAGCCGGTTGTGTGTGGGGTTTCCTCTCTGGGTATCGACCACACCAGCATCTTGGGTGACACCATTGAGAAGATTGCCTGGCAGAAGGGAGGCATCTTCAAGGTAAGGCCTTAATGTCCTTAGGTGAGATGTCTTTATTACCTCAGGTGAAACATAGGGCAGGAAATGGATGCGGAGGGGTCTGCTGCTGTGGGGTTGCTTTTATTTAGTGGGCCTATTTTTCCGTACAAGATTATTGGTTAGCTATTCCTTGTTTCAATGTTGGAGTGTTTTATCGGAATGAGAATTGTGTGGATGGAGAGATGCAGTGATTGTAAGGAGAGTCATTGTATATGTGGGGTTGTGTGTTTATATTCATTTTGTGTAGTGTGAAAGGTTTTTTTGTAATTTGGATTCATGCATATTTTGTATTTTTTTTAAAATTATAAACTGTACTTATGCCGCATTGTTTGCACATATGTCAATTTCCCTTTTTCTTATCCTTTGAATTCTATGGAAATATTGTGTTTTTAATATTCGGTTGGGAGCTGTCCAGAGTGGCTGGGGAAACTCAGCCAGATGGGCAGGGTAATAATAGTAGTAATAATAATAATAATAATAATAATAATAATAATCGTGATGTATCTATCGTCTGAGGGGACGCGGGTGGCGCTGTGGGTAAAACCTCAGCACCTAGGATTTGCCGATCGCATGGTCAGCGGTTCGAATCCCCGCGGCAGGGTGAGCTCCCACCGTTCGGTCCCAGCTCCTGCCCACCTAGCAGTTCGAAAGCACCCCTAAGTGCAAGTAGATAAATAGGGACCACTTATCTAGCGGGAAGGTAAACGGCGTTTCCGTGTGCGGCGCTGGTGCTGGCTCGCCAGTGCAGCTTTGTCACGCTGGCCATGTGACCCGGAATTGTCTTCGGACAGCGCCGGCTCCCGGCCTCTAGAGCGAGATGAGCGCGCAAACCATAGAGTCGGTCACGACTGGCCCGTACAGGCAGGGGTACCTTTACCTTTATCTATCGTCTGTCTATTGCCATATCATCTATCTATCTATCTATCTATCTATCTTTCTATCCACACACACACATAAACTGATGTTTCACATTTGAACTTTCTAATTGTTTGAGGCCACTTTCACACCATTCACACCTCTTGAGTCTGAACCTTTGAATGCTTCCCTGGCCACTCACCTCCACTGAACCTGCTTTGCCCGCGGAGTGTTTTTCCCTGGCTGGAATATATCCCTAAACTCTCATAATTCCTTTTGCTTCTGTGGATAGATGGAGGATAGAGAGGGCTCTGCAAGTGTGTGCGTAAGCTAGCCTGTTGTGCACCCCTGGCATGTGGCCCTCGGGAGGGTTGTCCAGAAGGAAAGGTGGCCCTTGAGCTGAAAAATGTTTCCTATCCCTGATGGAACAGAACCTGACTTCCCACTCACTCAAGCAGCCCACACAGCATGTATGTTGGCACCTCCTGCTCAGCTTTGGCGCACTGTGCAACTTGGTGGAATATGGCCAGGCTGCATTTGGGAGCAGAAACTGTGTGTGTTCCTTTTTCTAGTGTTCTGAGGCTGCTGATTTATTCTTTCTCGGCTTGCTTTTCAGCCTGGAGTGCCGGCCTTCACTGTTCCTCAGCCAGAGCGGCCCTTAGATGTCCTGAGAGAGAGAGCTGAGAAGAGCTCGGTAAGAAGTCGCACAAAACACACCCTTATGTCCTTAGCCTCCTTCTCAGAACATGAGTCCCTCCTGGTGTGTGAAAAGGGGGTAGGATATGGAAACCTAGTTCCATGAAGAAATGCCCAAGGGAGTGGACATTTTTAGCTTGGAGAAGAGAAAACTGAGGTAAACATGGAGGTGAGCCCTCTTCCTGTGCAGCTGCCTTCACCAGCCCTGGTGTCCTCCAGATGTTTTGGACCACAACCCGCACCAGCCCCAGCCAGCTTTAGCCCAGAACAACAAGGGAACCAGGTTAGTGAAGGACTGCCATGTTTGGAATAGGGAAAGATCTTGTCTCTGGTATCACCCAGGGGAGGACAGGTAGATTTCAGGTGAACACCTAGAAGCTTAATGACAACAACACCAGTTCAGCAATGGGACAGTGCATGTTTGCAGCAGGGGCAACGCGAAGTTAGGGTTAAAAACCACTGGTTCATGTTGGGTGTTATCCACTTGGGCAGTCCGGTTTCCTACGTGACTGGTTGGGACGGCTGGCGTGGAGTGGATAACCGGAGGGTGGAAGCCTTTGTCTTCTGCAGCCCTGTTTAGGGAAGCGTTTAATGTTGAATAGACTATTGTATTTTAATATTCTGTTGGAAGCCGCCCAGAGTGGCTGGGGAAACCCAGCCAGATGGGTGGGGTATGAATAATAAATCATTATTATTATTATGCAGTGCCAGCTGTACCTGTGCCCTGACCTGGATGCCTTCGAAGAGGATGGGAAGCCTCTTCCACTGGGATTGGCAGGTGACCACCAGCGCTCCAACGCTGCCTTGGCCCTCCAGCTCTCTCACATGTGGCTTGGACAGCAGGGGTATCTGGGTGAGTGGAAGGAGTCATTTTTCACTTTTGGTGGCGGGGCGGGGCTGTGCCCCTCAGAACAACTTCCAATCCATAACTGGAACGCTCAGGTATAAGATGGAGTAGCCGTGAGAATATGTCATGCTACAATGTTGGAAAAGTATACAACTCCACTCTCGTGTCTGAATTGACTCTGTACATAGCAGCAAAGCAAGGGTGGGGATCCACAGGCCTGGGAGCAGAATGTGGCCCTCCAGGCCTTCTGTCTGGCCCTCAGCACTCTTTCTGGGACACATCCCATCCCCAGCTACATGTCTTGCAAGCCCTACCTTGCAGCCTCTTTGAAAGATTACTCTTGCCATGCTGGAATGTGTTCTTGGACTCTGATAATGTCTCTCGCTTGACTGCATGGAAGATAGAGAATTATTATTATTATTATTATTATTATTATTATTATTATTATTATTTATACCCCGCCCATCTGGCTGGGTTTCCCCAGCCACTCAGGGCAGCTTCCAACAAAATATTAAAATACAATAACCTAATAAGCATTAAAAGCTTCCCTAAAGAGGGCTGCCTTCAGATGTCTTCTAAAGGTCTGATAGTTGTTTTTCTCTTTGACATCTGGTGAGAGGGCGTTCCACAGGGAAGGTGCCACTACTGAGAAGGCCCTCTGCCTGGTTCCCTGTAACTTGGCTTCTCGCAGCGAGGGAACTGCCAGAAGGCCCTCGGCGCTGGACCTCAGTGTCCGGGCAGAATGATGGGGGTGGAGACGCTCCTTCAGGTATACTGGACCGAGGCCTGTGCTAAGTCTTTGTAGAAACCATCATGTTGTGTTGTTCTTGCTTGTAAAAGCAGTTGGTGGCTCTTGTTGCATTAGTCAATGGGCCAGAGAGTCCTTTACTTTGACTTGCTCCTACAGTGGTGAGGGTAGCTGATGGGTCTCAAGCCCTCAGTGAGTTAGGGACTTGTCTATCACCTGCATGCGAAGACAGGCCCTAGCAGATTGAGCGGATGGGTAGGTCCAACGGTCAAGAAGGCGGTTTCTGTACATGCTGTAGAGAGAAGTGAGATGGGGCTCATCAGCCTGGGAAGGTAGCCCATATAGCAAGAGGAAATCGCTGACCCTAAACTTCCACAGCCTTGCGGGACATCTTCAGGAGAAGAAAAGGCTAAGGAGTAAACCCTACACAAATTCAGAGTAGAGTCCATAAGATGGTTGGATGGCACCTTGTACACCTCCTTTTGGCAACACTCTGCAGCCAAGTGGGGGCCATATGCTTTCCTTTCCTTTGGACCATATCAGCAAGGCCGAGGGGGGTTCTTGTCGTCCGGGCATCCCAGGACCTCCATACACACTGCCCAGGCTTGCTCCTACAGTCCCTGGGGGCAATTGGAGCTAAGTGTTTTTTTCAGACAGGGAGGGGGCAAGTGAGCTTCTCCTTTTGGAGTGGTGGCCATTGGTTGGTCTTATTCCTCCTGGGAGCGAAGGGCACATAGCCTCCCAGTGACCCCTGGTTACTAGAGATTGCAAGTGGAGAAAGCGTTCTTGTGTTCTGGCTCCGCTCGTAGACTTCGCATTGAAGCATCTGGTTGGCCACGGGGAGAACTGGCTGCTGGAGTAGATGGGTCTGTGGCCTGATCCAGCAACCAGGCTCCTCAGCTGTCCTTAGACACCAGAGTGTATGCTTCTCTTCTGGCCACTGGAGGCTGGGCAAGCAGGGCCACGCCCCGCAATCTTAGTCTGCTCTCTGCCAGCACCTATCTGCTTGCCTTCCTACTCTCATTGAGGCCAGGGGTTGGTGCTGACGGCAAGCCTCCTCCCCTTTAGTCTCAGTGTTGCACCTTGTAGAACAGAGCAGGAGGAGAATGGGGACAAACTAAGACTAGTTGGCTGTGGCGCCACCTGCTGTTTGTCTCCCTGCCTTCCACCCTACCAGCTCTAACAGACACCACCCATCACTGCTTCTGTTCTTCAGTGTCTGGGCATGCGGAAGATCACAGGCTCGATCCCTGTCATCTCCAGGTAAGGCTGGGAAATAATTCTCTGCTTGAAACCCTTGAGAGCCACTGTCAGTAAATGCTGACTACATATAGGGCAGGATGGGCAAACGGTCTCACCCGAATAAGGCGGCCCCTTACACATAACTTACATAACTCAGTTATGTGTAAGTTTGACTTATTATCTTGACATTGTTGTGTTTTAATTTTGAAATAAAAATAATTTTTAAAAATGCAGTTCACTTACAGCACAAAAAAAAAATAGGCTGTATGAAATAATACTTTAGAATTCAGTCTTTTAAAAGCCATGTGGGGGGGCTGGGTCAGGGTCTTAAGCCCAGTTTGGTCCAGCAAGTAGAGACATTTGGCAATACATTAGCCTGCCTCCCCAGAGCACGTGGTCTCACATTGGTTGGTTATTGGGACTGGCACCATCCACATGTGAGGATAGCTGGATGTGTAGGAAACTAACTTTCCTTGGGGCTATAGTTGGGAAGAGAGCGAACTGATACCAGTCCACTTTGCAAGGTTGTTATAAAGGTAATGCCTTTAATTTTAAAGATTTAGGTCCTACCTTAATCACAAACGCTTTAAAGTGGCTAAGTTTGATATGATGATGATGATGATGATGATGATGATGATGATGATAATAATAATAATAATTTATTATTTATACCCCACCTATCTGGCTGGGTTTCCCCAGCCACTCTGGGTGGCTCCCAACAGAAGATTAAAAGCATAATAAAATGTCAGACATTAAAAACTAGAGCATGCACCACTCTGGTGAGACTGTCCACAGGCAGGTAGGGTCTCAGCCAGCATATCAGATGGAGCTGATAAACAGCTGCCCTGGACACAGAATTGACTTACGCCTCCATGGACAGCTGTGAGTCCAAGATGACTCCTAGGCTGTGCACCTGGTCCTTCAGGGGCACAGTTACCCTGTTCAGGATCAGGGAGTCCTCCACACTCGCTCGCCCCTTGTCGCCCCAAAACAGTACTTCTGTTTGTCAGGATTCAACCTCAATCAGCTGCCATCCATCCGCCTCCAGACACTCACACAGGACTTTCACTGCCTTCACTGGTTCTGAGAGCTAGAGTGCGAAAGTCTGGAGTTTTTGTAGAGTTTTGTGCCTCTCAAAGACCTCCTCCTTGCTGATTTTTAAAAATAACTTTTTAACAGTGACTTAAATGGGGCTCAAGATATAAACTCTATTAATTTAGTGATAGCCTCATCTGCTGCCTTTGATTGCTGTTTTTGTCTTTCTCATTAGCGTGTTTGTGCTGAAGCGTGTTTGGGATATAAATAAATGAATTATAAAAAATTAGGATTGCAGCAAACACTTAAGTGTTCACTAACAGAGAAGAGGGTGGCTTTTTCTGTGTCTGGACAGATATTGGTGAGCTGAAGGCCCCCTGGTTGAGCTCAGAGCTGCCGGCAAAGAGATCTCCACCATTGGCCCCTGTCTTCAAGCCAGGAGAAGCCATGCTGCAAGGTGAGTTTCTCTTTCTCTCTTAGCTCCTCCAATGCTCTAAAAAAGGGGGTCACGGGCCTTTCTCTTGGCTGTTTTCCCACACACTGCTGTTGCCTTTGACTTTTGGCAAGCGATAGTTGGACCCAGTGTGAACATTTTGCTTTCGCATAAAGTAAAAATATGTAGACACGTTTAGCCTCCTTGGCTTTCCTGTCAATGACCTCAAAGGAGGCAGCTCCCACGCAAATGGATGCGGAAGGCAAGGCGTGATACGAAAAGAATGAATTCAAAAATATTTAATTGCTCAAGGCAAGGTCGCAGCAAGAATTATGGCTTACCTTCCCACAGAACTTGAGGAAACCAACAATGCATGTATTTAAGGTGGCGATTCCTATCTTGGTGTGTTCTGCTTCTGTTCAGTCAGTTCCCACATTAGACAAAGGAGAAGGAGTGCAGAGTACGTGCTTTTCCCAGTCTCCAGCATCCGCAGTTAGCACCACGGTGGCGAACTTGTAGCCCCTCCTGATGTTGTTGGATTCCCAACTCTCACCCGGCCCAACCAGCATGGCCAGTACTCAGGGATGATGGCTGTTCAACACCATCTGGAAGACCACAGGTTATCCACACACAGACACAGATGTTTGAAAGGATTTTGTATTTTGTGTGTGACTGGCTGGTTGACTTTTAAAGCTCATTTTCTGGTCCTAATGTTATGAAGGTAAACGTGTAAGAAACAACCTCTACACTGCATGATCCAGACTTTTGTACTCAAGGAATGGTGGCAGGAATATGCTAAAACAGGTCTGGCTTCAGGCATGAGGGTGTACAGGGCAAAATTCCCTCTAGTGAACTCTTTGCTACTTTAGTGGGTTTTGCCCAGCTGACCGAGGAGGCAGTGCCCAAACGACTGGGTCCTGGAACCACTGTTCTAACTTTCCACAACGATCCTCATGGAGCCTGGCTCCAAAGTTTGTGGGAAATTAAGGCAACAGCTACTGGACCCATACACTGCCCCCTCCAAAGAAGATGGTCACTGGGCAGGCATCAGCATCGGGCTCACTTTCAGCACCTGGGGCCCTGTCAGCTGCCGCAGAGCGCTGTGTGCTGATGCCAGACCCGTGCTGAAATCAAAATCTGTGGCAGGGATTAAATCCACCATTCCACTTGCTGTATTCTGGGAACATCAGAAGCCAGGGAAACATTGTGCCTGCTTCCAGAAGTTGGCCTGGTTGGGGCCTTGCTGTGTCTCCCAAGAAAAGGGCAGTTCCACCACTATGGACCAGCTTCTAAGAATACTTTCTGCATGCATTGGGTTGTCCTCCTCAGAGTGGACCCATTGAAACAGATGAGCATGGCTAACTTGGTAACGTTAATTTCAGTGGAGTGGGTCTACTCTGAGAAGAATCTAGCTGGGTTACAGCCCAGTTGACTTTCCTTCTCTCTCCATGCCAAGGAGGTAGGCTTGGAAGGGGGTCATTTGCAGCACAGATCTGCTTTTGAAGACTCACTAGCTCGGGCATAGGCAAACTCGGTCCCTCCAGATGTTTGGGACTACAATTCCCATCATCCCTGACCACTGGTCCTGTTTTTGTAGTCTGCAGGGCCTGAGTTTGCCCATGCCTGCACCAGCTACTAACTGCGCCTTCTCTTAGCTTGTCAAAACGCTGGATTGTCCTGAAATTAGTAGAGTGCAAGAAGAATGAATTGCTAATAGAAAAGGCCCTGTTAGCTGCATAGTCTGCAGACTATGTTCACCTTATGATGCTATGGAAAAGAACCTACATTGTGGTGGGCCTCAGCCCAGGGAACTGGTAGCTGGGTTGTTATCTCCACCAGCCCTCATGGACCAAGTCTGGCAAGTGAGCAGAGCCCAAATCATCTGACCGCACAGTGACATCAGATGATCTCTCCCTCTGCCTCTGAAGGTCTTGCTGTTCCATTTTCAAAGCACTGTTCTTTAAGTAATCTTGTTATATTTATAGTATTGGGAGACTTCTGGGGTGCACCATCGGCAATGGTGGACTCCCTCTGAACTGGAGGGACTAGCTCCGCGCGAAATGGGTCTTTTCCGCTACAGCGAAGCGGGGACCCTTTTAAAAATCACAGGCGGATGAAGCCTGTGACCATGGGACTCAGCGGGCACCCTTAGCGCCCCCCCAACCCGCAAAGGAACCCACTAACGGGCTCCGAGCGAAGAGGGGAAGTGGCGCGGAGCTGTGAGTCAACTGCTATTTCCGTGGAGCGAAGCCGCATAGCCGTTGCCGGAGAGCGCTGCCTTTTTCCTGGGACAATTTGACTTCTAAAATAAGCACCCGTGAGTACTTAAACTTTGAACAATTGGACTTTAAATAAGGACTTGCGAGCAGAAAATGGGACTTAAAAATTTACTTCAATTTGGTACTGAAACGGGAAAGTCTAAACAGGAAGTCAGCCTTCTGTTTCTTTGTAGACAGAATAAAGCAAAGACAACGTAAACTAGAGCTCAGAAAATTGCTTCTAAAGGATTGCTTTCATCATTTAAAATTGTTGAACCCCCCCCTTCGGCAGCAGGAGAAGAAGGGGGATCTTTTTCGGACTGTTTAAACCTGCAGAAGTGAGTTTAAAGTAAAGTAACTTTCCACCGTCCTGATCCTGGAGCGGGGTGTCCGGACTGACGTTTGGAGCTCATTGACCAGAGACAAACGTTTTTGACAGATAGCTAAAAGAAGAGAAACATAGTGATTCCATTGTTTCCTTTCGTATTTTAAAGGAACAAATATTGACAAAATATCTCAAAATATCTCAAAAAGGAAACTTTGTTGCAAGAACAAATAGAAGTTTTCCCACTAGAGGGAGACTGTAAAACTGTAACTAATTCTCGGGAGCTTGCAGCTGTCACAGATTACAATCGTGGGAATAGACTTGTGACCTTGTAGGACAATGTATTCAGAAGCTCTGTTGTGTGCTCTCTGTAAAACAAATGCCCTACTGGAACAGTTAAATGAGAAGACGGATTTGATGACTAATGCGGTCAGAATTTTTGAACAGGCAGTGGGAAACTACATGGAGCCCACCCAGGAATTAAATCAGGAGTGTGTCCTGACAGAACAGATGAGAGAAGAGGATATTGCTGAATCTTGGGCGCCAGAGATGGAGGTTGCTGCGGCCCTGCAGGAACATGAGCTTTTGGATTTGACAAATGAACTTGGAAAAAGCCAGATCTGGAAAGATAAAGTTTGGACTGGTTTGGAAATGGGGGGTTGGATAGACCCCCCTATGCAGGGATGTTTGGACTTTCCGAGTCTGGCAATGGGCCATGAGATGTTTGGAGCTGTGGGGGCTCTCAATTCTGGAGGGATTCTGAAACATGTTTTTAAATACCACATGGAGTTTAGTCTGAACTATGGAAAAGGGGCTGATTTGTTGAAAAGGGTCAAAAACATTACCAAGCTGGAGTTCCCACGAGTGAAAGGAGAATATGAAGAAGAGCTGCGGAAGGGACATGGAAGAGACTTAAGGGCCTCGGATATAAGGTTACCAGGTTAATGCGCTAGATCGATGGGATAAAAAGGACTGACAAAACCCGGGACCAGGAGGAAGGGACGCTGGATGAAGATTGGATTGTTTTTATTTATTTTTTTATTACTAGGATTGTTTTATAAAATTGATGAATGTTAGAAAAATGTTGGAACGAAATTACTTGGCTCTAGCAAAAATGTTTAAAGAATTAAGTAAGAATATTATGGTTATGAGAAGTTGGTAAAAATAAGATTTAAGTTTTAAGGTTTTCTATAAGACAAGATGAAAATAGATTAAGGTAATGCAATGACAGAATATTATGAAATATGGAAAGGATTTGCTGCGATAATTATTAACTAGGATACAAAAAAAGGGAGGAGGAGGAGGTCAAAGAAAGAAGGTAATGAAATTTGAGGATTTGAGAATGATGGATTTATTTTTATCTGTTTGTGGTGTATTTTTGTTTTTTGAATTTGTATTGTTTGATGTGGTTTGTTTTCTCTTTGTTTTTTCTTTTTTCTTTTTCTGCTCTGTTTTTTTCTGTAATTCTAAAAAATTTTCAATAAATATCATTTAAAAAAAATATTTATAGTATTGAAATGTATTTCTTTGTATTTTGTATGTTGCTTTGTTGTTACGAAATTGTTTTTTGTAGTGGTTGTTTCTTTGTTGTAGGCCGCTGAGCATGATTTTTGTGTGTGGAAAAGTGGTATAGAAATAAAAGGAATGAACGAATGACTGTCTTGCAGAGCACTTTGAATGGGACTTTATGGACACTGCAGATCATCTGCTTAGCGGTTCCTGCAAAACTCCTTTCAGCTGAACCAGGTTTTTTACGTGCCCCACACTTAATGTCAACTATTCTGTTGGATGTAGGGGAACTGGGCATGGCTCAGCTGAAATGGACCAAACTGCTATCACCCCTGACTTTTGGCAAGTGGTAGTTTGACCCAGTATGAACATTTTGCTTTCACATAAAGTAAAAATATGTAGACACGTTTAGCCTCCTTGGCTTTCCTGTCAATGACCTCAAAGGAGGCAGCTCCCATGCAAATGGATGCGGAAGGCAAGGCGTGATACGAAAAAAATTAATTCAAAAATATTTAATTGCTCAAGGCAAGGTCTCAGCAAGAATTATGGCTTACCTTCCCACAGAACTTGAGGAAACCAACAATGCATGCTTTTGAGGTGGCGATTCCTATCTTGGTGTGTTCTGCTTCTCTTCAGTCAGTTCCCACATTAGACAAAGGAGAAGGAGTGCAGAGTACGTGCTTTTCCCAGTCTCCAGCATCCGCAGTTAGCGCCACGGTGGCAAACTTGTAGCCCCTCCTGATGTTGTTGGATTCCCAACTCTCACCCGACCCAACCAGCATGGCCAGTGCTCAGGGATGATGGCTGTTGTAGTTCAACAACATCTGAAGGACCACAGGTTATCCACACACAGACACAGACACAGATGTTTGAAAGGATTTTGTATTTTGTGTGTGACTGGCTGATTGACTTTTAAAGCTCATTTTCTGGTCCTAATGTTATGAAGGAAAACATGTAAGAAACAAACTCTATGTCAGCTGACATGGACCAGTCCAGGCTGAGGCGGCAAAGACTGTTCACCTTTGCTATGAAACCACTTCCTCTCAGGAGCTCATGCGCCACAAACCTTTTTGGTGCTTCCAGCCTCTGTTGGAAACATATCTATTCACTAGTACATTCCCTGATTTTTAGCACCCTGATTTCTGTGATTGTTAATATTTTACTAATGTTTTATGGATGTGTAATTTATACATTTTTTTATTACTTAGTGTTTTGTTATTGCACTGGTAGCAAATGGCTTTGGGTACTCTCTGGAGTGAAAGGCTGGGGTTTTTACCGTATTTTTTGCTCTATAAGACTCACTTTTTCCCTCCTAAAAAGTAAGGGGAAATGTGTGTGCGTCTTATGGAGCGAATGCAGGCTGCGCAGCTATCCCAAAAGCCAGAACAGCAAGAGGGATTGCTGCTTTCACTGTGCAGCGATCCCTCTTGCTGTTCTGGCTTCTGAGATGCAGAATATTTTTTTTCTTGTTTTCCTCCTCCAAAAACTAGGTGCGTCTTGCGGTCTGGTGCGTCTTATAGAGTGAAAAATACGGTAATTTATTTTTCTGTCTCATCATTTACTCCTTTCCTTGGGGGAAATGGGGGAGATGTGAACGTAGCCGTAGACAAAAACAAAGGCCTGTGCAGGTCTCGTTGTAGAGGGCATTGTTCCTGCTTAGCCATCACCTCCGTCTCTTTTGCTCTCCAGGGCTACAGGAAGCCGTGTGGCTCGGTCGAAACCAGGTGCTGCGCCACGGTCCTGTGACGTGGTACATTGATGGGGCCCATACCACCAGCAGTATACAGGCCTGCGTCCGCTGGTTTCGCAAAGCTGCCCTGAATGAGGAGAAGCCTGCAGAGTAAGCGAGGGTTTGGCTGGGGTCTCTTTCCATTCTGAGCCTCTACTGCTTAGAATAGCCTTATCCTGAATAAATTTGTCTGATCCTCTTTTAAACAAGTTGGTGGCCGTCCCTATACCTTGTGAGATCTTCTGGTCTTCTGTGTGTGTATCTGTCTGTCTGTCTGTCTGTCTGTCTGTCTGTCTTCCACTGAGCTGGGGTGGTGGTGAATAGATAATGAGACCTGACTCTTTCCTTGCATTTGCAGCGGTTCTGAAGTCCGGGTGCTCCTCTTCAACGTGACAGGCGATCGTGATACTGCCGCTCTGCTTAAGCTGCTGCTGGTGAGTTTTCTTGTTTGCTTCCCTCCCCCTTAAAAAAAGGGAGGGGGGAAGTACCTAGCTCTGCTTTAACATGGCTTTCAGGACAACCATCAAACCATTACAAAAATAATAATAGTAATATTAAATGATTTGGAATAGAATTTAGAAACAAAGGTCAGCAGCCATTAAAGCAGCAGGGGAAAATGAAATTCATAAACTTATGTGCAGAATAAATGTAAGACCTCTGCTGACACTTTGAATGGCCTGGGAAATAATACAGTACAGTGGTGCCTCGCAAGATGAAATTAATTCGTTCCGCGAGTTTTTTCGTCTAGCGAATTTTTCGTCCTGTGGAGCACGAAATCCCATAGGAATGCATTGAAATCCAATTAATGCATTCCTATGGTCAAAAAAAGTCCAAACAAAGCCAAATTTGGTACAACAAGAGTTTATTAAGTGCTCTTTAAAGTCACACATACTGTAAAGAGCATTTCAAAAATTGAAGGAACAATAAATTAAGTTTATAAACATGACAGAAAAAACATTTAAAAATCAACAAAGTGTACATTACATTTTCTAAGACTCTGGGGGGACCACTCGAAGAAGGTTCCTCTTCCACTCTTTGCTTCTTGCTTAAGAACCTGTCCATGGTCTGCTGCTTCATCCGCCTTTTCAGCACCTCCGTGAAAGACGACATGACCCTCGTATCAAAAGTGTTCGCAAGGTCACGTGTCACGTGCTTGTCAGGGTGGTTCCGCTCTGCAAAAGCCTGCACATCCTTCCACTTCAGGCAAATGTCCCTCAGTTCTTTGGAGGACAGCCGTTCCTCAGTTGCTTCCTCCTCCTCCTTCCTCCTCCTGCGCAGCCTCTGCCTGCAGTTCGACCAGCTCCTGGGTGGTCAGCTCGTGGTCGTGCTCCTCCACCAGCTCGCTGACATCCTCCTCTGTGACCTCCAGGCCCATGGTCCTCCCCAAGGCAACAGTGTCCTGCACCACTGTTGACTCTGGTGCATCAGAGTCACTTGGTGCCACACAGTCCGGCCACAGGCTGTGCCAAGCGCAATTCAAATTTCTCTGGCTGATCCCTTTCCAGGCCGTGGTGATCATCTTCAAGCAGGTGACAATGTCGAAGTGGTCCTTCCAGAATTCCCGCAGGGTGATGGTGGTGCAATCAGTCACCTCGAAGCATCGCCTGAAAAGCTCCTTGGTGTAGAGTTTTGTGAAATTGGCGATGACCTGCTGATCCATCGGCTGGAGCAGTGGCGTGGTGTTAGGCGGCAGGAACATGATGTTGATGAAGCTGAACTCCTCCAACAAGTTCTCCTCAAGGCCTTTAGGATGAGCAGGAGCATTGTCCATCAGAAGCAAAGCCTTCAGCGGCAGGTCGTTGTCCAGCAGGTACTGTTTGACAGCAGGGCCAAAAGCAAGATTGACCCAGTCCACAAACAGCACACGTGTGACCCAAGCCTTGCTGTTGGATCGCCACATGACACTCAGCTGCTCCTTGTCGACCTTGTGTTTCTTGAAGGCCCGTGGGTTCTCCGAGTGGTACACCAGCAGGGGCTTGATCTTCAGGTCGCCACTTGCGTTGGCACAGAAGAGCAGGGTCAGACGGTCTTTCATGGGCTTGTGGCCAGGCAACTTGGCCTCCTCCTGAGTGATGAAAGTCCTTTTGGGCATCCTCTTCCAAAACAGCCCGGTCTCGTCGCAGTTGAAGACCTGCTGTGGAACGTAGCCCTCCGTCTTCACAACCTCCAGGAACTCCAAGGCAAAGTCTTCAGCCGCAGGAACATCAGAACTGGCAGCCTCTCCATGCCTGACCACGCTGTGGATTCCAGATCTCATCTTGAACCTGTCAAACCAACCTCTGCTTGCCTTGAAGACTTCTGGCTCGCCTGAGGTTCCTGGCTGTTCCCGGATGAGGTCTGCGTGCAAGGCCTTGGCCTTCTTACAAATCACGGCCTCAGTCACTGTGTCCCCTGCACACTGCTTCTCTTCTAACCAGATGAGGAGCAACTTCTCGACCTCCTCCAGAACAGCTGGGCGGTTCTTCACGATCCTGGTGACTCCCTTGGCTGCATCAGTCGCAAGGATCTTCTCCCTCATCTTCAGGATGGTGCCGATGGTCGATGGGTTCCTGCCGTACTCCCTGGCGAGGTCTGTCACACGCATTCCACCGTTGTGCTTCTGGATGATCTCCTTCTTAATTTCCAGCGTCACCTTCTCCTTCTTCCTCTCGCCGGCCTCTGCAGCAGCAGTCTTCTTGGGTCCCATGGCAGCACAGCTCCTAGCTTCGTAAACTCAGAAAAAAGAAAAAAAATCAGTGATGCACACCCAAAAAATTCAAAAGCACCCAGCCACCCATCACACAGGAATTCAAACCCAGAACCAAGTCCTTGAATTCCAAGCCTCCAACCCAAAATCCAAAACCCCCCAAAAAAGTTTTAAAACTTTAACTTACGAAATGGCTGCAAATCACCAAAGTCTTCAAAATCCTCAAATGGCTGCAAAAGAAGTTTTGGAAAAGCTTTAAAAATCACCAAAGTCTTCAAAAACCTCAACTGTTCCCCCAGCCACCCACCCACCACACAGAAATTGCAAACCCCTCCCCAACTGTTGCAAACCCCTCCCCAACTGCTCCCCCAGCCACCCACCACACAGAAATTCAAACTCAGAATTTTTTTTTAAAAAAAAACAGCATGGCCCAATGGTCACAGAAAATCATAAAAATTTTTAAAAAACCCACACAAGCTCCCAGATTTTTGCAAACCCCTCCTCAACTGTCCCCCCAGCCACCCACCACACAGAAATTCAAACTCAGAATTTTTTTTTAAAAAAACAACAACATGGCCCAATGGTCACAGAAAATCATAAAAATTCAAAAAAACCCACACAAGCTCCCAGATTCTTGCAAACCCCTCCCCAACTGTTCCCCCAGCCACCCACCACACAGAAATTCAAACCCAGAATTTTTCTTAAAAAAATCAGCAGAGTGCCCCAATGGTCACAAAAAATCATAAAAATGCAGAAAAAAACCACACAAGCTCCCAGATTCTTGCAAACCTCTCCCCAACACCAAGTCCTTGAATTCCAAACACCCCAACCCAAAATCCAAAACCCCCCAAAAAAGTTTTAAAGGTTTAACTTACCAAACAGCTGCAAAAGAAGTTTTGGAAAAGCTTCAAAAATCAGCAAAGTCCTCAAAAACCTCAGAAAAGGCTACCACACCGCGTGCAATGTGTTGCTCCTCGAAGTCAAGTCGCAACTGCACCTCTTCAAGCAATGCACCCTGGGTATTAACGGTTTTACGAAAAAGGAAACAAACTCGCAAGACGTTTTCGTCTTGCGAAGCAAGCCCATAGGGAAATTCGTCTTGCGAAGCGCATCGAAAAACGGAAAACCCTTTCGTCTAGCGAGTTTTCCGTCTTGCGAGGCATTCGTCTTGCGGGGCACCACTGTACGGTATATGCTTCCCTGGTGGCAAAAGGACATAAAGTGTGCCCCCAGCCACGACTCCTTGAGGAAAACATTCCACAAATGGGGTTTCCTCAATCCGACCTACCGCTTTAGAGGCTCTGCTTTCTGGCCAATCAGCTAGATTTGAAAATGCCAATGCAGCCTTTGCCAAGCTGGTGCCCTTGAGATGTTTTGGGACTGATAGGAGTTGTAAATCAAGGCTGGTGAAGGCTGCACCAGAGACGGGGCCTTATAAGAGGCGTCCCCCTTATGTGTGGAACTTCCTCCTGGCCATCATAACTGGCTTCTGAGTGTTTCAACTGAAATGCTTCTATCTTTATTTAAAGGTAAAGGTAAAGGGCCCCTGACAGTTAAGTCCAGTCGCAGACGACTCTGGGGTTGCGGCGCTCATCTCGCTCTATAGGCCGAGGGAGCTGGCATTTGTCCGCAGACAGTTTTTCCGGGTCAGGTGGCCAGCATGACTAAGCTGCTTCTGGCGGTTGGCATTCAGCAACGTCTGGAGGGCCACAGTTTCCCTATCCGTGCTTTGTTTATACTGTACTGGGGTTCACTGAGACATAAGACATGCTGTCTGAAGTAGTACAGTCCAAGCCAGACTCAACCTTTGCTTTCTCCCCTGCAGGTGTGAATCAGTACAGTGGCTGCTTTTATAATCTTTATTCCTCTTACATTTTCAGCCTTGCCAGTTTGACTATGCCGTTTTCTGCCCCAATTTCACCGAAGTGTCCACCGTGGGAAATGCAGGTTGGTCACAGGGCAGGGTTGGTAAATCGCAGGTGAAATATGGCCACATGGAGTTGGGCTAGATCAGTTGTGGGGACCTTTGGCCCCTGCATTGCAGGGGGTTGGACTAGATGACCCTTGGGTCCCTTCCAACTCTATGATTCTAGATGTTGAGGTGCAGCTCCTATCACCCCTGGCCAGGAGCTGATGGGAGTTGTACTCCAGCGACATCTGGAGGGCCAAAGGTAGACCTTCTTTGCTCTGAATTTTGGCTATAATTATAATCTCTCTCCCACTCCTATTTAAATAACTGCAAATGCCCCTCATTGGTTTTCATTAGCTTAAGTGTGCAGGGTTTTATAGATTATAAATGCTGTATTGATTTGGGAATCATACAATATGACTTTTGCTTTAATTTACTTATTTTTTTAGTTGTTGCTTTGTTAACAGTGTTTTATAGATTGTAATTGTTTTGCCGATGGCTTGTTTATTATGGTATATGATTTACGCTGTATTTGTGATGTTCTATTACATTCTAGCATGTTGTTATTATTTATTGTTTGTAAGTCACTTTGGGATTATAGAAATATAATCAGTCTGTCTAGGAAATCTAGGATGGGAAAAGTGACCTGTCTGAGAGAGAAATGGGTTACCTTGTTTTCTTCAGGCTAAGCAGTGGGTCCTATCCTTACTGATCCGCAGGGCAGTGGTGGTGGACCTTTGGCCTGTAGGCCAAATACTGCCCCTCAGCCCTCTGCATTTCGCCAGCAAGGCCACACCCAGCTGCCTTAGACAGGCAGTGACATCCAGGTGTGGGGCAGGTAAAAGATGGGGCTGCGCTGAAAGGTTTCAGGTGCCACAGAGCAACTTGTGGAGTGCTGTACCTTTGCCCGTGCAGAGTGTGCTGTAGTGGCTAGAAATGCCAAAGGCTTTGAGACCAGGGTTCGAAACCCTACTCAGCCACGAAGCTCTTTAGGCCAGTTGCTATCTTTGAGCCTAACTTGCTGGCTGCTAAGAAGATAAAATTTAGGTGGGGGACCATCTGTGCTGCCCGAAACACACACACACACACACACACACACACACACGAGCCTTTAGAGCTGGCCATTTGTCTGTCTAGCCCATACTCTGTTTGGCAGCAGCTCTCCAGGGTCTTGGACAGAGACACCAGCTACTTGAACCTTCCATGCCAGGTTGGCTGAACTTGAGACCTTGTGGCATGCAGTGCACATGCTGTGCCACTGAGCTATGGCCCTTCCCCATAAATAAGAGCTCACCTCAGTTTCTGTTGAGGGGTGGGATCTCCAGGGCCAATGAAGCCCACCATGCCTCCTTGTTTGGCCTTTCCAAGGCTATTTCACCCAAGCCGTGCCCACCTGTCAAAGACCCTCACATCATATGGCGTCCAGTTCAGGAACAGGTGGAGGCGTAGCTCCCTACCGGAAGCAGGCGCTGCTGACCACTGGTGCTTGAAGAGCCCTGTGCAGGTGAAAGGTCACCAGGTCCTATTGCTAAGTCAGGTGATTGACAGGCAAGTGGTTTTGCCCACCAGTCAGTGCTGGCCCATGTAGGGAAGGTGACGTGAGAATTTATTTAGTTATTTATTGCACCCCACCTTTTTCTCCAAGCAGCCCCAGGTGGCCTCATGGTTACCCCCTTTCAATCTGAACAACAGCCCTGTGAGGTAGGTGAGGCTGAGAGGCAGTGACTGCCCCACAAGGTCGCACCCAGTGAACTTCACGGCCTAGTAGGGATTTGAACCCTGATCTCTCCCAGGTCCTAGTCCAGTACTCTAACCACTATACAGTGGTACCTTGGGTTAAGAACTTAATTCGTTCTGGAGGTCCGTTCTTAACCTGAAACTGTTCTTAACCTGAAGCACCACTTTAGCTAAAGGGGCCTCCCGCTGCCGCCGCACTGTTCTCATCCTGAAGTTCTTAACCCGAGGTACTATTTCTGGGTTAGCGGAGTCTGTAACCTGAAGTGTATGTAACCTGAAGCGTATGTAACCCGAAGCATCTGTAACCCAAGGTACTACTGTACTACTTTGGCCAACCGTCCAAGGGAGGCTGCCCCGAAGCCGCGTTCGTGTGGGGCTGGGCGGGTGGGTGGCCCTGGCATCCCTGTGACTCCACCTCCTCTTCTTCCTATTTTTTCAAAATGGTTCTTGTGTTTGGCCTTACAGATCAGCAGAACTTCAATGTCACCCTGGAGAATGTCCTGACCCGTTGCCTGCAGAACCAGAGCCACTGGAACCGCCTGATGGAGGCGAAAGAGGGCACGGACCCCTGGCTGTCTGCCTCGCCAGAAGTGGAAGGGGTGGCTGGGTGGCTGAAGCAGGCCCCCCTGCACGGCCCCCAGCTCTTCTTCCCACCCTCGGCACGCCCACTCAACGCCAACTCCTTGGTCTTCCCTTGCATTTCCAAGGCCTTGCAGTGGATCACCCAAGGCAGGGACCCTCACTTCCAGCCTCCAGCTTCCCGGGGGCTCCACCCTCACCCCGCAGCCAGCAGCGGAGCTGTCTTGCTCAAGGAAGCGGCCACGATCCAGGTCCTGGTGACGGGGAGCTTGCACCTGGTGGGCGGTGTCTTAAAGCTGCTCAACCCATCTCTTTCGGAGTAGAGGGTGCTGTTGCCTACTTGGGTTTGCTGCCTACTTGAAATGCCATTGGGAAGCTGGATCACGCCTTCACACTGATTTCACTGCAGCATGCAGATGGCGGGCTGCCTCCTAAGTCCATGGAACCTCTAATTCCTCCTTAAAAAATTTTTCCTGAGGAACATGGCTCGACACCTGAAGAATATGGAATCCTCCTGGTCAGACATGCTATGCAAAGAAGATGCCTCCTCCAGCAACATTCTAGATGCCAGAATTCCCACCCCACCCCAGCACTGAAGTTCTACAGGTGGGGGAAATGGCCACCAGCGCACCACCCAGAGAAGGAGATTCCTCTTCTTTCTCCCCAATTTGGAAATCTTCCTCTCTTCCCTCACCCCCTGCTTGCTTCTTTGTGTGTGGCTGCTGCAGCAGAAGCCCCCATCCACTACAAAGCAGAGCTCACCCGCCTGCCCCCCCCAGCCACCATCCTGGGCCAAGCACAGTGTGAGTTCTCACTGGTTTGCTGGCTCTTTGTTGTCATCTCTACTGGTCTGACCAAGTCAAATGCATGGCTGGTAGCCTTTGACTGGTGACTCTTGCAATGTGCCTTTTGAAAAGAATCTTACTGCTAGCCTCTTTCCTTCACCACCTCATCATCTCTCCTTCTGGAGTACTGGGTATCAACTCAGCATTTTGGTACGGTTTTGAAACACTGTGTCGGTTTTTTCGGTTTTAAACAATTCCTCTTGAGCAAGGAACTCCTGACCTTGCCGTTGGCTTCTGAGAAAGCCATTCAGTGTCCCCCGGAGAGCAGGCTGTGAGGCCCAAGTGGTTGACTTGTACAGAGTTAGGTGCATCTGCACATCACACCCCCAAATCCTGGTCCACATGGGAGGCTACCCTGACCCATGCAGTTGATGTTGGCAGTTAAAGGGCTGGGGATCATGAGATGGCCAGAGATGGCTTCCCAGAGGGTGTGCTGGATATACAAGTGCCTGTCCCTTTTGGGTTGGAGTGGGAGGAGAGCAACCACTGTGCTCCTGTGTGTGTGCTGTCCAGTCACAAAGTGCAGAGCAATGACTGCCTGATGACTTGACGGAGCAACCTTTTTCTTCATCATCTTTTTAAAATAACGCCTCTTGGAGAGCAGGGCTAAGTGTTTGAAATGAGAGGTTTCATGCTGTCAACGCTGCAAGCCATTTACTGTTGCTTGGTTTCAGAGGCACAGCTGCAGTCTTTGTACTTTCTCTGATTGCACTGGAAAGGGAGCAGGGTGGGGGCCTTTTGGCTCTCCTGGTGCTGGTTGGATTCACAGCCTTCATCCGCTCCATCCTGCATGCCCAGTGGGTCAGGGATCCTGGCATTTGTAGTCTAGCAACATATGGAGGACCACTTTCCACCTGCCATCAAATTGCACACAGCGAACAAAAAAGAAAGGGCCCAGAATTTTTTTCTGGGGGGTGGGGCACTGGAATCTATTGTGTGCAAAGCGGTTTCAGGGAGGGGGTCACTGCTCCATGCAAACTTTGACTTCAAAAATAATAATATTTGATTCATATTTGAAAATCTTCGGGTTGTACCACCCTTGAATATTCAGTGCCCTGCTTGCTGCCAAGTATCTCTTTGTCAGAGAGAAGTTTGCCACCTTCTCCCTGGTGTCTTAGCTTCTCTTGCATGGGAATGCTTTCGATGGAGGCCTTTCAGTCAAGCCCCTCCTGCATTCCCGAGTCTTATGATCTGGCTGCAGGTCCCGTCCCTTGCTGGATGGATGGCTATGCACATCTGTTTGGAATCTGCTTGATTTTGACATCTGCCTGCAGGGTGAGAATAAATATGCCACTGGGGAACTCTTGGGGTGGTAGCAGAAGCAGAAGGGGGGGGGGGACACAAAGCAGACTTCTCAGTGTGGCAGTGGGGGCTCTTCCAAAATGGTTACTCTCTGCTTGTGATACGAAACAAACGAGTTATATTCAATATTAGTCCTACTTAAAGTAGACTTGTTGAAATTAATGGGCACAATTATATGAGAAATTAGTAATTAGTAAACCCCACCCTCTGAGAACTAGCAATAATCCTCCAGATTTTTTTCTAGCGGATCCTTCTGGAGAATATCCCCACCTTTTGATGTTAACATTCATGCCTTGCCTCTGTTTCCCCATCCCTGCTCTCGTGGAGCCAAATATGCAGCAGAAAGCACCACCTGCTAGAGTTGCAGGAGCTGGGTATGAGATTTATTTATCCCGCTTTTGTCCATGGTACTGCACTTCAGAGTTCTTAGAGCGTTTTCCCCTGGTGGTCCTTGTTGTCTGGGATCCACTCAGCCAATACAACGGGTCCAGTGCCATGAGCAGCAGGTTTGGGCATCTGTCCTGATCAGCGTGATCTGCTCACTGCTCACATCCTTTGTTACTTTACGACCAAGCAAGTCTCTTCCCTCCTTTTAGCTGTGTGCATTCTAGAAAGACTCAAACTAGTTCTAACCGAAATTCAACCTTGTTCTGAATTCTTGCTGAAGGTGGTGGTCCAGTTATCTCTCGACCTTCATAGAGCACATTACAGGTAGTGACCACCTGCTTTTTTAGTAATTGTACTGCTTCCCAATACAAACACAGAGCTTTCCACCCCTCTTCCCCAACCCCACCTAAAGGGGAGGGAAACTTAAATGGATAGTTCTTAAGAAACACTTTTCTTTTAAAACTGGATTTCCCCCCCTGATTTCATTTTAAATCTTGTAACTGTTTTTCAAGATTCTTGACTTGTTTGTTCCTTTATACAAACAAAAAAGCCTGACTTTGTGTGTGTGTGTCTTGGAATAACAAAAGATGTTGTTTCTGCCAGACATATGTCGAGTCAGGAACAGGTGCTTTGAATAAAGAACTGACATACTAGAACTCTGCAGTTTGTGTCTATTTCTCTGCCCTTGGAGTACCGTGAGATCTGACAGGACAACGGAACTAAAGAGAGTGTCTCCACTCATCAGGTCACCAAAACCCAAGTCCAGAACGTGCCCTGTACCATGAGCAGGGTCAGAAATTACTTGGGAAAGACCCATGATTGTCATGGCAGACATGAAGTCCTGAGCCGCTCCTGACAGGGGAGCCTCATTGGATGTTAAAACCCACCCCCCAGCATAACAAGCCAGAGGGGCTCCAGCACTAACTCCCAGGCCACCCTGGCTAGCTCAGGAAAGGAAACTGTTGAGCAATGGAGTGGGTGTTACACCCAACAGGATCTCTATTCTGTCCTGACCACCTGTCTTCAGATAAACTCTTGAACCCAGCAGGCTGTGGCAGAGGACACCTGGTCAGGGGGATGCAATCACGATAGACGATTGCAACTCCACCACTTTCCCCCCTCCAGATCTTGGCTACTGCTGTACAAAGAACCCTGTTGGGCAAAGCTGAGAGAGACATTAACGCCCCTGCTCTGTTTCATGCAGCCAGGTCTCTGTAATACAAGCCAGGTCAGCATGTTCCTCCAGGACCAAGTCCTGGGTAGCTGTTGTTCTGCCATTCGCTGACTTGGCCATGAACAGCCCAAGGAGATTCTTGCCAAGACTATCCAGGCTATTTGGATATGGGGACAGGCAGCCAGCGCCCAGTTGTGGTGACCCCTTAGATGATCATTCTCTCCCCCACCCCCATATATATCTCTGCCTTCTACAACTCTGGTGCCTCTGAAGGTTGTGTACATGTTAGGTAGGTTAAGGTGAGCATGTTTGTTTGGCCCCAAGCCATTCACCTGGATTTCCCAAGTTCAAGTCCACACAGCCTTCCTAGGGCTGTGCACTAGGTCTGGCCAAAGCCTGAATCCTGAACTGAATTGCACTGATTCCAGGGGAGGAGGCGGGATCCTGCCTTCACCTGAGTCCGGTGTAGAGAGCCCCATGTTGGCCTATGCAGAGCAATCCAGGGCTGTTGGGAGACAAGGTGTCGGGCGAGAAGAGCAATGGGCTGTTTGTTAGGGCTTTTGAACAGCCCTGCACTGAACTTTGGCTGCATGTGACTGTTCCCTTAAGGGACACATACACAGTCAAACTGAGCAGGATTGAACCCTCCTGTCACCAGCTGGTGAGCAGAAGATTCAATCTCTGGCTATAGGAGTCAGCTTCACTATTATGTTCTCCCTAGGATGCCCTGGGAAAGCAGCACTTAGCCAGCCTGAAGCTACCCGCTCTCTGCTGTGCAGTTGGGGAAGGAGATGCAAGGAGACACCATTGCAAAGAGGTTTTGTGTTTAGAGTTTCACCCACTTTGCATGAGGAAAAGAAATAACACATGAACTTATAACCAACCCACAAGATATGCCACCATTATTAACTGTGCTGCTTCAGTTTATTAAAACTCGGCTGTGTTTCCTTCCACCACTTCCTGGACTGGAACAGCCAGCGGTTTTAAATGCACTTCAACTTGCAAAGCTTTGAATGGTCACTAGGTGTTGCTGTGATTCTTCTAGTGTGTATGAAAGCATGAGCATACACTTCAAACATCTGAAGGGCTGTCTGTGCAAAGACATGTTCTCAATGACCACATCTCGATAATAACATCACCCCATTGGCTTCCAGAAAGGGGGCCCGTCTTACATCTGGAAGGTCCCAGGTTCAGTCTGGAATTCCTGGTTGCAGGTGATTCTCTGCCTGAGACCCTGGAGATTGACTGCCAGTCAGAGGTAAAGATTTCTGAGAATAATTGAATCATAGAATTGGTGAGTTGGAAGGGATTTTGAGGGTCATCTAGCTCAACCCCCTGCAATGCAGGAATCCTTTTGCCCAATGTGGGGCTTGAGCCCATAACCATGAGATTAAGACTCTCAGGCTCTACAGACTGAGCTACAGAAGTAGACGTTCTCAGTGTTTACTTGTCCCATGTCCAGGGTGGAAATCAATCTTTTTTCTTTCTTTTAAAATATTTTTATTAGTTTTTACAAGAACAAATTTAAAATAATAAGCAAGAAAAAACTTTTAACATATTCATATATGAGATTCTATGAATCTTGTGACTTCCCCCCATTCCCTGCATGAGTCCTTAAAATAATTTCCCTAAGACTACATATCATTACGTTCTCCACAGTTTTCATCTCTCTAAATTATCCATATCTTTCGTTTCTTTACAAGTTATTTTTAAAGTCCAGCTACAATGGTTTCGTTTACAATGGTCTCCCAAGTTATGAATTTCTCCCATTCTCTTTTAAAGTCATTATCTTCTTGATTCCTGAGTCTCCCAGACAGGATGGAAATCAGTCTAGCAAATATTATTAGCATTCATTGCTTGTTGTTTTTCAGTCCGAAAGTGATACATAAATGGAGACACATCCACCCCATTTGCATTATACTTGCTTTGCATTGAGACCAGTGGTGTGGAATAGTGGAATGAATTGTGTAAAATTCTGCCTCAGTGGACAGTTTTTGTTAGAAGTGTGGCAGAATGGAAACGGCGCTGCATGAATGGACATGGGCCAGAATGGAAGTCAGGGCCTTGTTGCATCCCTAGTCAGATAAATGTTATTTATATTACTTATTACATGCATGTCCCACTTTTCCTCCAAGGAGTTCAGGGTATCACACAAGGTTCTGCTCCCCATTTAATCCTCGTGGCAGCCCTGGGAGGTACATTATTGTGATTAAGTGGAGAGAGTGTGTGTGAATGGCGGGGAGGCCATCCAGTGAGCAATGAGATAGGAAACCTGGCCCAGGGGTGAAACTAGGCTTATTTCACCCAGGTGAAATACCCAGTTTGGCACACACACAGAGGCTAGGAGGCTTCACCCACAGCTATGGCTTTGCCTGGTCAGAGAATCCTGCTGTTTGATTACAATTTCCAGAACAGAATCCAGGCTCCTGGATCACCCTGGCGTAAGGGACACCCACTATGGAAGGCAGACAGAAATGTTCCTATTCTTTTTTTGCCTTTTAATTAAATTAATAACATTTATTTGCTGAATATCTGCACTAGGAACCCAACTTCCGATCTGGCTGGCTAGACATTTTCAATCAATACATCCCCTCCACAGACACCTCTGCGGTGATGCTGGCATTAAAAGATCCTGTTCCTCTTCAATAAAAGAGAAAAAGGGAGATCAGATTGCATCAAAGGTATCTTTTTTGAAGATGCTCTTGATTACTCATCTATGGTATGTGAGGCGTTTTGATAGAGCAGTGCTCCAGATGTTAATAACCAAAGCTTCTATGGGTATATTGGAGGTTTCCTTCTGTCGTTGGGCAACAACTAGTCTAGTTGCTGTGAGCAGAAAGGAAATTAATTATTTTGCTTTAAGAGTAGTATTGGGGGTCAAGTCTAGTGATGATAAGGCAAGTGCCAAATTAGGAGGGATAGACTGTTTTGTGATTTTGCAGGTCAGATAAAAACTTTTTTGCAAAATGTGTGGACCACAGTACACTCCACCAAACATGAAAATAGGAACCTCATTCTCCAGAGTCTTTCCAACATAATGGTGAGCTTAAAGAATTTATCTTTGCAAGGCATGTGGTGGTCCCATGTCACCAAAAGATAATTTTAAGGGAAATTTCCTAGAGGTGAGCTGTCTTACATGGAACGAGAAAACGCAGGCAACCCATTTTTAAAAGTATCATTGATGGCATTGGTGGACTCGGAACTCAGTATTGGCTCCATCACCACTGCTGCCTCTGCTAGATCAGCCCTTATTTATACACGCAAATATAACCAATTTGTAGATCTTGAAAAAAAAGTTTTCTATAGAAGTAGAGGTCTGTTTGTAAAAGGTAAAGCAATTTTAATAGAGGACCTGGGACTCACCTACATTAGTCAAAATACAGCGTTATAAATGCCTTATGACACTGTGACACCAGATGGTGCTGTAGAGCTGAAATCGCAACTCAATTATATTTTCAATTGTGAGCTTTACAATGGTTTTTTTTGCAGAGCATTTTCAGAGTCTTTTATATCGGTGTAAATCTAGCCATGGTGCCAAAGATGAAAGGCATAAAATAGTTCTGGTTCCAACTATGCACTTTTGCAAAGTATCTGGAATGAAGGGGTGAGGGCTTGAGACCATTGACACCTTTTGACTTGCTATGTAATAGACCTAGCCATGACACAAAAGGGGCAGTTTCAGTGATATATGCTATGATATTAGACAGCTTTGTAGGAAACACAAAAGATATTTGGATGAGATGGGAAACTGACATAGGAACTGAAAGCGAAGTGAAGTGAAAAAGCATGGAAATCTATACGGCGTAATCCATCTTTAGAAATGTTTCTATTTGAGGCTTAGGCAAATTAATGGCACAGGTGCTCCGCAGATAAAGATGATCTGTGACAACTCAAATTCAACATGTAATATATATTTATACAATCACTGAGCTTACAGGTTTGTTCTACACAGAAATATTTACAGACCAAAACACAGATAGACCCCTTCATTGGTGGAATAACTGGCCTTGATGCTGCCTGGGTTGCTGAGGAAGGGGCTTCCTTTGCCCACCCTACAGAAGGTCTCACAATGTCTCTTGGGCTTGTCTTCTGTGCTCTAAGCAGTTCTCCTCTGTGTATGTGGCCCAGGAGGCATGCTAACCTCAGAGCACACGCCTGCAGGGCAAATCTGACAGTTCTGTTTTCTCTCTGTGCTCCCCCTCCAACCCCACTCTGAAGCTCAGTTATCCACATTTCAACATGTCTGCATTTTTTTTAATATAAAAAAGGCCATGAAATCCCCATCAGCATTTTAGTGTGAATTTCTCCAAATATACACATGTTTGCAAAACATTTCCCCCTAACTGAATATACTTCTGTAGGTTATTTTCCCTAGTACTGTATATGCTTTCTAGTGCACTTTCTATCCTAATGTATGCCTCTTTCTACAAATTACAGGGCTTGAGGACTGCATTTGGAGAAATGTGAATTTGGGGGGGGGGGATATCGAGGTCAGGTTCCACTGGCCAATAAATTCCCACAGCTGAGTGGCAGAGCACCTGCTTTGAATGCAGAAAGACCCCGGCATCTCCAGGTAGGACTGGAGAGCAGCTGCCTGTCATTTTAGACTGAGCTAGATTGTCCCTGGTCTGACCTGGTATGCAGCAGCTTCCAATGTTCCTAGGACTGCAGCCTTGCAGCAACTGTTCATCCATAACTCTGCAGTTCAATTTGTGCAAAGCTCCTCCTACCCACAGCCTTCTTCCCGTGCTGGTGAAGCTAAGCCTGTTTGATGTCCTCCCCACTCTGCGCATCCCAATGAGGCTTCTGCCTGTCAGTCTAAATGTACTGGGCTGCTTTTCTTCCGATTTCTGACCTGTATTGGGTCAAGCACTCAGCTCAGGAAAATGTTACAGAAGTCTTTTCACAAATTGCCCCACATCTCAATATCATAAAACATATCCATAAGTGATTAGACACAGCATTATTTCCTTGTATACATGATTACAAAACATATTCTATGTATAATTATTTATATTTATATCTATATCTATATTTTGGAATAGAAAGGGTCCGGACTCCTTGCCCTTTGTTTTGGTAAAAGGCAGTGCTACCTCCCTCTCCCTTTTTGGTCCAAACTTTTTCTCTCCACCTACTTCCTCATCAGAAGATGGTGGGACAAATTTACTGGCTCTACTTGTCCCTCATTTTCTCAGAAGGTTCTTATACTGAGTCTTGTGGATGTGTAACACTCCCAGTTTCGCACTTGTATGCAATTTGAGATTATGGGCAGAGGTGGTAGCTTAAACAGCAATGGTAGCCCTCCCTGAAGCCTGTTCAGAAACTGGTTCCTGTCTAGTCTTACCTTTTATTTTTGGAAGCTATTAAGAAGTGTCTCCACCCGGACCCCAAGTTGACGATGAGCCAACAGCTTCCTTGCCCAAATTTCTCAGCCCCTTAATCACAGGTATTGAACGAACAACCAGCTTCTAAAACCAAAGGCATGCTACATTCTGTTTATTGATCAACTTGCTCACACTGTATGGTTCTGGGTAGACACTGGTTCTCCTGGGATAGGCTTGCAACCTTTGCAGCCAGAGGCTGGCTACTCTCACGCCACAGGAGGTACAGGTCAGATGTCTTTACTTGTGTGATTGCTCTGCTTCTCTTGGAGATCTTGATGGCTGTCCAAGGAGTTGGTTTAAAGTGCTGGCTGAAAATAGTCACCCCTGAGTATTAGGAGCTTTGGGATGGGGAGGGGGGAAACCATGAAACCTCTTTGCTTGTTTTCAGCTCTTTTCATAAAGGCTTTTCCTGTGCCTGACCCAGAGGAGTTCAACTTGTCCGCTGTTCTGACACTGCCCACAAGGAGGTGTCGAGAGTCAGTTGTGCCCAGTCCTTCGTCTGGGGGCCCGCTATGCCATGCTGCTGGTGGAACAGGGGGTGCTCTGAGTGCTGCCGATGCTGTGGTTGGTGCTGCTGCTCTCTGAGGCTGGGGGGTTTGCTGAGACCGGTTGCATCTTGGCCATCGGACCTGGAATTCAATCACAAAGTTGCGAAACATGTTAAGAGGGATGGGGTGTGAACGGGATGCTCTACAGCTGGCCTGACTAGGGGTTGACAAGGGAACAGAAAACACATGGTGGCACTTCCTTATTTGGACCAGCCATCACCCTCGCAATGCAGAGATTAATCCCCCTTGTTGTCTAAGGCCTCCTTTTCCCAAGAAGGCGGGGAGATCTTGGCCCAGCTAATTGAAAAGGAAGACAAACATTTCATGATTTCTCTTGGCTCTTTTACAGAGATTAAGAAATCGTTCTGGGTTCCAACAAGATGTTACTGTACTTGGAGGAATGGTGGGAAAGGAGCGAAGGAATGTGAGAGAACAAAGATAATAAAGGCCAGCTGTTATTTGACATGGCTCATTGGTAGAGCATGTTTCGATTACAGAAGGCCCCAGGTACATAGCTGTCAACATTTCCCTTTTTTAAAGGGAAATTCCCTTATTCCGAATAGGATTCCTTGCAAGAAAAGGGAAAAGTGGACAGCTATGCCCAGGTATAATCCCTGGTATTTCCAAGGAGGGCTGGAAATGCCCCGTGTCAGAAACCTAGGACAGCTGCTGTGTAGTGAATCCTGAGCTAGATCAAACCAATGGTTTAACTCTGCATAAGGCAGCTATATTTTAAATTAAACCAGACCTTTATTCTCAACAATGAGAACTGTAACCTTAATTTATTAAGAGAAGAGCTGTAGCTGAGTGGCAGAGAACCTGCTTTACAGGCAGAAAGTCCCAGACTCCATCCCCTGGCATCTCCAGGTAAGGATGGGAATCTCCCCTGTCTAAAACCCTGGACAGCTGCTGCCTGTCAGTGCAGACAACACTGATCTAGATGGATCTATGGCCTGGCTGAGCATATGGCTCTCACCCCTTAATTTCAAATCATGCATGTACATACAAATTGTCTTTGTATGCTTTTGGCCGCTTGCTTTTCACTTCAGGGGAGCCTCCCACCTCAATCAAACCCCAAATATGGACCAGAAAGACTGGAGTGGCTTAGAGGTACCTGTACTTACGAGTGTGAGAGTAGATGTACCACAGCGTTGCGGTGAGCATGACTCCGATTAAAAAGGCACCGAAAGTTATTCCCAGCACAGTTCCGATCCCCAGGCCTTGATTTGCACAGGAGGAAAGCGACAATTAGGGCTTTGCCATTGCATGCATGCAGCAGCCTTACTTATTCATTTACTTCATGAAATTTATATCACCACCTGGTCGCAAAAAACCTCAAAGCGGTTCAGAAAAAGATAGAATCAGGAAAAGTTTACGATACATTAAAACATAAAAAGAAGTTAAAATACTAAAACAGATTAAAACTCATGCCAGCATTTTTAAGCATCTGGGTAGCCTTGTCTAAAGAAAAATGTTTTTAGCAGGTGCCAAAAAGAGGACAATGAAAGCTCCTGCTTGATCTCAAGAGGCAGGGAGTTCCGTAGTATATGTGCTACCACACTAAGCAATTGAGTTCTTACAAATGCTGAAAGGATATTGTGTGGCACTTGTAGTAGTGCCAGTTCCACTGATCGAAACAGTCAAGTGGGCCCAGGTGGGGTTAAGGGTAGCCTTGCTCTTCCTCACCACTGGGTGTTAATTAAAAATGTTCTCCCTCCCAGCCATTATTATCTGCTGAGCTTGAAACAACAGAACATTAAGTATTGACCAGAATATTATTTTTTAAGGGGAAAAAATGTTTTAGTAATTTAACTATGCCACACAGCTGTGTTTTGCATTTCTTAATCTAGACTAATTCCACCCTGCCCTCCACTGACTCCTGCAGTCACTGTAGATTTTTATTGCCATTTCACCCATAACCATGTATTGTTCAATTTTGCTCACATTTGAGAACTTTGGCCCTAGGACATAACCAAATGCAAGGTGGCAAAACATTTTAAAAAGCTAGTTACAGGTGAGACTATTTCTAGGCTGTTGCCATCTTGTGAGCGGGACTGAATCACAAACCAGCAAATCCAGATTGTGCAATTAGTCCTGGACTTTTGGCCCAAGGAAAGCAATAGAAAAATGTGAGAAAACAATGGCTTGATAACTTCCCCGCAAACAAATGAGAATGTATGCTCAGCAAATTGTCGATGTCCTTTAACCTCCCTGCAAACTTCATGTAATCAAATCAGGATGTACGTTCAGTAAATAGGTTGGAAGCAACCTGAATTGCAGATTTGCATAAAGAATGGCATAGCAGTGAAACAAATTTGCAGGGAAGGACAATTAGAAAGTTCTAGCAAGTTAAGAACCTAAGAAGAGTTTGGCTGCTGGATCAGGTCAAAGGCCCACCTAATCCAGCATTGTGTTTCCACAGTGGCCAACCAAATGCCTCTTGTGTTTCGCAGCGCTTGGTATTCAAAGGCACACTGCCTCCGACTTTGGAAACGGAACATTTGCAACCATGGCAAATAGCCACTGAGTTTGCCAAGGCAAAATGTGAAATTCTCTCTTCTGAACAACTAGCCAAGAGGCAGTAGCCCTGCCCTCTTTTGCATATGGCCACCCTATGCTATGGTTTTCCCAGTAGTGCAGTATGGAAGTGAGAGCTGGACCATAAAGAAGTCTGACCGCCGAAGAATGGATGCTTTTGAATTATGGTGCTGGAGGAGACTCTTGAGAGTCCCATGGACTGCAAGAAGATCAAATGTATCCATTCTTAAGGAAATCAGCCCTGAGTGCTCACTGGAAGGACAGATTGTGAAGCTGAGGCTCCAAGACTTTGGCCACCTCATGAGAAGAGAAGACTCCCTGGAAAAGAACCTGATGTTGGGAAAGATGGAGGGCGCAAGGAGAAGGGATGACAGAGGATGAGATGGTTAGACAGTGTGCTCGAAGCTACAAACATGAGTCTGACCAAACTGCGGGAGGCAGTGGAAGACAGGAGTGCCTGGCGTGCTCTGGTCCATGGGGTCACGAAGAGTCGGACACGACTAAACAACAACAACACCCTGTTTACTTTGCCATGATATGGCCATCTCTGTAAATAACACTTCAGTACAAGCAATATATTTCTATTTGCGCGCTCTCTCTCTCTCTCTCTGTGTGTGTAACTAGATGACTTGCTTCTTATAAATGGTTTTCAAAGGAGATTTATTTCACCTTAAAAAATCTCATCTAAAGAGCTAGTCATCATTTGTTTTTCTGGCTGCTTTGCCAGACCCCTTGGAAAGAGGTCTGGTAGGTGTTCAAGGTCCTGAAGAAATTATGACCTGGTTAAGCCAACGTTAAGCCATGGTTTATTTAGTGTGCTTTGATACTCGAATCCATTCGAGTAGAGTAGACCAACCAAAGTTTGTTTCTTTGGAAACAAACCATGATGTGAAGCCATGGTATTATAGCACTGCATAAGTAGAATGACTGTTCTCTTCCTCTTCCTCTTCCCTACCCAATCTCAATCTACTTTAGTTGGATTTATCAGTGGCTTACAAACCATGGCTAGGGTTGCCATATGTCTGGAATTTCCTGGACATACCCGGAATACTGCAGTCAGAAGCAGTGTCTGGGCGGAAATCGGCAAAATGTGTGGGAAAATCTGGACATCTGGAAACCTATGCTGACAGTGGGGGTTTTTTTTTGCGATTTCCCTTAGAAATAGTTCGAAAATGGTGAATTTCTTTGGTGATTTTGCCAAAAAAGTTCAACAACTTTGTGCCCGGATTTTCACTTTTTGAAATATGGCAACGCTAACCGTGGCTTGCTGTAATGTCCAAACCAAAACCCTTGTTTAATCATGATTGGACTACTTCATCCCAGATGCTTTCCAAGCTACAGATGCATGAAGCAAGAGTAGCTGGAAAACGAAGCAAGCTCATTTGTGAAACAATTGGTGCCTAGTCAAACAAACCATAGCTGAGAATTCGTGTGTGAATGCTGCCTCCGCCAAGGCTCCTCTCCTGCCTCAAAAGCCAATCTGACACTCAAGGCTTCTAGATAAAGTTGTAAAAAAGCACATACACAAACAAAGCAAGAGACTGAGGGTCTAATGAAAGCATGGCAGACGTGTGTGATGTGCCGGGTGAGTCCCCACTGGGGCTGGGTTCGTGTCAAAAGCTTTTCCTTGCTTTGTTATTTCCCCGTCCTGAGGGAGACGTGCAAAACAGAGGCAGGAAGGAGAAGATTTAAGGTAGCAGGATGACCAGAATCCATCCATTTTTGGATGAGGCCAGTAATTCAATCAATTCTGCCTGACAAAGGACAGTAAGCAAGGAGGGACACACTTCACTCTGTCATGCAATCACTGGCAGAAATTACTTCCACAAGGCTTCAGTGGTGTCAGGGGCAGCAAGGCAGGAAAAGCAGGATGAGAGAGAGGCTGTCCTGAGAGAGTTTTGTGACAGAAACACTTGAGCATCTACATTCAAACTGAAAACGCACAAGTTTTAACTGTCCAGCTACTTTGGAGAGCATAAATACATTGCCAGGGCTAGGGGGCCCCGGCAGCTTCAGACATGTTCCCTGAATGTTTTGCGTATTTTCTTTCTTTGTTTTTTGGAAATCTGCAGCCTTTTCCCTTAGGGAGATATATGTAAAAACATACAGACAATGTTCTGCTTGGTAACTTGGTAGAAATTAAACCTGTTTCCTGCCTTCTGCTGTTCTGCCCAAGGAATGCAAAAATTCTAGTTGATAGGGTTGTATCTACCTGGTTCCTTGAGATGACCTGTTTATCGATCATTTATCCTGATTTGCTTGAATAAAACTTATGGGGAGGGTAGTCTCTACATGGTTTTTACTGAGCATTCACTTTGATTTGCTTGCATTGCATATATACATCTTCCTGTTAATCATTCATTCACCCTACGCTTGTTAATTCATTTTCCCTTCACTTTTCTAACTGGAGAATATATGTGCAGTTGTTGTTTTTTTTAAGTGCATTTTTTCTGCTAGGCTGACAGAGCACTTTAAACCACTTTAATTGGACAAACCTAAATTTCTATATGCAGTTGAAACCCCCGTCCCCCAAAAAAACACTTGCAGTCTGAAAGTGACCATCAAAATGAACCTAAGATACGCCATGCATTTAAATAATTACTTCTTCCCTCAAAGAATTCTGGAAGCTGTTGTTTGTTAAATATCTGCTCCCAGAGCTACAATTCCCGGAGAATTGTAACTCTGTGGTGGGAATAGGAGTCTCCTAACAAATATCATCATCCTTAACAAACTACACATCCCAGAATTATTTGGGTGAAGCTATGGGATGTGGGTGGCGCTGTGGTCTAAACCACAGAGCCTAGGGCTTGCTGATCAGAAGGTCGGCGGTTCGAATCCCCGCAATGGGGTGAGCTCCCATTGCTCAGTCCCAGCTCCTGCCAACCTAGCAGTTCGAAAGCACGTCAAAGTGCAAGTAGATAAATAGGTACTGCTCTAGCAGGAAAGTAAACAGCATTTCCGTGCACTGCTCTGGCTCGCCAGAAGCGGCTTAGTCATGCTGGCCACATGACCCGGAAGCTGTACGCCGGCTCCCTCGGCCAATAAAGCAAGATGAACGCCACAACCCCAGAGTCGTCTGTGACTGGACCTAACGGTCAGGGGTCTCTCTACCTTTACCTATGACTGTTTAAAATGTTATGATGATGTTATAAATGTGTGGTGTGGATGTGGCCTTAGACATGTCCATATAATGGATTATATCCACGCTTACTCCACTCTGATTCACTGAAGGCATTAGACCAAAGTTAGTCATGCCCTTTAATTTTTCAATGAATCTTCTCTTAGTATGCCTAACGTTGGATGCAAAGCCTTACTCCCCTGCCCTTAAGATGCAGTTTGCTACTGAAATATCACATGATACATACTAGTCTGTTTTAATCTAGATACCTGCATTTCCATCTCAACCTCAAGGTAGACTTAGGCTTCAACTTGGCATATAAACTACTACAACTTGGCATATGAATTAAGTTCCTAGGGCAGTTCCAATTAGTCTGTGCTGCAAACACACTTGAAACGCTATGTGTGGATCATGCACCTCATCATAGATATTGTAGAGCTAGTTTTGGGCCAGAAAGGGCAGCCCAAATGATCAAAGTGATGGCGCCAACTCTCCTATGTGGTGAAGTTGGAACATTATTTTTGGGGGGTGGGGGTGGTTAGTTTAGAAAAAAGGTGAGTAAGGCGGGGTAGAGTGATAGAGGTGTATAAAAATATGCATGGTGTACATAAGAAGCCTCCCACGAACCCACCCCATTCTATAACACCAGAACTGGGTAACATCCAATGAAGCCAAATTACAGAAGATTCACAGCAGAGAAAAGGAACTGAATTTGTTCCCACAAGAGGTAGTGACACCCACTCACGTGGACAGCTTTAAAGGAGACTAGACAAGCCCAGGGTGTGACTGAATGCCCTGAATGGCAGCTGCTGGGAATGGCAAGCAGGGAGAGTGCTGTTGTGATCAGGTTCCATAGGCAGGCTTCCCAGAAGCACCTGGTGAGTCACTGGCTCCTGGTGTGTTAGTTGCTACTCTTGCTTGTGAAATCTTTCTTCTTCCCTCCCTGTCTCATGTGGGGGAAATGTCTGGACAACGAGAATGGAGGCAGCTCCCACTAATTTGGATCAGACGGCAGTGGGCTGGCCTCGCTCTGTGCAAAGAGACGCCTTATCTCTTGCATACCCTTATGGCTACATCCAGTTCCTTCACCCTTCTCTGCCTACCATGTGTCTTCTTTATCTGAAATTGCACAGACTTCTGGATGAAAAACTGTGTATTTTACATGTTGTGAGCAGGCAAGAGCCATCAAACTGTATCTTGAGGACAGGAAAGGGGGAGATAACATTCTTTGTCTTGTGCTGTCACTGGGATGCATCAAATAACTGATTCCCCAGTGCCATCAGCTGTGTGCATTCCTCTCCCTTATCATGTCCGTTTACGTTGGTTCTAACTCATATCCCAACTTCGCTTCCTCTTTCTGCGCCCCCTCTCCCCCTCCCCCCGCTGCCAGAATTTCACTTATACAAAGGTCATGGCACACACCTTCCGGAGCGTGCAGCCTAGTCGCCATCTGTGGCTCCTACCCAGCTGCTACCATGGAGACACAAGCACCACACGGCTGTAGCAGTGGCAGCAAGCCATAATTGTGCGAGGGGGGGCAGAGTGACAGGAAATGCCTCCTAAAGTGCGGGGGGGGGCATAGGGAGTGAAGGGAAATGCTACGAATGAGGGAAGATAGGCGGCCAGCTTCTCAGAGGGAAATGGCAGGGACTTTGGCCAACTCTGTGCTCAAACTGACATGGCAAGCTCGGAATCTCTAGGAAAGAATCCAGGCTGTGTGAGTTGCATTCAGCCAAGTCCTGCCCAGAGCAGACCCATGGAAATTAAGGAGCCCAAGTTATTCATTTCATTGAGTCTGCTCTGAGCGGGAGCTTTCTTTCGGCTCACAGGATGTTTCGCAGCATAGTTTTGTTGAGAAACAAACTCCGCATGGTTCCCAAAAAAAATCAACCATGCAGCGCCTCAAAGCATTTATAGAGTAATTTCTGCTGATACTATATAGGAAAAAATGTTTTCGTTGCTGGGAGGAAGCAGGAAATGGGCCTAGGGACTGTACCTCTGAGAATGTGCAGAGTTAGGTTTCCCACCAACTTAAAGGTTGGCATTCTGGGATATGTATTCCCAGTGTTTTCCCCCCCTAAAAAATTAAATTGTTTAGGGGTACTCTCATTCCATCTGAGACTCAGGAAAAACCATGACAGGAAATGATGCCGCCATCGGGGGTAGCAACGGAACTGACGATTCACCACACTAGAGAAGAAACTATTAAAATTTTAGTTTCTTCTCCCGTTAGATTCACAAAATGTTTAGTACCCCTGCAAACCCCCAGAAAAAGAAGCACTGTGTATTCCATTCCACGCAGCTGCCACCAATCAATCAAGTACTGAGCAATGGTGTGATGATCACATGCAAGATCCCTTAACAGCAGGGATGGGGAATCTGTGCCCCACCCCCAGTGTTGTTGACTACACCTGGTTCTGTCAGCACCAGCTAGCACAGCCAAAAGTCAAGGACAATGGGAGTTGTAGTCCAACAACATCTGATGGACATCCTTGTTGATGGACCCAAATGTTCTGTTAGACCAGGGGTAGCCAATGGGGTGTCCTCCAGATGGCACTCCAGCTCCCATCAGCACCAGTCAGCATGGCTGATGGTCAGGGATGATGAGAATTGCAGTCCAAAATTTCTGAAGGTCACCACATTGACTATCCTTATGTTAGATGGTTAACAGGTACTTTATAATGAGCTGTGAATCCTGCGTGTGAAGCATGGAGAAAACACAAGGCACCATAAGCAACGTAAATGTTGTACTCATAACAGGCACAACTCTAGCCTGATGGTCCTGATCTGAGTCTATATAGCCTAGTTCCTTTTATATTAAATATAAGGGTCAATTAACTCACCGTGAGATAGAGAGGCAAGATTCTTGAGCATCACCTTTATGGAAGCATTGTAGGAGCCATGCTAGAAGAGAAAAATAATGGAGGTGGGGGAGAGCTTTAAAACGAGGCGAATATTTAGCTCATTTAACACACAGCGGTTCTGCTTTCCTTAGAGAACATTTCACTGAGTAGGCCGAAGGGTTATCTCTAATTGCCTCTGTTAATCTAGCCAGTTCAATTTACTCTAACAGTTTGTCTTGCTATTCCTTTTTTGTTGGCACAGTTTCTTTTCCCCAGTTTTTAGCAATTAGGATCCTTGCCACTCCTGTGGCATAGAGGAATATTTTCTGATCTTTGTGGATATTTAAGTTATAATTAGAAAAATCTTAATAATTATTCATAAAGGAAACAGCTTACAAGAAGTAAATGAGGAGGCCAGGTACAGGATAAAGGAAGTCTTTTATCTGGTCGTTGTATGTTATGCTTATTGTATGTTATGTTCACGTTTAATGAGGGTGGATTTCTGTATTGGGGGAGTGGGGGGGTTTATGTTATGTTGCAAATAAAAATTAAATAAATAAATAAATAATAAAAATATTGACCTGGTTCTCCCGATCTGCTTGGCAAAAGAGTGTGGCTGACAAAGTTGAACGTTGTTGTTCTTCAGCCTTGTAGATGAAACTAAAGCGGTTGGTCTTTGTGTTGGGGGAATTCAAGATCTCCACAGAATAACTTTTTGGCATGCCACTGCGGATCAGCATCTGTGGGGCTGCTTGGTCAGGGATTTGCAGGTAACAGTCCTGGAGTCGAAGTGAAGAGTTCCCATCAGCTGTCTGGAACGACACCTATAGAGAAGGGAGGCAGAGAAAAGGCAGAATGTGTTCAAACCTGGCCCTTGAATTGAGAATCTGGAACTGGGATTTAAATGACTCAGCTGCTTTACTCTTCATTCCCATACCTTCATTGCGGGAGTTGGGCCATATAGCTCAGGACTATGTAATTCCCCCTCCCCCACAAGGGTTTTTGATGACCCTATAAAGCAGCTCAGCTTTTGACTGAAAGTTTTTTTACAGCTTTTTGAAACTTTATAAAGTGGACATTACTGGAATTCTGAGGCCAAGGGGGGAAGAATCTGCAGGAGCTGTAATTTAATGTCACAGTTATCTCAATCACATAGTCATCGTGGCCACCTTCAATAATACTTGGAGAGATCAATCCTATCCATGTCTACTCAGAAGAAATCCCAAAAGTGTTCAGGGTTGCCTTTAAATATTAAATTTATTCCTTATCCCAATGTACAGGATCAGCAGTACCTGGACGTAGGTGACTTTGTTAACTTCTACCACAGTGGTGGATGGTGAGCTGAAGTCAGGTGTCTGATAAAGATGGAGAAAGAGCTTCTCTGGGAGATCACATTGAAATGGCACCTATGAGAGAAGATAAAGGGGCAACAGACAGGTCCCATATTAACACATCATTTTCTCTAATATCAAACTTGGATAGGGAAGCAAAATGGGGCCACCCCAAAACAAGGTTGTGCTTTCAACATACTTCAGAGGCTTTCTAAGTATGCAGTATATCATACGTTGTAAATTTAAATTATTCTCTCTTGTGAATGTTTGCATGCAATTTTATTGTTTAAGTGCATTGGGTTATATATTTTGACATTTTACTGACAATGGGAGGGTTTTTATTGGCAATTGCAAGCAACTTTGATGGGAACAGACTTTGGTAATATGATGCCCTAAGCAAGGGCAAAATTTGCCCCCCATGGCTTATTTACATGCCCTCCTCCCTCTCGCCTTCCGTTCTGCACATGCTCTCAAGTGCATTACATTATGGTTCTGGCAATTCAACTGCCCATCTAACCGGGGCCTGACTTTGAGTAGGTACCACTGTATAAATATATGTTGTTGTTGTTGCTGCTGCTGCTGTTTTGCACCCCCTTGGCCCACACTGCCCTAAATCTGGTGCTGACTTTGTGGGGGATGTTCCTCATATGGTGGTGTATCAATTTTTAAGTAAACTTTTTATGCTCCTCAAAATGGCCCATGAGTTTCCAGGACCTGCAAAATATTGGGGCCATAGAGATAAGAAACATGCCTATTTGTAAATAACTAAGAGATTTCAAAAACACCGTATGTTTCCAATGCTTTTTCCTCACAGAGAAACAGACTCACAAGGAAAGGAAATATTTCAAAGGCTGTCTTTGGAGTACAGTGGTGCCTCGCAAGACGAAATTAATTCGTTCCATGAGTTTTTTCGTCTTGCGATTTTTTTCGTCTTGCGAAGCACGGTGTCGGGAAAGTTTTGGAAAAGCTTCAAAAGTCTTCAAAAACCTCAAAAAAGGGGGGTGCTTGGGAGGGAGGGAGAGGCGGGCGCGGGGCGTGGGGGAGGCAGGGCAGAGGTTGCTGCCTGAGCCCCGGGATCAGTTCGGCTCGCCTTGCTCCGACCCTTTGCACTACAGTCGGCGCCGTCTTGCTGCTGCTGCTGCTGTCGCCGCGGTAGTCAAAACTCCTACTGGCCTAAAAGTTGTCTGGTGCAAAATCCCTTCTGCAGCAGCAGCCCGAAAGAAAGCGAGAGCGCCAGCCAGCCAGCCGCCCGCCGCGGGCAGGAGGGAGGGAGCGTCGGCGACGGTGGATGCCTATTGCCCCTGTTGCTGCTGCAGCCGGCCAGCCAGCCAGAAGCGCGCGAGCGGAGAGGGGTGCATCCAGCCCGTTGGAGAGGAGCGCGGGGGCGCGTCCCCGGTGGCTCCCGAGCTGACCTTGCCTGGCCCGGCGCCTTCCACGCTGCCAAGGGCGACTCACCTGCTGCCTGCGCTGCGCCGGGACTAACTCGAGCGGGGCGAGGAGAACACACACTCGCGCGCACACACACTGAGAGGCAAACTTGCCGCAGCCGTAGACGTCGCGGGGTTGGAAAGCGCCCGGGCAGGCGCTCTTGTCACCGCCGGGGCGCTGGGGGGGGGGGAGAAGGAAGGAGCCCCGTCCGAAGAGCCCCGGAGCCTGGCCTCCCTAACTGGGAGTTGTGGGGAGGGAAGTGTGCGCGCCTTGCTATTTTTCACCGAAACAAAGCTCCCTCTCCCTCAGAACCCGCCTTCACGCGTTCTTGCCCCTACGGAGACGCACACCGCGTGCTATGAGTTGCTCCTCGAAGTCAAGTCGCAACTGTATTAACGGTTTTAAGAAAAAGGAAACAAACTTGCAAGAGGTTTCCGTCTTGCGAAGCAAGCCCATAGGGAAAATCGTCTTGCGAAGCAACTCAAAAATGGAAAACCCTTTCGTCTTGCGAGTTTTCCGTCTTGCGAGGCATTCGTCTTGCGAGGCACCACTGTATCCTTCTCGACTGGGAAAATGGCAGTACAAAACAACAGTTTATAACTAAGCCAGTCATGAATAAATTGCAAGCTTAGAATTTAAAAAACAATTGTCATTTTTTTAAGAACAGTTCCACTGCCTGGTTAATTGGGAACCTGTTGTTGATCAATCAAAAGGTTTAGGCTTAATCTAGCCAATTAATTGACTAAAAGTTGCAGCCTTACTGAAATAGAAAACAATCTTTTCACAATAGCACAATACAAAAGATGATGGTTTTCAGCAGGAATGTATTTCTTACCATAATTTTATCTGGATGCGAAGCCAGGGTCAGGACCAGCTGATGGGACAATGAAAAAGAAATGTTAAGTAAACTATTAGTCCATGGATGCAGATGTTGTTGGATGGCTTTGCTTTAGAGCTCATGGCAAGGAGGGTGGGGTGCTGCAGACAGACTGCAGAGACCTTGCTTGAGTTCATTACTCAGCAATAAAGTTCAGTTGGTGGCACAGGAACACAGGAAGCTGTAACGCAGTGGTAGAACATCTGCTTTGCAGCAGCTGTCCAAGTTATAGCCCTTCAACATTTTGTGGGCCATGAAACTGGGGGAGGTTGGGAGCTCTTTGGAGGGGATGGGCATGCAAAGTTCACTGGTACCGTATTTTTCGCTCTATAAGACGCACCAGACCATAAGACGCACCTAGTTTTTGGAGGAGGAAAACAAGAAAAAAAATATTCTGAATCTCAGAAGCCAGAACAGCAAGAGGGATCGCTGCGCAGCGAAAGCAGCAATCCCTCTTGCTGTTCTGGCTTCTGGGACAGCTGCGCAGCCTGCATTCGCTCCATAAGACACACACACATTTCCCCTTACTTTTTAGGAGGGAAAAAGTGAGTCTTATAGAGCAAAAAATACGGTACTTATCCCAACTCCTTGCTGCTGCCATTTCTGAAATAGGGGAGGAAGAGAAAAATGGAGTGCCTTACAGCAGGCAGCGTTGTTAGACTCCAACTCATCAGCTCCAGCTGGCATGGCTGTAATCCAACATCAACACATTGACTACCCCTTGGTTAGAGTGCTGGTCTAGGGAGACCCCAGTTCAATTTCCCCCTTTATATATATTATTAGTCTCCATATAATCGAGAGTCTTTACACCAGCCTTTCCTAACCTTGGGTCCCAAGATGTTGTTGGACAACAACTTCCATCAGCCCCAGCCAGTATTGCCCAGTGTTCAGGGCTGATGGGAATTGTATTCCAACAACAACTGGAGACCCAAAGCTGAGAAAGGCTACTTTAGATAAAAGCATGATTAAGTTAAATAAATACAATTTTAAAATGCAGCAGTGGTGCAAATCCACATGCTCACACAAGCATGTGTCTGAAAACCAACCATACACCTCGCTGGGGGAATCCCTCACTGTGTGACCTTGGGCTGGTCATTGTCTTTCAGCTTAATCTACCTCAAAGGGTAATTGCTAGATAAAAGTGTATGTGTGCTGGGCAGTGTCCCATGAAATATTTGGAGGAAGGGCAGGATCAAAAAATGTGGCAAGCAAACTGAACAGGAAGATGGTACCCAAAGGCCATTAGAGAATCCTGCAAGCTTCTATGCTGACCTGATTTTTTGCATGAATGCCCCCTTCTAAGTTGGTAGAGCAATCATCTATGATGCTTTTTAGGACAAAATGAGTCATGTTGTCAGTTGCTCTGCAGGCAGGGTCCTCCAAAGTCATCTCAGTGATGTCAAGTTGTGACTGCTGTGGGGTTAAAAAAAAACAGCAAATGTTATTTTGGCTAAGTGCACTTACATACCTAACTCATACACAAATTCGTCAGTTTTGTTTTCTCCTTGTTTCTCATTTTTCCAAGTCTTATATTGAATTCTATCTCTTTTTCTTATGCTTTTATTAGACATAAACATAAATACAAACTAAACAAACATGAAAGTACAGCAATGACCCCGTGGAGGCAATACTAAATCTCATATGATATATTCAATTTTAATAAGATCGCAAAACCAAAACCATAAATGATGCATAAGAGGTGGAGAAAATAAAAAGTAAAAACAAAGTAACATTTGAAGCCAGAGCACAGATTTCCATAGATACCGCTGAAAATGAATTTGTTTGGACTAAAGCATACTTTTTTGTGTATAATTTAGAAATACCCAAAATAAATGTGATACCCAGTTTATAGATGTCTAAGGGTTTCATAATGCATCCTCACTCAATGCAGTCAAAATCCTTATAAGTATCTAGGAAGAATATTACAAGTGGGCACCCTGCTTTCATAGCTGCAAAATAATATTAAAATGTCAGTATACAGGGTTAGAAATACGCCTTTTAGGAATAAATCCCATTTGATTGGAATGAATAATACTTGAAATCACCCCTCTCAACCAGGAGGCCAGGATATATGAAAAGAAAAATTATTCTGGTTAATTTAGGGTAATGGTCTATAGGATTTTACTTCTTCTAAAAATTAAAATTAAATTAAGTTATCCATATTTATGCAGCAATCTGCAGTAAATCTACATGAAAACTCAGACTCAAATTAGTGCAAATTTTTCCTAATAAAATTTCCACGCAGTTTTTATTAATATAGATGTTTTTGCAAGCATTATGTAAGAAACAACCTAATTCTAACCTAATTCTTATACTAACATGTGAACCAAAATCACAGCTGTCCTTCAAAATTAACACTTCTCCAAATTTTATGATGTAGTTTTCCAACCAACCAGGGTGTACGAATATGTATATATTAGAGGAAAGTGCCCATAAAAATGGATATATCAGTGAAAATAATATTCAAAAATGCATTATATTAAGGGAAATTGCTTATAGGTTTTGGAAGGGCACAACATGAGCAGTAAAACTCCTCACCTGCAAGAGCCACTTGGACAATGCTACCTCAATGGCGTTCTCTGTGCACTTCCATGGATGCAAAAGTTGAATCATCCCTTGAACCACCTTGGACAGTTCTGAAATCTTGCTGTGTGGTGCTGTCGTCACCTCAGTTTTCTTTCCTTCTAAATAAAGTGCCAGTTATTTATTATATTTGGTCATCACTTTTTACAAAACACCTCAAAGCAAGTTATAGAATATTTAAACTTGCAAAACACTGCATCAATAATTTAAAACCCAGAATGCCACAGAGTGCTATGGATATTGAAAGTGCTCATCCATTAGCCACAATCTAAAGGGTCCCCACACCTGAACTAGGTGGATATATATATATATATATATATATATCCATCCATCACACCTTTCCTCCAAAAAATGTGGATTGGATTCCTCTGTTTCTGGGCCCTAATTCAAAGTGTTGTTTTTGACATACAAAGCCCTAAACAGCTTAGAACCGCAATACCTCTCTAACCACCTCTCTCCATATGAACCAACCCAGACTCTGAAGTAGTAATCATCTGAGGCCGTTCTTTGTGTGTCTACTCCACAAGAGGTCCAGAGGGTGGCAACATGAGAATGGGCCTTTTCTGTAGTGGCTCCCTGTTTTTGGGATGCTCTCCCCAGGGGGGTTCGCTTGACATCTTCTCTACATATCTTAAGGAACCAGGCAAAAACATTCCCCTTCTCTCAGGCCTCTGGCTAATTAAACAAACTTGGGGGGGGGGGGTATTGGTTTGTTTGATTTTTGTTCTTATTGTGATACATATTTTGTGTTTTCATTTTGCATTTTTATCCTGTAAACCACCCTGTGTCTTTGGATGAAGGCCAGCGTATAACTGTAATCAATCAATCAATCAATCAATCATAATCTATAGTTCTATGTGAGGGGTGGCTTTTTTTAATGTGACCAAGGGAACATGTTGAGCATGTCTAACTCAGGAATAGCCACCCTGTTGTCCTCCATGTGTGCTTGGACTGCAGCTCCCATCATCCCAGACCATTGGCCATAGGGACGTGGGCTGATAGGAGTTGTAGTCCAGCAATATCTGGAACACACCACATTGGCACCCCTGGTCTAACTCCTGCGATTCTAATCACATGAGGTAGTGAATGCCTGGATAGGGCTTTTGTTTCACAGGATGGTGATTGTTTTGCTACTTTGAGCTTTAAGGAAAGGGGAGGGGAGGCCATAGTTCAATGAGAGCATGCAGGGGTCCCAGGTTCAATATTCAAACAGGGCTGGGGGGGAACCCTGTCTCAAACCTTTAACTGCCACTGACAGTGAGTGTAAACATTGACAGAGGTGGACCACTCAGTGTAAAGCAGCTTCCTATGTTCCTAAGGGACGCGGGTGGCGCTGTGGTCTAAACCACTGAGCCTTGGGCTTGCCAATCAGAAGGTCGGCGGTTTGATTCCCCGTGACGGGGTGAGCTCCCGTTGCTCTGTCCCAGCTCTTGCCAACCTAGCAGTTCGAAAGCACACCAAAAAGTGCATGTAGAAAAATAGGTACCACTCCAGTGGGAAGGTAAACGGTGTTTCCGTGCGCTGCTCTGGTTTCACCAGAAGCAGCTTAGTCATGCTGGCCACATGACCCGGAAGAACTGTCTGTGGACAAACGCCGGCTCCCTCGGCCAATAAAGTGAGATGAGCGCGGTAACCCCAGAATCGCCTGAGACTGGACCTAATGGTCAGCAGTACTTTTACCCTTATCTTTATGTTCCTAAGGCGTAAGGATTTTTGAGGGAAGGCTTGTGAATCATAGAATTGTAGAGTTGGAAGGACCGTGAGGGTCATCTAGTCCAACCCCCTGCAACGCAGGATTTTTTTGTCCATTGTGGGGCTTGAACCCACAACCCTGAGATTAAGAGTCCCATGCTCTCTATTAATGCTAGAGATGAATAGTATCCTGTAGTAGGACCTGGAACCCTCAGAAAATGATCCTGCAAGGTTTTTACTGCACTGGCTCTGTTCCAGCCAAGTGCCACCAACATGCTTAGGTCTGATGTAGCCAACTTGAAACTGGGCAAACTCACCACCACAATCCCTGACCAGCTCAAGGGTGATGCTTTTGGCAGCTGGAATTTCTGTGTAAGAAGCGATGAAGGCGAAGTCCTTGTCACGGGCTTCTTTGATCAAGCCTTCTTTGCTGTCTGGGAGGACAGTACCATTAATTGGCTCCTTGGTTATTTTCTTAATGGAGTATTTTCCTGACACCTACAGGAGAAAAAGAAATGAAAGTTTAACAAGGACCCTCTTCAGAGTATGTTTCCATTCATGGTAGTACACACAGTTGCCCAACAGAAGTATTATCTCCAACCATGTTCAAGTAAGTAAACTTACTGAAATGAATGGAGCTAAGTTAGCCATGCCTCTTTTCTTCTTCTGCTTATTTATTCTTTAGCAAAATTTTGAAAACTTAACATAATCAAAATCAAATGTGTAGTCACATACAGAACTGCAGGGTGTGATCGGACTTCATGACATATTGTAAATCTCATTTTAAAAAAAGTCTTCAAGGTAAGTTTAACAGATGGGGATATTGCAATACCAAGTTCTGACAAAATAGTCCTTTTGCAGTGATATAGCCCAAATCATTATGTACGCTTCCTGTACTTTCCTGTTGTTGCTTGGCTTGTGGTTCTTACAATAAAGTTGTACCAGTCCACAGTGAAAGTGTGTTTCTTTCAACGTAATATGCAAGCTTTTGAGTGAGTCTTTAATTTGAGAGCAACTTGGGGAATCCCTTTGGCCGTTCCACTAACATGCCATCAGAATCCTCACTACCAGTAATGTAGGCCCTCTTAGATTAAAGAAGAGTACGTCTTCATTTTCCTCTGTGAATATATTCTGTGATGATAGCTGGGGAATTGTAACAGTTTTACCTATGATGTTGTTCCTCTCCTGAAAAACAGTGTCTAAGAATTTTGTTTCTTTAGCACATGACTACCAATGTTGCTGGCGCTGTGGTCTAAACCACAGAGCCTAGGGCTTGCCGATCAGAAGGTCGGCGGTTCGAATCCCCGGGATGGGGTGAGCTCCCATTGTTCAGTCCCAGCTCCTGCCCACCTAGCAGTTCGAAAGCACGTCAAAGTGCAAGTAGATGAATAGGTACCACTCCAGTGGGAAGGCAAACGGCATTTCCGTGTGCTGCTCTGGTTCGCCAGAAGCGGCTTAGTCATGCTGGCCACATGACCCAGAAGCTGTATGCCTGCTCCCTTGGCCAATAAAGCGAGATGAGCGCTGTAACCCCAGAGTCATCCGTGACTGGACCTAAAGGTCAGGGGTCCCTTTACCTTTTTACCAATGCCCATTATTGTAGCATTGGCTACAATGTCCATGAGGCAACCGCCTCAGGCAGCAGGGTCCACCAGGGCAGCATCTCTCAATGTCTTCCTTCCTTCCTTCCTTCCTTCCACCCTTGTTCCTGATATTGGTCTTCCTTGACCCCATTCTTCCCTGGTGGGGAGGGGAGATGCCATTTTGGGGTTTGCCTCAGGGGCTGAAAAGTGTTGGGCCAGCCCTAATCACAGTTTGGTGTGACTGGCAGATCTTTCACCCTTGCACCACTCTGTCTGCCTCTGAATACAAGTTCCTGCAGGGAGCTTCAATAGCAGAGGCCTTCATGCCCTACTTGCGGACTCCCCATAACCCTCTCATTGGCCACTGTGAGAAGCAGAATGGTCTTCTTATATGTAAGGCAGAGGTGGAAAATCTCAGGCCCAGGAGCTGAATGTCCTCCTTCATGCCCTTTTTGTCTGGATCAACACATCTAGCTTTGCGTTTATGAATAATAGTAATCATGAAGTTCTAAGCCCATAACTTCAGCAGCCAGAGGGCATTTCTCTCCCACTCTTACCATGAATTTCACATATTCAGGCATCTGATCAATGTTCCAAAACATCCTCTCATGGCTTTTAAGCACTAGTAGCGTGGTCAGCTCCTTAGCTGGTTTTCCATTATTGCATGTCACGTTGATGTTCAGATCCACAGCCTGTGTGCTGGAGAACAAACCCAAGGATAAATGATAAGGGCTCATTGTTGAGCAAGGTATTTCTTTTTAACAGCCCATGCAACACCTAGCAGATCCCCCTTTGGTAGACCAGACTGGAATAGCATGTTAATCACCAACATGACACCCGCCTTGCTATTCAGCCTGTGTTTGTCACCTGCATCATGTAAGGCATTAACATCAGAGGAAGGCTGGCTTTGGTCTTGTCTAGTCTGCTCTGTTGTTATTTTCAACAAGACTTCTCATGGTCCCCTGGTGTGTTTTAAATTTACAAAGGCAAAGCAATACTCACGATCTCTAATGGTTCAACAGGCATAGCTAATCTGTGTTCAGTGATCCTGAATATGCACCTTTTGCTTAAGACAGGACTGTGATACAGCTTAGTCAAGGCCTCTTTGCAAAAATTTCCACAACTGGTAGACACCAGAAATTGTCCATTAGTCTCCCAGTTGACCATGGATCAGAATATGAATAGACTTTTCTTCTTCCCTACCTTTACTAATGCTACCTCGCTATTAAGCTGATTTATCAAAATTGATTAAGGCCTACCTATAAGGTTGATTGCTCTTTCTTTTTCATTAAGGTAATCAACCTTACAGTATCTATTGAGGCAGATCTTTCTGTGTATCACTATGAATTCTGATCTAAAAGGCTAAGTTTCCTTCCCTTTATAATTGTTAAGGTTAATTTATCTAATTCCTAATGTTCAAAGTTAGGGAACCTCAGGCTTGGGCTGGCCAACCTTTTGATCATTATCAAGACTTATGTACTTCTATTAAGGTGGGTGTGTCCTTATTTTTTCTACTGAGTTGAATATAATATTTCCCATATCTATCGGCTTATCTGTTCCCTCCAATTTTTCAAGTCTGTGCCTCCTTGCCAACATATATTAACACCAATCTTTCCTCTTTACAGTTTCTTTCTTTTTGGGGAGCGTCAGGAAGCACCAAATGTTTATTGTGGTAAGTCTCTTAAATGGCTATACATTGTGGACCTGTACTATCAACTCAAGCCTTCTTCCTTACCCATTTTTGCAGCCTGATCATTGCCAAAAATGTCATAGGCCACACAAGAATATTGCAGGACAAAACTGGTGGAAATGTGAACATTATTATTTGCATAATTTACTCGCAAGTCAGAAGTTAGATCCATGCAACCAAATTACCCAGAGTCTGGAGGACTCTGCTGGAGCCACATGATGTGGGCCTCTCTTCCAGGGTGTACAGTGGAATCCAGACAGCTCTTGGTATTATCAGAGTCAAACTCAGCCTCTAGGTACGGCTCAGCATCAAAATAGCTCTCAGGTACACATTCCTCAGAGGTGCTGGGCTCTGAAGGAGACAAAAGAACAATTGTGGGAAACTTGCTCAGGCAGAAAGAGCAGGAGATGGCTGATGCTCAATAAGAGAAAAACACATGCAATGATTTGACTGTTTATGTATCAACAAAAAAGAGGAAATCATTCACTAAGAAAAAGAGGATACAGGTCTGCATAAAATTTGGATGTGCTGATTTAAATGCACTGATGGAATTTTAGAAAAATGACTATAAGAAGAAGCACAATACATCTCACCCTGGTGGGAAAGACCGATCAGGTGACTAGTGTGCCTACTGACTTTTCTGTTCAGGTGTTCACTCTGGATAGGCAACTTCAGGACCACTCCTGCTTTCTCTTGGTCAGTGCTTCAAAGAGAAGAGCCCTTCAACTACAGGGCTGTCTTCTGATCGATTGTGATTTGCAAAGTGGATGTAAAGCCACCCATATATGGCCCATTTTTCATTCAGTGTTTTTAGTCAAATCCAAATTCATGCAGATCTAATCAATTAAAACATCAATTGAACTCAATTTAATTCATTAGTAAAAGGTAAAGGTAAAGGGACCCCTGACCATTAGGTCCAGTCGTGGACAACTCTGGGGTTGCGGCGCTCATCTCGCTCTATAGGCCAAGGGAGCCGGCGTCTGTCCACAAACAGTTTTTCCGGGTCATGTGGCCAGCATGACTAAGCCACTTCTGGTGAAACTAAAGCACTGCACAGAAATGCCATTTACCTTCCTGCGGGAGTGGTACCTATTTATCTACTTGCACTTTGATGTGCTTTCGAACTGCTAGGTTGGCAAGAGCTGGGACAGAGAAATGGGAGCTCACCCCGTCACGGGGATTCGAACTGCCGACCTTCTGATTGGCAAGCCCTAGGCTCTGTGGTTTAACCCACAGCGCCACCCACATCATTAGTAACTGCATGCAAATGATTTGGATCAGGTGGGGTAAGGTCCCCTTAGCAAGTCATTGTGGCTCTGTAGCATTCCTCACCAACCTGGTGTTTTCCAGATGTTTTGAACTATAACTCTCATCGGCCTCAGCCAGCAATTGATGGGAGTTGTAGTCCAACAACATGCGGAGGACCACAGATTGAGGAAGGGTGCTCTATAGGGAGGACTCCTGCTACACTTTGACTTAAGAAACACCATCTTAACAGAACTGACCTCTGTTGACTTGAAAGTTAATCTTCTGAGGGTCTTCCAATTCTACAAAGGTGCTGACACCCCCATAATAGGTTTTGGCCCAATTTAGGATCTCCGCATTGGAGGAAGGCAAATCGGTTTTGTTGATTTCTTTGTTGGACCCCATGACCGTGAGTTTATGCACATCCTGGAAAAGAAATGTACAGCAGAATAAAATCAGGCAGAGTGTTCCCTGTGCTATTTTTATAGAAAATAGATGCTGGAGCTCACCATGAACACCTCCCTCATTTTCTTATAATAGCAATGGAGACCTGAGAGATGCTAGAATTGAGTTCCATCGAGTTCTGGCTGAAAAAGGGGCCCTAGTGTTTCCTCTTGGCAATGAGAGCTGCACTCTATAAATCCTCCATGTATTTCATGTCTGGATTCAAGCACAACATTGAGAGATAGTCCTTGGACAGTATTGGGTCTTGCAACTTTGGCCTCACTTTTCTATTATTAAAAGGGGAGTTCCACGCGGTCAGGAGACAGGGAGCTGGATGAGGTGATATATTGCCCAGTCACTCAGAGCAGTGGACAAATCAGTCATTTCTGGTTTCTTCTCAGTTTCTCCTTTTTTCCAGCCTTCATTTTTGCAAGCTATACCCCCTAATATAATGCATTTTAAATGTTACTTTCATGATTAAATGTATTTTTGTGCACACTTCCCATTAATAAATTCATGTTTGTACTCATTTTTTGGTTGGAAAGTTGCATCACAAAATTTGCAAAGGGGGAGTTTTGACGGGTAGGTACATGTTGGTTTGCACACTGTTTTGTGAACTATCAATTTGTTAGTTTGCATTAAAATGCAAACCAAACAAAATTTCTCCCCCATCCCTAACTGCTCCACTTACATAGGGAGGAGCAGGAGTGACAACCTATGGGTGCCTTCCTCCCAACCTCACCTGCAGCACCTACTTCGACATCATTGGATCTCCATGTGAAGACATCATGCTCAAATAAGGGCAGCAAATTTCATAATTTAACTGCACACATTTTGCAAGTGATTGTACACTTTGAACCCACGTGCATTGCACATGAGCCCTGTTTAAATTTTCTTCACTTCCAGAAACACCAATTGTCTCTGTGTGGAGGTGTAGTATTTAAATACAGCAGGGTAGGGCAACCGTTTTCAACCTGAGTGCTACATCCCTTCTAGACAACCTCCTTGGACATGGGAGGGGGGGCACATAAGAGCACGAGAAGATCCTGCTGGATCAGGCCAGTAGCCCATGTAGTCCAGCATTCTGTTCTTACTGTGGTCAAGCAGATGCCTGTGGGAAACCCAAAAGCAGGGTCTAAACACAAGGGCACTGTGGTTTGCAGCAACTGGGATACGGAAGCATTTCTACCACCAACTGTGGAGGCAGAGGATAGCCTTTTCGTGCATGAACTTGACTAATCCTCTTTTGAAGCCATCTGGTTTAGTGGCCATCAATGCTTATGGTGGGAGGGAGTTCCATAGTCCTTTCTTTTATCTGTCCTGAATCTTCCAACATGCCTTCCTAGCTCAGGGACATCCCTGCTTTTTTATCAGAGAAAGACTGGAGGCTGTAATGTCATTACAGTGGGTGTTTGGTCACTGCTCCATGATGATGCCTGTAACATTTATTTTATTTATTTTTATTTATTAAATTTCTATACAGCCCTTCATCTGGGGATCGCAGGGCAGTTTAAAATATGAAAACACAAAAATACATAAAATAATAACCCCAAAGTCCCACAGGCCTGAGAGAAGAGGAAATCTTTTGCCTAGCACCTAAAGATATGGAATGGATGCACCAGGCGAAGCTCCCTGGGAAGAGCATCCCGCAATGGGGGGCCACCACAGAAAAGGCCTGTTCTCATATTGCCACCCGCTGCATGCCTTGTGGGGGAGGCACACGAAGAAAGGCCTCAGATGATAATCACTGGGTCTGGGTTGGCTCAGATCGGGAGAGGTGGTCTTTGAGGTACTGCAGTTCTAAGCTGTTTATGAGATGGCACTTACACTTTTGGGCATCCAAGAAGGAAACAGGAAATGATTTTTGGCACACCAATAACTGTGCAGTTACTTCTGTCAGCTACAATTTTCAGAATTTATTTTTACACTTTCTATCCCCATGTAGGTTACGGAAAAGGAATGACACAAAGGCTCTCTGTGACCCCCCAGTCACCTTCTCAGCACAGAGAGGAAAGAACAAGTCAGAGAGGTCAGGCAGAAGCTGACAGCTAATCTCCCCCCACGATCAAAGGAATTTTATAACCTATTGTTGTCTGCCTTGAAAGCTGAAAAGAGTCAGGCGTCAAACAATCAATCCTGTGAGGTTGGCCAGGCTCAAAAGGAATTCTTTGAAGGAATAGCTGCACAACCAACCTTAGAAAGAGCAACATATTTGGGAATTTCCATTTTATTTTACTTTTAAATCCCGTTTGTTAAGAAAGATGAAAACATGGGATGGGGTTTGCATGGCTGACTTTGCCCTCCCTTGGCTGATATTAGTACAAATCAGACTCAGAGGTATAGCACGGGGGGGGGGGGAGGCTGGGGGGCTGTCACCCTGAGCAGAATTTTTTGTGGGGTGCATTCCTCACAATGCCCAGCCAGCCCCCAGGACTGCCAGGGTGTCGTCAGCTGTTGCGTCCTTCTCACACCAGGGCGCACTAAAAAGCTGGTGCATTTTCACAGGGTCCCCCCCCCCCCCCAGTTGCCAATTACTGCCAATTACTGCAGAATGTGGGATGGGGGTTACTGGATTTAAGATAGGAAAACTGAGAAACTGATCGAAACAAAATAAAAAAATTCCTTCCAGTCGCACCTTAGAGACCAACTAAGTTTGTTATTGGTATCTGAAGAAGTGTGCATGCACACGAAAGCTCATACCAATAACAAACTTAGTTGGTCTCTAAGGTGCTACTGGAAGGAATTTTTTTATTTTGTTTCGACTATGGCAGACCAACACGGCTACCTACCTGTAACCAGATTGTGACCTACCTGTAACCAGATTACTTACTAAGACTCCAAAAAGTGTGTTTTCTTTCTTTTCTTAAAAAGAAAAACCAACACAACTCTTCTCAATCTTTCAGACTTTTCAAAAACCAGTATTTTGGAAGGGGTGTCTCATCAGGAAGCTAGTTTGGCCTGGCTTTGGGATTTTCCAGGAGATGGTGGCTCATCCCCCCACCCAATTTGTCACAGCCTAAAGGTTCCCTTTTGCCAGCCAACAATGCAAGGAATGGAGAGAGAAAAGGTGACTAAGAGCTGCCTTGCACACCTCCATCTCCCTCCTGACCCCATACAGGGCACGGAATGGAACGTCCAAGAAGGCAGTGCAGTGGCAGCGGGGGGTGGGGGGTGGCGGCCTGCCCTCCAGCTTGAACTAATGGTGCCGCACTGCATCTGATTGTGCCTCTCGCGCCACTGCCCTCCCCCATCCCGCCTCCATTGTCAGCCCTTTTTTATTATTAGACACAAATAGGAAAAGGGTTTTATTTTGCTAACAAAGCTCACAGGCTCGGCTGAGCTGGCTGGAGCCAAGCACCATCCCTGACCCTATGCCAAACAGCCAGAGGAAATGGGAGATTTTCCCCAGGTTATCTGCGTCACAGAGTCTCCCGGCAGAGAGATCCATGGGCAGAGGAAGTGGGGGCCTTGCAAAGTCATGGGTTGTGACATGACAAAGGGGCACAAAATTTGGCATGGAGTGGAGAGGGAAAGGGAGAGGTTTCCCTCCCTCTCTCCTAAATACAGTACTGGAATCCTTCAAGGTCTTCCAATAATGCAAAAGTGTAGGATATCCAGGACATGCGCAAGGTAGTCCTTTTTCACACAGTGGCGGCAGACAGATAAGTTCTTGACATTTATTCGCTTCCCCAAGGTGTCTTTATGGCCACCAACTTGGACGGCTCTAAAAATAGGACTAGACAAATCCATGGAGGATAAGGTAATCAAGGGTAACATTCACCCAGCCATGCCAGCATCTGGTACACTGTGTCTGATGCAGGAGCTAAGATGTAGCTGTTGTGCTTATGTCCTCCTTGGGACTTCCCACAGGGACCTGGCTGGCCACTATAGGAATGGAATACTCCACTAGATGAGCCTCTGCTCTGATCCAGCAGGGCTCTTCTTATGCTTCTGTATGCTGAGACTGATCCTTGGTCTGTTCCAAGCATGAGGCCCATGCGCTAGTCAACCTGCATCTAGCTGTTTGGTAACTAAGTCACTAAAAAGGTGCCTGTGGTAACGGCGTTAACGGCACATCCAGGATAGCACTATGTAAGCCTGCATGGGTTTTTTGAGATGCCTGCATGCACTACTCTGCATCCCAATGGCAAGAGCAGGCTGGCGCATGCTGTGCAATGGAGAACACTTTTTGCAGCCAGTGTTGAGCAGCCATCCTGATTCAGTGCCACTGACATTGCAGTCCCTTCCTGCTTGTATGCATGCTTCTACAAACCTCTCCCAGAATACCTGAGCAGCCTGTGCAATTGTAAACCAATAATGACTCTTGCTTGCCTGGTATATGAGTGTGTATGTGTTTATATTTTATGGTACCTTGATATGAGGTTCCTTCACCCACTCCTTTGGGTGAGATAGGTTGGGGCTGTTGTGAATGCTGGGGTATAAATACAATCAAGCAATCTGTCAGTCAATAGTCCACTGACCCTATGGACTGACATACCCAGGAGCAAGCATCGTGCTCCAGCTCATCAATGGGGAACCAGTGGTCCGACAGATATTCTTGGATTCCCAACTCCCATAATCCCTGGCCAGCATAGCCCATAAGCAGGGATAGTGGGAGTTGTGGTCAAAGTGCTTTCCTTTATTGCTCCTCTGGTTAAGAACAAATGGAGAGCCCTGCTGGATCAGAACAAAAACTTGTCTGGTTCAGCATCTTCTCCTCTCAGTTGGCTAACCTGATGCCGCAGTGAGAATCCCACAAGCAAGACCTGAGCCATGAGGACTATGCTTCCAGTTGTAGGCAGAAATGCTTCTGAATATCAATTGTTGGGGACCAGAGGGCATCTGGCTAGTTGCTGAGAGAACAGGAAGCTGGACTAGATGGGGCACTGACCTGATCCAGCACGTTAGCCTTATGTTCATCATGACTAGTAGCCATTGGTGGCCATAACCTCAGTGGATTCTTCTCACCAAGTTGGTGGCCATTGTCACATTGTGTGGGAACAAATTCCACAGCCTGACTACATGCCCCATGAAGACATGCCTCCTTTCATATGTCTCAAATTTCCCGATATCCAGCTTCACTGGATGCCACCATTCAGTTCCCATGTTACCCCAGTCCTGCTTCCCATTCCCCTTGAACTCCACTTTTGACAAGGATAATTTCTAAACCTGGAACTGGAATATGAAGTTTGCCACAGCTTTTGACTCCCCCAGTCCATTTGCTTCTCCTTCCTATTCCAGACTTTTCCAACATGGTGGCCTCCAGATATTTTGGACTGCAACCAATGGGATTGTAGTCTAAAACATCTGGAGGTCACTGAGTTGGAAAGGGCTGCCCTGGATGCTCATGTGTCTGTTGAGGAAACACTGCCCCCATCAAAATGAGTAGTGTTGACAAGACCACACATTATATTGCGATTCTGTGTGGTGTAGTGGTTAAGAGCAGTAGTCTCGTAATCTGGGGAACCCGGTTCGAGTCTCCGCTCCTCCACATGCAACTGCTGGGTGACCTCGGGCTGGTCACACTTCTCTGAAGTCTCTCAGCCTCACTCACCTCACAGAGTGTTTGTTGTGGGGGAGGAAGGGAAAGGAGAATGTTAGCCGCTTTGAAACTCCTTAAAGGGAGTGAAAGGCGGGATATCAAATCCAAACTCTTCTACTGTGTTTTCCCCAGTACACATATGTGTTCCTGCTCATTGGCAAAGCTTCACGTGACAGAGCCATGTGCTCAATCCCATTGATTTTGCTTTTTTTTTCAGCAGCCTTTGCCAGCCTGGTGCCCTCGAGATGTTTTGGTCTATGGCCCCCACCACTTCCAGCCACCTGGAGAGTAAAGCAGGGCCAGGAGGGTCTATGTCTCCCTGATGAGAGCAAAACTTGTGTAATATGCATTTTTGAAAAAGTTATTGTTACACCCACACTTAAAGGTTTCTGATGTACACTTAAAGCACCTGAAATGTAACTGCCCCCCCCTGCAAAATGCAGTGTGTTTCCTAGCCCCCTGCTGCCCTGCCCTGATTAACTCATGACCAAGGATCTTGTTTGCTGAGGGTCCTTTGCTAGCGTACAAATTTGACTGGTCTTCTTCAGTTTCTGGAATCCACATACCTTCCCCTTCTCTCAACTGCTAAGATAAAGAAAGACACCACCCCAGGATTAATACCCTCCCTCCATCTTCTGTAGCTTATCACTATCCTTACAGAACTGGAATTTGGGAGATTTCTTTCAGCTGTGGAGAAGAAGACAGAAGGTCACAGACTCCTCTGGAGCCTGTCACAGCATATGAAGCCATGTACCCAGTTATTCCAGGTGGGTCAAGCTACTGGCTGCCAAGTCCCAGTCGAGAATGAGGGAAAGATTGAAAGGGCAAAGCAATGGAAGAGCATCACCTCTCACTCTTTCCCTTCCAGCCTATCACCACACTTCTTATACATCAGGCCCAAAAACCCTTCAGGTCTCTCTGCCTGACCTCCAGGTCTCTCCCCAGGCCACCCCACTCTCTGGTCTTGCTTTACCCCCTCCTTTCATGCTTGAAAATGGCTCCCCACCCTGATGTTGATTATACAAGGTCTGCAGGATGTGGCTCAGCCCAGGTACTCACCGTGACGAAGGCAAGGCGGTGATCCCCTGTATTTACATTCAGAATGGAGTACTTGTTGGAGTTCACCACAAAAACCACCTTCCGGCCTCCTTTTGCTGCTGACACATTGACGCTGAACTGGATCAAGGGCATCTGGCAGAGAAATGGAAAGGAGGATCATCAGTCAAGTGTTTCAAGACAGGTGAAGAGATTCCTGCCCAAGCGGTAGTCTTTAGCGTTGCAGGCTCTGCCCTGTGGAACCAGCAAAGGCTTGGCAGGATCTCTCCCTTCTGCCAGAGGTTTCTTGAAAACTTCTTTTATTAGACAGGCTTGTACAACGTGAATTTTTTCTTTTTTTATCCATCAATATTTGCTGATGTTTCAATGATGTTTTCAAGGATCATTGGTTGATTTTATCCTTTTATATGTTGTGCTCTGCCTCCCTGTATAGTTATGAAAGTGTGGGGTATAAATTTGTAAAATAAAATGTTAAGATGTGGGGTAGGTTTGGAGTGGCAAGAACCTCCAAGAGACATTGGACTGGGAGAAAGAGGCAGAGTGTGATGGCAGTCAGAAACACAATGATTTTATTGTTTTATTCTTGTTCTACACCAATTTGAGGGTTGATATTTTTACAATCAAGTGACATATATCAAGTGGTTATAGGGAGCATACAACTCCCTTGCTAGAAATGCTCCATTGGCTATTGGTATTTTTCCGGGCACCGTTCAAAGTGCTGGTTATGACCTATAAAGTCCTACACAGGTTAGGTCCAGGCTGTCTGAAAGACTGTATTCACTCATATGAACCTGCCTGGTTTTTTAGATCTTCAAGAGAGGCCCTTCTCTCGGTCCTTCCACCCTCACAGGCACGCCTGGTGGGGACGCGGGAGAGGGCCTTCTCGGTGGTGACTGCTCCCAGACTATGGAACTCCATCCCTAGAGAAGCCAGACTGGCTCCCTCCTTGCTGTGCTTCTGCCGGCAAGTGAAGACCTTCCTATTCCAACAGCCCTTTGGGAATTGATGGCTTTGGATGAAAGGGCTGATGCCGTGTTGCATTTATTGTAATTCTTTATCTGTTTTAAACTGATTTTATATATGCATAAAGTTTTAAATCTATTAATATGGTTGTTGTTTTTCTATGTTTTTAGAGGTTCTTGTTTTTATCTGTAAGATTCCTTGAGTCCCATCAGGGGAAAAGATGGGGTTTAAACAGTGCTTTTTTTCTTTTAAAATGTTCAGGGGTACTCTCATGTTGACTCAATAAAATCACAATTTTATAGTTCAAATCAGGGAAAATAAATACAGTAAATGGACATTAGTACAAAGATTCACAAAATGTTTAGGGGTATGCATACCCCTGCGTACCCCCTGAAAAAAAAACACTGGGTATAAACAAACAAACAAATATATAATAATATAAATTTTGCAAAAGAAATAAAAGTGAATATATCCATCCCAGGAGCTCAGTGGGAGCTGCTGCCTGGTGGCACCAGAGAAGGCCAAGGATGGTGGTGGGACATGTCCCCTGTGTAATTCTGACATTGCGGAGTATAGGCAAGGTAAAAATTTAGTTTGTGTTAGGGGCCAGGAGTTCTTTTAAGGTGATGAAGCAGAGGATCCTGAAACAAGAAGGGCATGCAGCGGAGACCTTGAAGTTGCCCACCTGGACAGCTGACTGAACAGGCACAGAAGTTACCTGGTTACCAGTTTTTCCCCAATAGGGAGAGCCAATGTGGTGTAATGGCTAGAATGTTGGACTAGGACCTGTGGGAGACCAGGGTTCAAATCCCTACTTGGCTAGGAAGCTCACTGGGTAACTGTGGGCCACTCAGTTTCTCACCTTAGCCTATCTCACAGTAAGGATGAACATACAAAAGGAGGAATGCAAATGAAATCAATAAATAGCTTTGAGAAGCATTGCTTCTTTATTTCTGGTCATTACTGTCCTAACTCCAGAAGAGACCCCCTCTCTCTCCCAGTACATAGGATTGCCAGGTCAGGAGCATCCTAGACTCTGCAATTTCAGGGCCCAGACCTGAGACATGGGGGCAGCCCCAGTTGATATGGTGGGGTGGGGACCTAGAGGTGGAGGTTAATTGGGAGAGGGGTGTGAAGGAGGGCAGACACTCCAACCCTACAAGATTGCCTATGCTATAATTTGTAGCCAGATCCTGCCAGTCATCTTCGTCTTCATCTTCTTTTCCTCACCATCACTCTTACACACCTGGAGATTCAGCCTTCCCCAAACTTGGACAGGTCTAGGCAAACCTGGAAACTTCAGGTCAGACCTGGAGGCCAGTGACCTCAGTGGCACATGTAGCCTTGGACTGATCTGCCCGGCCCACTGCTACCAAAGCAGTTCTCTCCGAAATTTGTAGGAGGCTTGTGGGTGGCGGGAGCACAGGAAAAATCAAAACAAAAAACACGACCAGAGAGAGACCCAAGTGCTCTCTCTCTCTCAACACATTCAGCTCCATAGCAGTGGCATGAGCTAATGAATAAACACGGCTCTGTGGGGGCGGCCACAGGACCCCTCGAGTCTCCGCCGTCCTGCCTTGGCAGAGGCCCGCATCTATTTTTAGCCCCCTGCCCTTTTTCAGAAGCCATTGTTTTCTCTCCCCCCCAGAATGGCGGCAGGCTTTCTCCTGCCTGCTCGAGCACTGGGATCTGCTTATAGAAACCGGCTTCCAGTAATTCTTTTCGGGCTGGAGCCTGACCGCCCGCCCTGGCCTACCCTCCCCTGACGCTCGGTCGGGGCTGGGAGCCAGTTGTCTGGATGCCACAGCTGTGACATCAGGGGCCAGCTGCTACGCAACCACCCTCCCACCAACCCCTTTGTAAACACAGGAGGGGGATTTTTGCTCCCATCCTATTTACTGGCAGGATAGGGTGAATGTCATTTCCTCCGCATCTAGGCCTCAGCCACTTCCGGGCCTGTCCGTCCATGTCGCCAAAGGCCGGTGGCTTGTTTAATGGCCGAGGGAAGAGAATGCAGGGAAATACGATATTGCGTTTATTTATTGTTGCATTTATGTCCCACATTTTTCTCCTAGGAGCGCAAAATGAGCAGCACATGTGGTTCTTCTCCCCCTCCTCATTTAATGCCCACAATCAACCCTGTAGGGGTAGTTTACGCTCAGAAAGACAATGGCTGGCCCAAGGTCACCCAGCGAACTTCATGACCGAGTGGGGGATTTGAACCTTGGTCTCTAGTCTGACGCTCTTAACCGCTACGCCACACTGGATGAAAATGGGTACATATGGTTTGCCTCAAGCCCATTTCAGAAGTGACCTTCCATGTCTTTCTGCAGAATGGTAACACAAGCGGGGCCAGACACACCTCAATGGGAAAGCGTTCCACAAACAGGGAGCAGCCACCAAGAAGGCCCTATCACAGGTCAGTGCCAACATGGGTGCTGCCTCTTCAGCACTGTAAATGAATGCAATGGAAATTTCCAGGTAATCCAAAGCAGCCCATGCAGTTCTCCCTCGTGCTTGGACGGTAGTCACAGAGAAATTTTAACATGGGAGACTTTTCTGCCTCTTAAGTGGCTGCAAGTTAAAAGAAAAGTGCTGCCATCTATGAAACAGCAAGCAAACCAGCACATGTGATGCTGCTGAACTTTGTATGCACCTCATGCAACCTAGAGAAAGCATTTGCAGGAAAAGCACAGAGGACCTCAGGTTCTCACCAACCTGTCTCCCTCTCACTGCAGTTAATATAGGGGGTAAGCATCACACCCAGGCTTCAAACACAAAGCTTGAAGAGGAAACCAACAATTCTGTGTGTCTTTGCCTGTATCGAAGCAGATCTGTCTTTGTTTCTGTGTGATATGCAGTGAGGGACCTCAGAGGCCCAGCTCCTCACTTTCCACAAGTGGGACAGAAATCTCTGATGCCGACTACAAATATTGTAGCTGTCTTGTACAAAGTTTAGTTGCCACCCTAGCACTATAATAGCCCCTCAACCTTTTGTTTAGAGGCTTGGGGTGTTAATGAATCACACTTAGCACCCCCACAAGAGAGATGGTGTGCTGTAGTGGTTAGGGTGTTCGACTAAGACCCAGGAGACCAGGATTCAAATCCCCTCTTGGTCACAAAGCTCGCTGAGTGTCCTTCAGTCGGTCACTCATGCTCAGACAAAGTTGTTGTGAGGATAAAATGGGGGGGGGGGGATTATGTGTACCACCTTGTGCTCCTTAGAGGAAAGGTAGAATATAAATGAATGAATGAATGAAAGAATGAATATTAAACTGAAACAAAAAGTCCTCATAAAAATGTGAGCACTTTAGTGTGCCTTTCTCCCGATATGCATGTTGTTATATACAGCTCTTCCTGACATACCATTTTTGCAAGCAATTTCCTCTGTTAACATCTATTTCCATAGCAGTCGTTGATGTCCTCCACAGATTTGTCCAATCCTCTTTTAAAGCCATCCAAATTGGAGACCACCTCTATTTCTTGTGGGAGTGAATCCCCAAATTTCACTATGCACAGTGAGAATTTTTCTTCTTTGTTTTCTGTGCTGAATCCTCCAACATTCAGCTTCATTCAAGTTCTAGTATTCTGAGCGAGGGGGGGCGGAAATGTTTCTCTATTCACTTTCTCCGCATCATGCACAATATTTTGAGGGAGGAGGGAAAGCCCCCTCCTGAGAGGATTTTATCTACCATCAGGCCTCAGGCCTCATTCACACCACACATTTAAGGTGCTATGACAGCAATTTAAACAGCCATGGTTCCCAACTCCCAAGAATTCTGAGAGCAGTAATTTAAGGGATTTGAGGTGTTTTTGGAGGACACCCCCCATCCTCATCACACGGTGACATTCCAGAGTAAATTAACAACTGATGCCTCTTCACAAGGAGCTTTGGAAACTGGAGTCCTGTGAGAGGAATAGGGGTTCCTACTAACAACTCCCTGCACCCTTAATGAACTACAGCTCCCAGAGTTCTTTGGGGGAAGCCAGCACAGTTTAAAGCAGGGGGTCAGCAAAGTTTTTGTGACTTGGGTCAGTTCATGGTCCCACGACGGGCTGGAGTACACGCGTGCACGCACGCATGCGCAAACGCTATTTCCAGCGCTCCTTCCGGTGCGGAGGAGGCGTGCGCAGTTTACCATTGGCTGCAGGAGAGCTGACTGAGCGGGCAGCGGGGGTCCCTGAGCGGGTGGCGGGGGTGCATGGGCCAGTTAAACAACCCGCATGGGCCTCTTGTGGTTGCCGACCTCTGGTTTAAAGTGACATCCCAGTGCTTTAAATGTATGGTGTGAGGCAGGAGCTGATCTCTCCTCCTGGCCGGAGCAATTGTCACCAGCTCTGCTCCTAAATTTGTTGGTTTTTTTTAGGGGGGGGGTAAGAGAGCTGCTATTTATCAAGGGCAAGGCAGCCAGAACCGCCACTGATATAGGCTGCAACTCTAAGAACTGTAACCTAAATTAACTTGTGCTCAAGCTTGCATTTCACTCTTCCCAACCATTCTCTTTTTTCCTTATGTGCCATGCCTTTTTTGCAGTTTCATTAGAACCAGATTTTTTCAGCTGCTGCAGGATGGGTTATAAACACTGTAAACAAGTAAGTCAGTACATGTTCAGGGAGGCACTTGTCCATCCCTGTGCCCCCCCCCCCCCCGTGCCCAGTGTGTTCTGCCACCACACAGGTTGCTTTTCAGTTGAAGGTTTTGAAGTCAAAGGGAATCCTGCCTGTTTCTGGATCTGTTCATTCCAGATTTAAAAGGGGAACTGCCGGGGTTGGTCTGGGAAATCCGTGACCGCATCTGTTGTGTTTTCCGAAGCAGCTGTGGCCTGTTGGTGTGAAGGGCTCACACACACTCGCAATACTTCCCTTTCCTCCTCAGAAGCTGCCTGTCTGGCAATTGCTGAAGGCCTGAGCAGCTGCAAAGAGAAATTTACAAGATTCCGGCTCTCTGAAAAATCTGTAAATTTCATTTTAACCGCCAGCGCAGACCATTAACTGGAGATGGAGTAGGAGATCAGAAGGAAACCAGGAGGCAGAGGGTGATCTTGGGCAAGTCACTTTTTTTCAACCTAACCTACCTAAACCGGGTCATTGTGAGGATGAACGGGCAAGTGGGATAACCACACATGCCACCTTGGAAGTAGGGTGCGATATACATGTAAACAGCGAATAAATATATCCAGTGTAAAGTTTAAGAACCTTGAAATTGCCCATCCACAACCAGCCTTTTTTTTTTTTTTAGCAAACAGAGCAGGTCAACCCAGACTTCCCTACCAGAGTGAGATGCATTTATTTATATAAATGATATAAATGCTTTCTAAATGTGGATCCATGCATATATACAACATAGGCACATTTTATGCAAAACCGCATACTCTTGTCCTCTTTTTTTTTTTTTTTTTGGAAGAGACTGGTGCTTAAGTGGCTGTTCTGGGGGATCCTGTGTATAATGGTGACTAACTAGAGCTGTAACTTGATTCCAGAAAACAGTGCAATCCTATACATGTCTACATGAAGTAAATCCCACTGAGCTTATTCCCACGTAAACTGGGATAGGGTTTCAGCCACGTTGTATGAATTTTTAGTCAATTAATTACACCAGCAATAAATCTGGAGGCTGGATGGACAGACAGACAGAATACAATTGCTTTTATACATTAAAATGTTTAAATTGTTTTGTATACAAAATTGTTGTTAATTGTTTTTAACATTTATGCTTTTGTTCTTAAATTGCTTCAAGATATTTTGTAGGAAGAATGTAAAGAGAATGAAACAAAGAAAAATAAATAATTCTGATGCTGTGACCGGTTTCAAGCATGGCTTGCCATAGAAAAGTAGCATGCAAACAAACAATTTCGATTGTGGTAATCCGTAACTCACAGGGTTGTGGTGACAGTAACACTGAAGATGGGAAAGAGAACACCTCCATCACCTGACCTCACTGCTATTATCAGTTTTCAAGAGGTTGAGAGATCTGGATGCAGATTAATAAAACTAACCCAGCCAGATGGATGGAGTATAAATATTATTATTATTATTATTATTATTATTATTATTATTATTATTTCATTTGAAGCTTACTGAGGCAGCTTACATAAAAATTGCCACCGTAGTTCATGCTCCGGTTACTTCAAGCCTGGATTTCTGCACTGTGCTCTGTGTGGGGCTTCCCTCACACTCGATCTGGAAGCTGCAGTTAGTGCAGAATGTTGCAGCACAGTTGCTGACGGGAGTGAGGCCTTGTCAGCATACAACAGCTGTGCTCAAAGGTCTGCACTGATTGCCAATTTGCTACCAGGTCAAGTTCAAAGTGCTACTATTAGTACATAAAGCCCTTAACAACTTGGAACCAGCTTATCTGAGAGATCGCCTTACCCCACATGTGCCCACTTGACCACTTTAATAAGCAGAATTGGCACTACTACAGGTGCCACATAATCCCACATCTCTAGAAGCAGGAACTCTCCCAAGAAAGAAGGGGGCATTTGTCTGCTGTATGAGCTGCTCACCTGTGGGATGCTGTACTTCAGGTTAAGAATGTGGACTTCCATGTTGGTGTCTCTGGGCCCACGGCCCACGCAACCGCTCGTAACCCTGCTAGTTGTGTAGAGCATTTTGACCCGTTGGTCATTCCTGACTGGTTGAAGGGTGCAGCCTGGGTCATCCACTGGGCCTAGGAAGGGAAGAAAAAAGAACCAGGGTCAATGTAATAAAGGGATCAGAAAGAAAACTGATTCAGCTAGCATTTTAATGAGAAATCACCTATTTCATTTGACTTGAACCATTACATGAATGTAAAGTGCTCCCTCTCAAAATTCACTTCTGCAGATTTTGCAGTTCTCCAACACTGTACAACATATGTATATTGGGGGAAAGAGGATATAATGCATATATGTGTGAAGATGACATAAATAAATTACCTTATAAAAAGGGAAATAGCTTGCAAAGATGTGTTTATCAAGAGAAATTAACACAAGAATGCTGACATATTTATGAGGATTTATTTTATTGGTGTAGAAATGCAGAGACCTGAATCTAAACCAGAGAAAATAAGAAACTGAAACCTCATTAGTGTAATGTCAGTATAATCAAGTCCATGCTCATTGTGTTCCAGTTTGCCATGGTCTAGAGCACTTCCAGTCCCTGTTTTACAGAGAGCTGGAGAGCATAAGAGACTAGACCTGGGGGAAGTTTGAAGAATTTCTAATGGGCTTCGTATGTGTGTTACACTTTGCTCTTAATGAAGTGGTTTAGTCACCATTCTTCGAATGAAGACTACATCTTACAGTCAGTCGCTTGTCTTTCTATCAGTGGAAGGAATGTTGATAATCAAGCTCACCCTAGGCATTTAAGGTCCGAATATAGCACTGGAATAGCACAGGGAAGCAATAAAGGGAACATTTCTTCTGAGCATGTGCAAAGTAAGGAGTTGTAACAACTAAATGCATTTTCATCCATACAAAATGAGTTTGTCATGTGAATGTCAACAATTCCCCTTCCACCATAGCTGTCAACCTTCCCTTTTTTTGCAGGTAATTCCCTTAATCCTGTGCCGTTTCCCGCTGCTATCCCAGATTGTTAGATATCCCGAAGAAAAGACTCCCTGGAAAAGACCCTGATGTTGGGAAAGATGGAGGGCACAAGGAGAAGGGGACAACAGAGGACAAGATGGTTGGATAGTGTTCTCGAAGCTACCAGCATGAGTTTGACTAAACTGCGGGAGGCAGTGGAAGACAGGAGTGCCTGGCGTTCTCTGGTCCATGGGTCACGAAGAGTCGGACATGACTAAACGACTAAACAATAACAACAAGACTGTCCCCAGGACAGGTGAGGCTGCTGATCCCTTATTTTCAAATCTGAAAGTTGACAGCTATGCCTTCCACAACCAGAATGCTATTCTGGGAGAAGGATTCTGTCCCAGTGCATGCAGAAGGCTCCAGGTTCAGCCCTAAGCATCTGTCTCCAGGTAGGGTTGGGAGAGACACCAGCCTGCAACCATGGAGAGCCACTGCCAGCTATTGTTCTCCAAATGGCCAATAGTGAGTGACAGTGGGTGGTAGAGTCCGCCAACATTTGCAGAGAAGCACATTAGCTACCCCTGTTGTAAATACTGAGCTCACCTGAAGACCAATGCTTTATAATGCTCTTAAACAATTGTTGGTGGATTTGCTGCTTGATGGAGGAGTATTTATTTATTTCCCAAATGCTCTGCTTATATATTGGGTAATAAAGTAAATATTACAAAGTCACGATAAGTTCATGCTGTTCTGTCAGCTAAACATTGCAGCAGACCCCTAGGACCTTTCATTCCTGGGGGAAGCAAGGAATGTGGGGAAATTAGCAACATCTGCCTTTCTATCTGTTATTTCTATCCAAATAATAGCAGAGAGAAATTCACCTCAGGATCTCTCTGCTCATCTCATAGAACACTGATTTGTAGTGGGCTGTATCTTTCTGCTTAAGTTTTTTTGTTTTTTTTAAAATAAAAATAGAAACTTCCCCTCAATTGTCACATGAGCTGAATGAAACCTAGCATGGGAGACTTCCTGTCCCAACTCACCCCTGCTTGAAATCACATGATGCCCCAGACAAACCATTGAAACAAGTGAGGAAGTTAACTTTCTCAAGGGAGGGCCCCATTCCACTAATTCTCAGACTGGGAAGGACTGGGGGAGGACTGTGGTGGGCTGAGAGGAGGAAATTGGAAAGCTCCTAAATTGCTTATTTGAGTTATTCCTCGAAAAACAGTTCTCTGTGAGTTTATCAAGATAATGGCAACAGAAGGTCATGGCTTCTGTTCAGTAGCCAAATGTGCTGCTGGGAAAAGAACCTTTACATGTCAGTGCTTAACTAGCAACTTGAATAGCTGGATGACATAGCTCAGTCGGTAGAACATCAGACTCTTAATCTCAGGGTCCTGGGTTCCAATCTCACACTGGACAAAAGATTCCTGAATTGCAGGGGGTTGGACTAGATGACTCTTATGGCCCCTTCCATCTCTACCATTCTATGATTCTATGCAGGTTTGCCGTATTTCAATTGACTTGGACAAAGCACCGCCTTTGGAAAAATTTCCCCAGACATCAATTCCACCTTTGAAATCCTGGTTATGCCTGGGAAAATCCAGACATATGGCAACCCTAACATAGATGGCTTTAAAAGAGGATTTAGACAAATTCATGGAGGAGAGGGCTACTGATGGCTACTGGTCACGTATGCTTTCCGCCCATTGTGAGAATAGGATGCTGGACTAGATGGGTCATTGGCCCAATGCAACAGGCTCTTCTGATTTTCCCATAGAGAACAGTGTGGTGTAGTGGTTAGCATTTTGCACTAGGAACTGGGAGACCAGGGTTTCAATCCTCACTCAGCCATGAAGCTCACCAGGTGACCTAGGGCCAGTCACCAAACTGTCAGCCTAAGCTACATCACAGGGTCACTGTGAGGATGAAATGAAGAAGGGACAGGCCATGTGTTCTACCTTAAGCTCCTTAGAGGTAAGGTGGGATGTTGGCACTCCTCTGTCTCAAGGAACAATGGAGTGCACCTCCAGGGGTGAAGTCAAACCACTGCGTCAGCAGCACCAAAGTGACCTCTCTGGGTCCCAAGCCTGGGTAGTGCGTAGGGAGGTCCTGGGCCTTATAAGTAATAAGGCTCCTAGTGTGGTCCTCTGAAATTTGCATCAAGATGCCACCTCCCACTCTTCTTTCAAATCCTTTCCTCAAACCCACTTTCTGCAGAAGAGCCTGGCTGTTTGATCAGACCAAAGGTATCTCTAGTTCAGCATCCTCTTCTCACAGTGATCTATGAGATGCCTCTGGAAAGCCTGCCCGCAGGGCACCAGCACAATGGCACTCTCACATTTGTGATGCCCATCTGCTGGGACTCAGAGGCACACCACCTCTGATACTGGTGGTAACACAGCCATCATGACTATCAGCCACTGATAGCTTTAACATCCACAAATGTGTCTTAATTCCCAAGTTGATTTGGCACAGCCCTTCAGAACTCATCTGCTAACAGGGGAGGGAAACAGTGGTCCTGAGCTGTTTGCTGGACTCCCATAATCATTGGTCATGCTAGTAAGGGCTGATGGGAGTTGGAGTCCAGCAATGTCTGGACAGCCACAGTTTCCCCATCCCTGGTCTATGCTGACAGGTTGTGGCTCTCCACGATTTCAGACCAGAGTCTCTGCTATCTCTACCTGAAGATGCAAGGGACTGAACCTTCTGCATGCAAAGCAGATTCTCTACCACTGGGCTACAGCCTTTCCCTTGAATAAATACCATGCTTTAATAAATTTATGCTGGCAGGGGCTGATGAGCCCCAACAACATCTGAAGGGCCACAGGTTACCAATCCCACCCATACTAATCTTAATTACAAGTAGCTGATCATATTGGAAGGGCATGAAGACTCTCTCGATTATAGCTTGGAATCTGGCAATTAGCAGAATGGCACGTTAATCCAAGAATGCATGTGGGCTAGAGGAGAAGCATGAAGAGAGAGGTTTTCAGGAGAGGTTTGGTTGTGCAAATAATCTCTCTCTTTTTTATTATTCTAACCTCCATCCCACTCCCTTGCGTTCAGTTCTGGGTTGTCCCACCCTTGAAATGGGGGCCTGCCATCTTGTTATTATTCCCCAGTGCAATGTTTCACCACAAGGAAAATAAAATACCGTATTTTTCGCTCTATAAGACGCACTTTTTCCCCTCCAAAAATTAAGGGGAAATGTGTGTGCGTCTTATGGGGCGAATGCAGGCTCCGTGGCTTAAGCGATAGCAATGAGAAGCCCCCGAAGTGTAGAGGGAGCGCTTCTGCCTCACTCTGGAAGCTTCGCGTTGCTTTCGCTGAAGCCTGGAGAGCGAGAGGGGTCGTGCGCACCGACCTCTCGCTCTCCAGGCTTCAGGGATAGCTGCCTGAAGCCTCCGGAGTTCCCGCTGCTCTCCGGAGGCTTCAGGTTGCTTTCGCTGAAGCCAGGAGAGCCAGAGGGATCGGTCCCTCTGGCTCTCCTGGCTTCACTTTGTTGGAGAGGCGCTGCGCTGCTTTCCCTCTCTGCGCAGCGCCCCTTCAGCAAAGCAGGAGGAGAAATGGAAGGGGCTCCATTTCTCCTGCCGTTTCGCTGAAGGGGTGCTGCGCAAAGAGGGAGAGAATTTTTTTCCCCTTGTTCTCCCTCTCTAAAACAAGGTGCGTCCTATGGTCGGGTGCGTCCTATAGAGAGAAAAATACAGTAGTTTTCCAAAGGCCGCTATCACAGAGGTCACAAGCGCTTCCAGTTAGACTACTCCAGGGGCTGGGAACCTTTTCCTCAACCTGAGGGCTGCATTCCAGTCTGGGAAACCTTCTGAGGGCCATGTGCCAGGGTTGGGTGGGGCAAGAGGCAAAAGCAGGTGGAGGAAGGAATGCTTATTTTACCTTTGTCGCAAAAGTTCCTGCACACACTCACACACCCCTCTCTGTCCTCCATCCAGGCAAGCAAGCAAGCAAGCAGCGTTACCAGATTTCGAGGGCAAAATTGCAAGCTGGCAAAAATGCTCAGGCATGAATGTATGCAGTTTTGTGCTTTTATATTCTAAACTGCCCTGGTATAGAAATGTAATTAATAGTATAGTCATACCTCGGGTTGAAGTAGCTTCAGGATAAGTATTTTTGGGTTGCGTTCTGCGGCGACCCAAAAGTAACGGAGCACGTTACTTCTGGGTTTTACCGCTCGTGCAAGCGTAGATGGTCAAAATGACGTAACGCGCATGCGCAGAAGCGGCGAATCGTGACCCGCGCATGCGCAGGTGCACGGACGCGGGTTGCGTTCGCTTCTGGATCCAGAGGTACCATTGTATCAGTAATGAATAATAATAATAATAATAATAATAATAATAGTCACCAATTCTGGACTATTGTGGCCTTCCCCAATATGCGGACTGGAATGGGATCTGCTTCTGCAAAACATGTGGGAATCTTAGTTGGCGCAATGGAGGTTCATCTAGCCCTGCCATAGGAACCAACTCCCTGGGGCCGAGGTCACTTTGGGCCCCCCCAATAAAATATTTGAGGTGTCTCCCCCAACATTGATTGGCATTGCCATTCAAATGGTGTGTGTAAGCTGTATCTTGTGATCGATTATGCATATTTTATTCAAGTTGGCGCCCGTGAGCCCAGCTCAGAGCTCAGTGCAGACCTTGCAGTGCACAATTCTACAGCACCCTCCCTGGCAGCTGGCTGCCCAGCCTCTGCAAAGACATTTCACTGATAGTGCCTATTTAACAAGGTGTAAACAAACAATTGGGACGCGGGTGGCACTGTGGGTTAAACCACAGATGCTATGATCAGAAGGTCGGCAGTTCGAATCCCTACGATGGGGTGAGCTCCCATTGCTCAGTCCATGCTCCTGCCAACCTAGCAGTTCAAAAGCACGTCAAAGTGCAAGTAGATAAATAGGTACTGCTCCGGAGGGAAGGTAAACGGCGTTTCCGTGCACTGCTCTGGTTCGCCAGAAGCGGCTTAGTCATGCTGGCCACATGACCCGGAAGCTGTACACCGGCTCCCTTGGCCAATAAAGCGAGATGAGCATCGCAACCCCAGAGTCGGCCATGACTCTTTACCTTTAAATGGACAATGCACTAAACAGATATTTTCCATGCTGTACGGTTTAGATGCAGGCGCACCACTCACAATTCAGTGTGTTCTCACAGGGTGTCAAATCCCAGTTTCCTGACTCCACTTGATGGAGATGCATAATGTATACAAAATGCGGTGGGTGGGGGGCAAATGGCAACAAATGACACCTGACTCCTGAGAAGACAAATGCACACAGCGGGATGAAGGAGAAGCCAAGCCGGCACAGGACAGATTCCTGCGAGTCCCTTACTCTAAGGTCACGGCCCAGGCTGCTTCCATGACGCTGTGTCCTCTACCCCACCTATTGTCCCATATTTCCTCAGTGTACCAACCTAGGCCAACCCCACTGCCGGCAGCATCCAGAGGAAGACAAACAGTCGCTTATCTGGGCTCTACAGGCTGCGTCACCCTTCCCTTTTCTGGGTCCTGCACCGCACTGCCTGTCTAGGAAAATGCTGCCGGGACAAGGCCGCGAAGCCTCAAGGCTGAGCAGTGCGCCACGCAGACAAAAGCTTTATCTGTTTATGTTAATTCAGGGCCCGAGATCTCTGTTGGACCCACACACACAAAAGCAAAGAGATTAGATCGGCTCCGTGGCGGCAAACAGGAGAGCGGCACCAACCACTCACGTCTGAAGATTAACCAAAGCGGTCTGCCTTTGGCGTAAAAAAAGTTCCCACACAGGAGATGTGGCCTATTCATGCCAATTTGGGAGGTACTAATGCCTTGCATGGCTCAGCAAAAGAGGCGATCCGCGTGGGCCTTCGTCAGAGAAGGCTTTCTGGCAGTGGGTTCATAGAATCATAGAATTGTAGTGTTGGAAGGGACCCTGAGGGTCATCCATTCCAACCCCCTGCAATGCAGGAATCTCAGCTAAAGCATCCCTGACAGATGGCCACCCAACCTCTGCTTAAAAACCTCCAAGGAAGGAGAGCACACAACCCCCCAAAGGAGACCATTCCACTGTGGAACAGTTTTTTCTGATGTTTAGTCGGAATCTCCTTTCTTATAATTTGAATCCATTGGATCACGTCCTATCTTCTAGAGCAGGGGTTGTCAACCTGGTCCCTATGGCCCACTAGTGGGTGTTTCAGGATTCTAGGTGGGCAGTAGGGGGTTCTACGGCACAAGCTGAATCCTCCTTCCATCGAGCACTGGTGGGCGGTAAGGAAATTTTACCATCAAGAAAGATGCGTTAGTGGGCGGTAGGTATAAAAAGGTTGACTACCCCTGCTCTAGAGCAAGATAAAACAAGCTTGCTTCATCTTCCATGTGACCATGAGATATTTGAAGATGAAAGATCTCCTCTCTGTCTCCTCTTTTCTGGGCTAAACATACCCAGCTCCTTCAACCGCTCCTCATATGGCTTGGTTTCCAGACCCTTGATCATCTTGGTTGCCCTCTTCTGCACACGTTCCAGCTTGTCAACATCCTTCTTAAATTGTGGTGCCCAGAACTGGACACAGTATTGAGGTGTGGTCTGACCAAGGCAGAATAGAGTAGTACTATTACAGTATTTTTCACTCTATAAGATGCACCCCACCATAAGATGCACCTAGTTTTAGAGGAGAACAAGGAAAAAAATATTCTCTCCCTCTCTGCGCAGCGCCTCTCCAGCGAAGCAAAGTCAGAACAGCAAGAGGGATCACTGCGCTTTCACGATCCCTCTTGCTGTTCTGGCTTCTGGGATAGCTGCGCAGCCTGCATTCACTCCATAAGACGCACACACATTTCCCCTTACTTTTTAGGAGGGAAAAAGTGTGTCTTATAGAGCGAAAAATACGGTACTTCCCTTGATCTGGACACTATACTTCTGTTGACACACAGCGTCAGCTTTTTTTGGCTGCTGCATCACACTGTTGACTCATGTTAAGCTTGTGGTCCACCAAGACCCCCAGATCCTTTTCACAGGTACTGTGAAAGTAAGCCAGGTGCCCCCCCCCCCCCACATCTTATTTTGTGCATCTGGTTCTTCCTGCCTAAGTGCAGAACCTTACATTTGTCCCCATTAAAACTCATTTTGTTAGTTCGGGCCCAGTTCTACAATCTGTTAAGGTCATTTTGAATTCTGATTCTGTCTTCGGCAGCATAGGCTACCCCTCACAGTTTGGGGTCATCTGCAAATTTGATGAGCATCCCCTCAATACCTGCTGCCTAACCCTCTGCTTTTATCCTCAGTGTGGTTTCTTCCCCCACCCCCTTTAAAATTTATTTCCCAGGAGATACACAAAAATACTTTATGGAAACCTGCATTCCCATATACACACCACAATGTACAATATTATGCATCTATAAAACACATTCTTGTAAGTGAGCCCGAAGTTAGTATAAACTTTTGGAACTAGTCATGGGTTTTCTGAGTGCGGTTTCTGAAGCATTGTTATTAAATGGTTAAATAAACACCTCCCAATTACATGCAGTTAAAAGCTCTGTCAAGTGTAAACTCATTTGCTGTTGACTAAGTTTGGTTTACTGTCCTAATGGTAAGGTAAAGGGACCCCTGACTGTTAGGTCCAATTGCGGACAACTCTGGGGTTGCGGCGCTCATCTCGCTTTATTGGCCAAGGGAGTCGGCGTACAGCTTCTGGGTCATGTGGCCAGCATGACTAAGCTGCTTCTGGCAAACCAGAGCAGCACACGGAAATGCTGTTTACCTTCCCACTGTAGCGGTACCTATTTATCTACTTACACTTTGAAGTGCTTTTGAACTGCTAGGTTGGCAGGAGCAGGGACCGAGCAACGGGAGCTCATCCCGTTGCAGGGATTTGAACTGCTGACCTTCTGATTGGCAAGTCATAGGCTCTGTGGTTTAACCCACAGCGCCACCCACATCCCTAACGGTAAGGTAGTTCAGATCTAAGGTCTCACAAGAGGACTTTGCCACACAAGATCTGAGCATAAGCAACTTCATCATTGTGCTCAGCGAAAGCTAAAGGAGCCATTGCCCAAAAATGAATATTTCTGTCGGTTTTGAGCTGATGGGAATTGTACTCCAAAACTTCTGGAAGACACCAGGTTGGGGAAGGCTACATTAAAGAGTTTGATGTGAAGTAGGACCTGAGTGCATGAGCAGTCTCTGTGTGATCCCCAGAATCTGGCAGTCAGAAAGAGGGCAGAGAGGGAAATGTGAGTGTGTGTAGGAACCAGTCTACTTCACAAAGGTAAAGTTCATGTTAGTTGCTTCACGCACTTTTATTTGTTTAAATTGTTTGCACTATGTGTTAAATGTAAGCCCCTGCCAATCACAGACATGTGGCCCCTGGAATGCAGCCCAGGAAGGAATGTGGCCCCTTGGCTGAAAACGAGATTCCCTCACCTACTCTAGCAGTTGGTGCAAACAACATCTAGTCGGGAAGTTTCATTCCCAGTCTCCTTTTTAATGGTTTGGGGTACAGTTCCCACCTGCCCCTTGCCATTTTCTGTGGGTGCTTAACCCAGTTCTGTGGATGTGTGTTTGTTGGGGGGGTATTATTTATAGGGAATAGGAATGGATGGGAACAAGCTGTGCCTCTCACTTTTCACAGTCCAGATCCCCTCCCAGTTTATCTTTGCTCTTGTACTACTTGGCTGATTTTTCACCGCCTCAACTTTCTAAACACTTCAAGAAGGAATCCCTGTGGTTTCCCCTTTGCTCCACTTCCTCCATTCTTCCCCCTCCTCCTTCAGAAAGTGAAGAAAAATCTGCAACTTTGCAGTTTCTCTTCTCTCTCTCTCTCTCTCTTTTGCACCCTGGGTGCTTTCCTAGCCCCAAAACTTTAAACTATTTCCTGTGAGCAGAACCTCTTTTTCCCTTCCTCACCAGGCAGCATGTGTGCTGGTGAAACCACAGCTTGGTTTCCAGAGAATGAAAGGTCAGATAGTTGAGGGCAGGAGCAGGGCATTTAAATCACTTTCTGGGGAGGATCACCATTCACTGGACAAGGCCTCTTATGTGGGTTGGGCAAGAGTCCCAATTTTAATCTCTCCAGTTCAGCCACCCATGTATAATATGGGGATGACCACTGGCTTATCTTAATGGGCTGTTTTAGGATTGCTTGATTTGCATTCACTCCACTTGTCCTCGACGAGAGTGGGAAACCTTTCTTAGCCTGAGGGCCACATATCTGTACCACTGCATGATTTCTGTTCTCATCCTGCATGATTTCTCATCCTGAAGCAAAGTTCTTAACCTGAGGTAATATTTCTGGGTTAGCGGAGTCTGTAACCTGAAGCGTATATAACCTGAAGCATATGTAACCCGAGGTACCACTGTAGTGAGTGAGGCCTTGTTCAGTGAATAGTGATCCTCCTCAGAAAGTAATTTAAACACCCTGCTCCTACCCTCAACTCTTTGGAAACCAAGCTGTGGTTTCACCAGCACACATGCTGTGTATTGTTTTGGGAAGTGTGAATTTGCTAGACTTGGCTTTAAAAGTGAACTGGATTGACCTCCCAGAGGCGTAGCATGGTGGGGGCTGGGGGAGCTCTCACCCCAGGTATAGGTTTTTTGGGGGGGTGAAGGATGTCACGAGCTGTTGTGTCGTTCGCATCTTCCCTCCAGGTGGAGGATGCCTGAGATGGACACAGCAGCTCATGGCACCCTGCGAGTGCCGCTCAAAGTGACCCTGGGCTCACAGGGCACCGTGACTATGCCCCTCAAAGGTTACTCCAGCAGCATGCCCCACCCCCACGGTGTGCCCCGTGTGCCCTGGCACACACACACTCGCCCTGGGCACTGGCAGAGAACACTCTGTCACTGCCTTCTCCCCCATCCCTCCTTGAGATTGAGTAGGGGTGCCCAAACTTTTTTCAAAGAGGGCCAGATCTGATGAAGTGAACATGCGTGAGGGCCGACCAGAGTCGCTGAGATATTTTTTTTTAGGATTTTACCCCAGGACATATACTGCCACAGGGGCTGAATTCAATCGGCCAGTGGCCCGGGTTAGGCCCCTGAAACGGACTTTGGACATGCCTGGAGTATGGGGAAATTGACAGCTCCTGCTGTCCCCTGGAAGGCAGAGGGTGAGGGCTGTCTGGGGGCAGACTGAAGTTGGCAAGGCAGCAACTCATGTGCCCATAGGGTTCAGCCTCCATGGGATGGTTTTTTACTGGAGCTGATGGGAACATGCAAAGTGGTTTTATATTAAGCCAGACTATTTGTCTTCCTTGCTCAGTATTACAAAAGAATTTCAGAAAGAGACTGGAAAGAGAAGTTGCTGAATTGCAACTTATTACCAAACTTAAAACCATGGAGAGATCTGGTCTGAATAGAGACACTGGATTCTTATCTCATTATACGTGATAAAGCTGTTTTTAGCCATCTCACCCATTGCTTTTTCCTGTAAGACCAATTGCAGTCGTTAACAGTCGTTAACAGGTTTACCACACCTATCAGCCAATCACCCATTCCCACCTCCCTTCTGAGTAATACCCCTCCCCACCCTTTCACTATATACAGTGGTACCTCGGGTTAAGAAATTAATTCGTTCTAGAGGTCCGTTCTTAACCTGGAACTGTTCTTAACCTGAGGTACCACTTTAGCTAATGGGGCCTTCTGCTGCCGCCGCACAATTTCTGTTCTCATCCTGAAGCAAAGTTCTTAACCCGAGGTACTATTTCTGGGTTAGCAGAGTCTGTAACCTGAAGCGTCTGTAACCTGAAGCGTCTGTAACCCGAGGTACCACTGTTTAAGGGTCTGGTGACTTCTGGAACGAATTAAGTTCTTAACCCGAGGTACCACTGTATTTGAAGAAGTGTGCATGTACACGAAACCTCATACGAATAACAAACTTAGTTGGTCTCTAAGGTGCTACTGGAAGGAATTTTTTAATTTTGTTTCGACTACGGCAGACCAACACAGCTACCTACCTGTAACTTGTTCAGTCTTGTTGACTGTAACTGGAAGCAGTCTTCAATGGCTCTGGCAATCATTTAAATGAGAGATGCACTGGATTGAGCCTGCAGCAGTCTGCATACCCAGAACATGGTCTTCCATAGTGACACTTCCCTATACATTTGAGCACAATGCCCCTCTTCCCTAGATTTCCTTGAGTAGCCAACCCTTGCTCTTCTCCAACAAGAGCTCTGATGCTTTTAAGTACTGTGTGATAAGCCAAAATTCAGCAAGTCAAGGTTTCTTCAGCATGCAGCTACACGGGCAGCTGACATGCAATCACAGGTGCCAGGTTGCCCCCAAGGTTGAAGGGGCCCAGTGTGCACATGTGATGTCACACTCATGTCCAAACATTGCGCAGGCTGGTGCACCCTTCTGCTAGGCTTTGCCAGTACCTGCAGCATCAGGAGATGCTGTGCAGGCTTGTGCAATCTCACTTTGATGCAGCCTTCTGCTAACTGCAAGAAGGCCCAACAAGGCCTGGCAGGCCATGGAATATTGAGGGGGACCAGCCCTCTCCTTGAAAATTGGGGGGGGGGCTCGGCCCCCTCATTCCCAGAGGGTGCCCCTGCATGCAACATTTCTGCTTGTTGCAGAGGAGCCCCAGCAGCAGGGGATAAATGAACTGAACTGAAGACCTTATGATGCACTAGATGCATAATTCTAATAATCTATGGACTCTGACTTTCATCATCTCTCACCATTTAATGGGATCTGATACCTGAAGGACCACATGTTCCCCATTCTTCTGGCAGAAACTATTGATTAATTCCTATGTCCATGTGGATACAATAATAGTATGCAGCTCATAAGCATAGTTCTAATAGATCAAGCCAGTGGCCTATCTAATTCAACCTCACTAGTTCTCACAGTGGCCAGCAAGTTGCCCCACCGTAAGCAGGATCTGAGAGCAACAGCTACTTTCTCCACGGCAAATAGTAATCATCATAGCTAGTAGCCATTGACAGCTGTTTGCTCCAGGAAATGGTCTAATTCTCATTTAGGCTGCTTTCAGAGTGTGGCTCTTTTTGTGCAGGTATCAATCAAATTTCAGCAAATTCAGTTTGTGAAATTATAGTTGTTTTGGGGGCCTTGCAGAACAAGTTTGCTGCCCCCGAAAAGGTTAGACCAAAGTGATGGGGAAATGCACTTGAAAATATGTGGGTAGGGATGTATGGATCTGTCAGGTTTGATTCTGTCCGTGTTTCATCTTTAAATTCAGTTGGCCACATTTCTCCAGCACTTTGCGATTTTTATAAAGGCCTCATGAAAATTGGTCAGTATTTTAGTGCAGATTTCTCCTAATAAACATGTTTGTGTGCAGTTTTGACTGATGTACAATTTTTTGCAATTTCCCCTAATAAAATAATTTTTTGTATGCTTTAAAAAAAACAAAAACCTTTTTATGCACACTTCCCCCTAATTTATACATTTTTGTATACATTGTTTGGTTGGAGCGCCGCATTGTAAAATTAAGATAATTGAGAATTTCCATTCTCATCTTCTTTTGGAAACTGCAAATTGGGTGGATTCACTTTTAAATGCACTTAATCAAATTTATCCCCACTCCTTAGTGTGGGGTAACACACTGCTACCTAATCTCCCCACAAACAAATCCGGATGAGTGTTCAATAAACAGGATGCTTAGGAGCAGCACCTATGTGGTTGTCAGAATCCACAACAGCTGTATTGAAATTTCTTGAGTTGGTATATGATGTATTAGCTTATTGACCTTTCTCTTTGCCAAATGATGCAGATAGCTCAGTCAGTAGAACAGGAGACATTTAACACAGGGTCATGGGTTCAAGCCCCAAATGGGGCAAAAGGATTCCTGCATTACCGGGGTTGGGCTAGATGACCAACGAAGAAGAGTCCACTCAGTGAAATTCATGACTGAGTGGGGATTTGAACTCTGGTCTCCCAAGCCCTAGTTCAACACTCCTGCCACTGTATCATACGGGAGATAGTGGGCTTTGAACCCAGGACCTCATGCATGAAAAGCAGGGGCTTATGCACCGAGCCGTGAGCCACAGAGTTTCCCATTTTCGTCTTATCGGTCCAAGCATCCAGCAATGCAATTCTTTGCAAGGACTGAAAGAAGCGTCCACTCTCCGTGTGATTGACTTCCAAGTCATCACCTTTTAGGAGAGGGTTGCAAGTAACTGAGAAGGGTGGGAAACATCCCAAAACATCTTTTTTATGGGGTCTGAGAATTTATAGAGGCAGCTGTCCCCTTCTCCATAGCCCTCTTTCTTAACTACCAATATCCTACCTGGCTCAGTTCAGAATTTTGGTATATAAAGCTCTAAACAACTTGGAACCAAGTCACCCTGTGTATCCCTGCCTGGCAACTGTTTTCCTCTGATGGACCACTTCTGAGAGCATCACATGGTGCACCAGAGACGCACACTTGGCATGCACTAGAGCCTGGGCTTTTAGTGTTGCACCTCCAGCCCTCTAAATTATGTTACCAACCAAAATTTGGCAAGCACCATGTGTCTTAGTATTTAGGCCGCTACTGAAAACATTTTTATTTTAAAAGGTTCTCTGTAAAATATGATCCAGTTTTTAAATGGAATATAAATCGTACAATTGCAGAGACAGTCTTTTATTTGACAGTTTTATTGCTTTTAGTTGACTGGGCCTGTAACCTTTCAGTTTTTTCTTATTGTATCCTGTTTTGATGACCTTTGGCTGTGAAGCAGATTATGAATTTGTAAACAATAAACAGAATAAACCATGCTCCATGTACTGTCATGGAGACTTCTGAATGGGGCCAATTTCTACTGGCTCTCTGTATATCCACTAGGACTGAGAGGGATAAATTCAAATTTGTTTGCATTTTCATTAGAAACTACCTAATATGCACTTCTCCGTCCAACATGCAAACCGAAACACAGTTATCTTTAGAAATTCACACTTCTCTGAATTCTGTGATGCAACCAAACACCATGTGCCAAAAAGAATATATTAAAGAAAGTGTGCATGCATGAAAAGTGTAGAAAAAACATACAGAACATGCCTTTTAACAGGAGAAACTGCTAGCATTAAAGTATGTCAAAACGGTATACAAGAGAAAGTTTATTAGGAGAAATTCACGTTAGAATTCTGGTGACCTTTTTAATTAAAACACAAAAGCAAAACCAGAAATTACCACAGAAATATGGAGGACTAGATTTAAGATGGGAAGAATGCAAAACTAACAGACACCAAAATGGACAGATTTGTCCGTTTCTGACCGGCACCCTCTTGCCCTTTGAGAGAAAAGGCTGGAAGTTCTGGGCACTCGCCCCCTTCTCCTAAGCTCCTCCTTGGAAGATTCCCTTCTTTATTTTTCTAACTTTAAGCCAGACTTGGACCAAGCAGTCCTTCAGGCAGAGGGCTACCCTCTGTGGAATAGGTCATATGGCCATTCTACCCCCCATCCCACCCTCTTTACAGTTATCCGGCTGATAACTAAGGGAAAGGGATGTAGTTCAATGGCACACAGAAGTGGAGCTGCTCGTGTCCCCAGCCTGAAACAAAACACTGAGCTAAGTCAACCTATGTTTCAACTCGGTATGAAGAAGCTTCCGACGTTCACTTTGGAGCCGTCCCCCAAATCTCTCCCTAAATAATTATTTTCCCAGTTTTACGCAAACCAGCAAAGTTAAGGCAGCAACCCAAGAACCTGTTGGTTTATGAAGTTGCGGCAGCAGATCTTCCCACCTGTCTCCCCCTCAGCACCGCCAAAGAGAGCCACTTACTCGCTCCTGCTGTCACAACGCTCCAGGTCAGAAGGAGGACCGCCAGACACCGTCCCGTCTCCATAGCGCCTGGACTCCTTGCTTCTTCTCCTCTTCGCTCACTCCTCTTAGCCCGTGTCTAGGAGCAGGGGTGATGGAGGGCCGCTGTCCGCAGGGCTGTGGTACTTGGTGACCGGACACGGGAGAAGCAGGCGGCTCAGCTCTGCCCTTCTCCAATCCAGCCTTGGTCCTGGTTTCCAGGGGGGTCGGCAGAGGCAGCAGGGAAACGGGTTGGAATCGAGATGCCTTTGTCACAGAGACTCTCGCTGCGCCTCCTCGGAGCTCCCACTGCTTGAATGTTTGGAACTGGCTCGGCTCAGCCTTGATGACCAAGCGAGGCAGGAAATCGACTCCCTTTGGAGGGAGGCTTGCCAAGAACTCGTCTCTGCCAAAACAGCAAATAGGAAATGCTGCTGGCTCTCTCTCCCACCCACTCCCCCGCCTCCCTCTCTTTCTCTCTTTGAAGTTCTTCAAACGATGCGGGGGGTGGGGGGCGAAACACAGCAGCTGATCGCTCACTGACAGAGGGAGACCCTCGGATGTGGTCCCTCTCTCCCCCCCCTTCCTACAGAGAAGCAACCCAGAGTCTTCACCTTTTGGACTGCCTGGGGATCAAGACTTGACCTGGTTGTGGGGTGTGGGGGGGCACATTCACACCAGACATTCACAGCTCTTGGTCACTGCTTGCCCTAAGGAGAAGTGGGAGCTGCAGTTTGTTAAGGGTGCTGAGAATTGCAAGGAGACCCCCCTCTGTTGTTTAGTCGCTTAGTCGTGTCCGACTCTTCGTGACCCCATGGACCAGAGCACGCCAGGCACTCCTGTCTTCCACTGCCTCCCGCAGTTTGGTCAAACTCATGCTGGTAGCTTCGAGAACACTGTCCAACCGTCTCGTCCTCTGTCACCCCCTTCTCCTTGTGCCCTCCATCTTTCCCAATATCAGGGTCTTTTCCAGGGAGTCTTCTCTTCTCATAAGGTGGCCAAAGTATTGGAGCCTCAGCTTCAGGATCTGTCCTTCCAGGGAGCACTCAGGGCTGATTTCCTTCAGAATGGAGAGGTTTGATCTTTTTGCAGTCCATGGGACAAATCCCAGAGTTCTTTGGAAAGAGAAATTGAGTGTTTAAACCACTCCCAGAAGCCCTTGGGGGAAGCTGTGGCTGTTAACGTGGTATCACAGCACTTTAAATGTGTGGTGTGAATATGGCCCAAGCCTTGTTTGCAAGGTATCTGGAGCAAGGAATTAAATTAGGGCGAGAAGTCAGAAACAAGGAGACAGAAGCAGGCACATTGTTTCTCTGACCAGTGGGGTCTGACCCATTTGTGCAAACAGGGCACTGCCCTACCATCCTCATTCTACCCTCAGCCTGCCCCCACCTGACTGACCTCCTACTTAAAACCAGTCCCTGGGGGTGGCATTGCCCTCCTCCTTAGACTCAGGGTTGCCCCTTGTACAATTCAGCAGGGAGAAGGGTTAAGCAGACCTCTCAAGTGTCCCTAATTATTTGGGACATCCCAAATTGGCAGAAGATGCCCCTGCTTCTCCTCCTAATCCCAAATGTCCCAATTTTGGTCCCCGCCTCCCACCCCGCTGGTTGCACCAGAGTGAGGGAGCAAGATACAGGCATATTTTAGTTCTGCTGTGGCGCATGTACACAAACAGGACCAAAAAATGGAAGGGAAACTTACCCTGACCTCGTCTTCCAGAAGTTCATCTGCAGTGCTGAGGAGGAGGAGGCAGAGGCATATCCAGTCTGTGCCACATCAGGAGACGCAGCGCAGGCCAGTGCGACCTTCCCCAGGCCGCTTGGGTCTGTGCTGTGTCGGGAGATGCCGTGCAGGCTGGACTTCTGGCAAGCCTCACTGGGCCACGCTGCTTCTCCCAATAGGGTGGAAGGTCAGCGCAACCTGCTGGAAGGTCAGCGCAAGCTATGCCGCTTCTCCCGAGGTGGTGGTGGAGGAGGACTACTGTAGAAAGGTAGGTGGGGTGGGGGAGGGTTGGTGACATGGAGGGGGCAGGGGATGGTCTCAGCTGGGGTGCCCCAAATTACCCTCCCAAAATGTTGGGGGGGGTATGGATTAGGGAGAAAGTCATTTAAAGCTGAACCTATCGAATCCACACATTCTGAAACAAAACTGAACTGCAAGGCTGCTGTCTTTCAAAATCTGCACTTCCTCAAATTTTGCAATCCAGTTCTCCAGTCAGGCGATGTGTACAAGATTGCATACACTAGGGGGGAAGCGCACGTAAAAATGCACAGGTTCTTGAAGGAAAGCACTTTGAAAAAATGTGCATATCAGACAAAATTGCATGCAGAAATTCAGACTAAAATGCTGACAACTTTTAATGAGGATCTTTTCTTTTTAAAAGAAACATAGAAAATTGCTAGAGAAATGTGGAGAATTGAAATCGAGGTTGATAAATATGAGAAAAGGAGGGAACTGATATTGGCAAGTCCATTCATCCCTAACAGGGAGGAGGATAGGGACAAAATTGGAATTAGTTGGCTCCTCCTGTCATTGGCCCTGGGCTCTGCCTATCACTGGAGCTGGATCCACTGGCCTCCCCGACTTCCCCATGGACTCCTCTGTTTCTTCCTCTCTTTCTTAGGAAAAGGGACTGCGAAGTGAACACCAAGGTGGACATAAAGTATTCGGAAAACTTGTGGGAATGAGGGTGATTTTTTTCCACTGGAGATTAGCTAGAAAATCGGGCTTGACCACTGGCAGCAGGGCTGATGGGAGTAGGGGTCAAGTAACACATGGACGGACAATGCTTCTCCATCCCTGTTGTAGGGTGAACAGATGCAAAGCAGAACAGCCTTCCCTCCCCCCCCCCCGCCCCCATTCTTATAGGAGAGTGAATTTCAGGACGTGCAGTTTTGCAAATTCCATTTTCTGTGCAACTATTAAAGTTATTAACCAACTGGGTGTACAACAGCCAGAGCCTCTTTTGTATTGAGGCCTCTTTGTATGTTGTTTTGGTTGAATTCCTGAACCCCTCTAGTTTATTATTTGTGTCTAAGTGCTTGATGCTTCTTGACTCCTTTCCTGTCTCTGGGGCTCCACGAATATTTCAGGAGCATCTGACAGGCCTGTAAACCTGTGTATTATTCACAATGGCCTTTCGCCTTTGATCCTGGGCCAGCCATTGATCTCAAGGGCCCACGGCTTCTGCTGATGGCCGGGGTGCTGGTAGGTACTTGGAAAACTCAGGGCAGAACCCAGGATACTTATTTACTTCTGGGCAAATTAAGCTGGGTGCGATGGTTGGGGTCCCACCACCACTGAGCTTTCTAGCACACGCAGCCACCTTGGGCACAGTTCATGCATGTGAGGTAGGGGTTTCTTCTTCTGATGCTGATGTTATCCTCATCAAAATGCCATCCCATTCTGTTCCACCCCCACCTGGGATGGGGAAGAAATTTTATTCGGTTCACAATTAAAGGCGAGTCTACCTAATTTGCACTTTCTGAAACAATACATTAACCAGAACACAGCCCCCACCCCCTTGAGATTTGCACTTGTCTGAATTTCGCAGCGCATTTCTCCAGCCAAGTAACATGTTAAAAATTGCATGGTCATGTAGGTCCCACCTCACAAGTGTTCACTGTGCAAAAAATGCACTCATCCAAACATGAGAAATTAGTATTAAAACTGTATCTCACCCTATTCAAGCTTCAAGACGCCCCTGACATAGAGCTTGTGCTGGAAAGAGATGTCCATTAAATTTTCAATCTCTCACTATTTTTCATTCTTCCAGGCCCTGTGATTTTTTTTCTAAAGACCGCATCATTCCCATATATACCGTATTTTTCGCTCTATAACACGCACCTGACCATAACACGCACATAGTTTTTAGAGGAGGAAAACAAGGAAAAAAAATATTTTAAACGAAACAGTGGATGTATGATTTTTATGGTTCATGCTGCAGCCACAGACATGTGATCTGATGGTGAGTTTGGGGTAGCCCAATGCAAAAATCCTGAGGATCCATGTGGATCCATGTTTGTAACCAAGTTTTAAGTGGGGAGGGAAGGAAAAGCACTCAAGGGACAAGGAGCACGTGTGGGGTGTGTGGAGAAGGATGCTGCTAATAATGCAGGAGAGGGGTATAAGGGGAGAAGGCTCCTCTCCTCTCCCGCTTTGCTCCTTTAAAACAAGCAGGCTCCCTCCTCCCCGTCTCGGCTCGCTGAAAAGCTCTGCTGCTATTTAGCGAGCTAAGTGGGGAGGAGAGAGGGACAGAGAGCATGGTTGCTTTAAAGCAGCCAACCAGACAGGAGCTGCTTACACCTGTGTAAGCGGCTCCTCTCCCGCTTTGCTGTTTCAAAGTGAGCCACAGAGGAGGGAAGGAAGGGGAACCATGGATCCTCTGCTCACGACTGCAGCAGATCCCCCCGCCATCCGTAGGCATTCGCTCCATAACACGCACAGACATTTCCCCTTACTTTCTAGGAGGAAAAAAGTGAGTGTTATGGAGAGAAAAATACGGTGTGTGTGTGTGTGTGTGTGTGTGTGTGTGTGTGTGTATATATATGTACATATGACATGACATTTATTTAATTATTTGCAATTGTAGTTCAATATGCATTTTTGTGCACATTCCCCTTTCCTGAGTCTCTAAAATACCTAGCAATGTCCCTGCCCATCCATGGAAACTAGGAGCCCGTGGGGTCAAAACCTGGCCCAGGATTATAGAATCATAGAACTGTAAAGAGTGACGGGACCACGAGTGTCATCTAGTCCAGGGGTAGGTAATCTAAGGCCCATGGGCCACAAGCAGCCCATGGGGGTCGTTTAACTGGCCCACGAGCCACCCCCGAACTGAGCCACCCGCTCAGTGAGTCCCCACACGCTGCACTAAACCGGCATGGCGCGGGGACTCACTTCTACGGCGTCAGAAATCATGTCTGCGCATGCTCAGATGCCGGAAATCTGTGCAGATGCCAGAAATCACATCTATGCAGACACAGACGGCAGAAGTCGTGTCTGCGCAGACGCCAGAAATTGTGGGTGCGAGTGCAATCTGGCCCATGGAAGGATCTCTGCTGGAACTGGCCCAGGCAAAGTAAACCTTGCCAACCCCTGATTTAGTCCCAACCCCCTGCAAAGTAGGAATCTTCTGCACCGAGATTTGCAAGCAAATCCCTCCCCGCCCCCCTGCCCCCGCCACTACAGTATCTGGCGACAGTGATGCATGCCTTAGTTACATCTGGGTTACACTACTGCAATCCGCTCCATGTAGGGCTGCCTTTGAAAACGGTTTGGAAACTGCAGCTGGTCCATAACGTTGCAGCCAGACTGCTGACTGGGGCCGCTTACAAGGAGGATGTGATTCACCTGCTAAAACAACTTCACTGGCTACCAGTCCATTTCCAGGCACAATTCAAAGTGCTGGGCTTGGACCCAGACTACAGTGGTACCTTGGGTTAAGAACT